ACTTTTATTAATAAACTTAATTTATAAAGCTTAAAGAAAACTTTATAATTTAAATTATAATTAAAAATATAATCTTTAAATAATATTATTTTAAATAGCTTTAATTATAAGATTTAAAATAAACTCCTTTATTAAAAGAAATATATATATATATTAAAATAAAAGGCTTTAAAATAAAAGATCTTATAAACTTATTATAATAATCTATTAAATAAATATTAAAAGTAAATTAAAATATAAACTCTCCTTAAAAATACTTTTAATAATTAAAATTAAAAACCTTTATAATAGAATATATATACTTTTATATAATATATTAATATATATTTACTTTATATTATTACTTATATAGAAAGCTTATTTTATTATTAATTTTATTAAAATCTATATAAAAACTTAATATAAATTTTATAATTAAACTTTTAACTATTATTATAAATAAAAGGAAGTAAATTTAATTTTAATAATTATAAATTATTTTATTAAAATAAGTTTTTCTTTTAATTTATATTATAATAAATATTATAAAACTTAATAAAATCTTTTATTAAAAATTAAATATAAATAAAAATTTTATAAAAATTATTATTAATAAAAGTATAATCTTTATTAATAGTTTTTAAAAAATACTATATAAATTAAATAATATAAAAACTATTATATTATTACTTACTATTTATAAAGTAATAAATAAATTAAAAATAAATTAAACCTTAAAGTAATACTTTAAGTTATTTATAACTAAAAATACTTAAAACTAACTAAAACTATTATATATTATATTTTTATATATAATTTAATACTAAATATAATAATTAAAATAAACTTATTTAAAACCCTATTAAAGTATAAACTATTTTTTATAATTCTATATAATTAATAACCTACTAAAAATAGTATATTATAAAAAAGATATTAATAATTAAAAATAATTAAAAAGCTTTAATAAATATAAATAAAATATAAAAACTAAAAATATATAATTAAAATTTAAACCTAAAATTATAATATATATTATTAATTTAAATAATTTAAGATTAATAAATAAGTATTCTTAATAACTAAATACCTTTATTTAAAAACTAAAAGCTAGCTTTATAAAAAGCTAATTTATTTAAAATTTAATTTAAGTTAGTAAGTAAACTTATAGCTTAATCCTTTTAAAAATACTTTTAAATATATAATATTTTTATATAAACTAATTAAAGTTATAAATAATAAAATTATTTAAAACTTACTAAAAGATATTATAAATCTATTTAATTTAAAAATAAATAAATTAAATAAAAGCTAAAAGAGATTTAAAACTATTAAGAAATTAAAAATACCCTTTACTATTTAATTAAGTAAAAGGGTTAACTAAATAAATATAATTTTTAAATACTAAAAGATAAAATATTTATAAATAAAACTATTTAAAAATATTATAAAAAAGAACTTTAATATTTTTAAAAGAATTTAAGAATAAGTAGATAAAGAGCTAAAAAGGGCTATTTAAATTATAATAAGTAAAAATAAATAAATAATAATTAAATAATAAAAATATATATTAATAAATAACTAATAATATAAATAATAATAAAGTAAATAATTAGTAAATAATCTATAAAGGCTTTATAATAAACTAATAAAAGTAAAATATAAATTTAATAAAAACTAATAAAGAGAATAAAGGCTAAATAAATAAGTTATAAAGGCCTAATAAAATACTTAAAGGATAAATATTAAAGAAATAAGTATTATTAATTAATAGTTAAAAAAGCTAACTAATTATAATATTAAAATTAAAAGGTTATTATAAAAATTAATATTAAATATATTAAAAATAAACTATTTTTAAATTATTTAAATTTATAATAAATTAAAATTTACTTTAAAAAGTAATATAAAAAGTATTATCTTTTATTTTAAAAATTTTAAAATTTTATATTTATAATTTTATTTACTAATTTATAATATATTTAATTAACTTTTAAGAAAGAGCTATTTTATTTTATAAATTATTTCTTAAAGTAATAGGAGATATCCTTAAAATTATAATTTAAAGGCTTTATTTATTATATTTATAACCTTTTAAAAACCTTTTAAATTAAAGTATATTAAGTTAAAATCTATTATTTATAAAATTAAATATATTATATTATAATAACTATTTATAAAATTCTTAAAAATTTTCTTATAAATATTATTTAAATTATTTTTAAGTTAAACTTTATTAATTAAAAAGGATATAAGGTAGCTATAACTTATATTTAAAAATATTAACCTTTATAATTTCTTTATTTTAAAATAAATTAATATTATCTTTTAAATAAATATTAAATAGTTTATATCTAGTATTAAAATTTATTACTTTTTTATTTCTTTTAAACTACCTTTAAACTTAAAGTTTTTACCTTTTTAAAATATTAAGTTACTATTAGAACTATTAATAAATATACCTATTAAAGTATTAATTAGTTAAATTTAAAAGTTATAAACTTATTTATTTAAACTAATAAAAATAGAGATTTTATATTATTTATAATTCCTTTTAAAAGGCCTTTATAAAATAAATATTAAAAATTAAACTAATAATTAAAAATCTCTTTAAAAATTAACTACTTTATAATTTAATAAAGAATATAGAGTAAATTTATTATAATATAAAGTAAGTAATATTTTATAATATATTAATTATAATAAAACCTTTTAAATTAATAATAATATAAAAGATATTCTTTTATAAAAAGGTTAGATATTTTTAACTTATTTTAAAAGGTATATATATATATATTATAAAATACTTAGAATTTAATTATTTAACTTTATATTTTATATTTTTTATAATTTAAATAAAAGTAGTTAAATAAATTAATATTTATAAAAACCCTTTTATATTTTTATAAAAGGAGTATAATATATTTCTTAACTTTAAAAGATAGTTAAAAGTTAAATAAGCTTTATAAAAATAGAGGAATTTTAAAAGTTTAAGAAATTTTTAATAAACCTTTCTTATTTAAGTCCTCTAATAAGGTAGTAATTTTTATAGCTATTTTTTAATAAGTTTAAAAGTTATATAAGGTAATTATAAGTTTTTATTTATTATTTTAATAAAAGATTTTTAAAACCTTATTATTATTAATATTTTTATTATAATAACTTAAAGAAAAGAGTTATTAATATTAAAAATAATAAAGTTAATATAATTACTATTAAAGCCCCTAAAAGTTAAACCTAATTTAATAAAATACCTATAAAAAAACTATTTTACTATTAAATAAAAACTAATAAAAATAATATATAAAGCTATTAAAAAAGAGGACTATTTATAGATATTATAATTACTATTAAAAAAGAAAAGAGTTATATAATAATAAAATCTATTAATTAAAAGTAGAATTATTAATTAAAACTTTTAATTAATAAAAACTATTAAAAAAGCCCTTAAAAACTATTTAATTTTAATTATTTAAATATATTAATAATATTTATAATAATTATAAAATAATAATAAAGAATATTAAATAATTAAAAAGGAAGCTAATTAAAGACTTAATAAAGTTAGTTATTAAATAAAAAAAAAAGTTAAAATAAAAGAGAGTAGTTACTTAAAAAAGACTAACTAATTTATACCCCTATAAAAATATAATAAAAACTATTAAAAGATTTAATAAATTATTAAAATTAATTAATAATAACTAATAAAAAGATTTTTAAAAATATAAATAAAGATAATTAATATTAATTAATAATAATAATTAAAAATAGCTTTTAAAAAAATATAATTATAATAATTAAATAAAAGCTATAAAGAAGTACTTTAAAAGCACTTTAACACCTAACTATACCCCTTTTTAAAGCTTATTAAAAGGTAAGTAAAGCCTATTTATCTCTTTTTAAAAAGAAGTAAGAATTAATTTTATATTAAACCTAAATTTAATAGACTTTTAAACCTCTTTTAACCTATATTATTATATTTAATATTATAGCCCACTATAATAGTTAAATAAATAGTTAAATAAAATAAAATTTATAAAATATATATAGTAAAAAATAAGTTAAAAACTAATATATATTAATTATTTATATTTTTAAATTCTTTTTTAAATTTAAATATAAATTTAATATTTTAAAAAAATAAAAATAAATTAATTAAAATATATTTAATTAAAAAATAAAGTAATAAAATATTAAATTCCTATTTAAGTATAAATTACTTATATATAAGATATAAGTAACTAGAGAAATAGGTAAAAGCTTTTGTAAAAATAGGAAATCTTTTACTCCTGAAGCTGAAGAGGCCCCGTAGTGGACCAAACAATGAAATTGTTGAATAAGACGTGTAACTTGGTCTCAGAGCCTAGGCTAGGGTATTTGTGAAGATCTATGACTTCAGGATGTGCAGCGTTTCTCCGCAGCACTTTTTCTTGACAAATGCCGGCCAGTGGCTCGCAGATGTGAGCACTAGCAAGCATTTTAGTGAGGTTGCAATGCATTCTCCCGCGCGATCCATAGGATTCATTGGTCCACCAAAGACGGAGAAATTGACCGCACGGTTTCTTAAATCTGGTTCTTAATAACCGTACCTTGCCCAGCTCTGTTGTGGCACTTGAAACTTTAGAAACGCTGGGGGTGTTCTCAACTTCCGACTCCATCTCGAAGCACTCTCGGCGGTTCGTGAACGCGTACCATGTCTTCTCCAACACGCGATGTTGAAGATGGGCGCCAGACGCCCCCGCCCGAAAAGGATATATTACATGTTGTTAACGGGGACGAAAAGGCAACCGCGCCGGCGCTGAAACTTGACAAGCATGGCCTCCCCTTGGTGCCTCAGCCTTCGGATCACAAAGATGACCCCTTGGTAAGTAAAAGTAGCGAATTTGTCGCAGTCTACCCGAAGTGCCATTGTATTTTTCCACGGGAGTTTCAAACCTCTCTGACTGCTATCACAGAATTGGTCTCCTGCGTTGAAACTGGCCGTGACCCTCCAGATCTCCTTCCTCGCTATGGTCGGACCTATGGCTTCGGCTGTCATAAATCCTGCTTTTGTACCTTTGGGGCGAGCTTTCGGGATTACACCTGTACAGGCATCTTATGAGCTGACAGTATACGTGAGTCAAACAGCCTCTGCCTCCTTCACTCATGAGTAGCAAAAACCACAAAGTATATCAAGGAAAGGGGCTGAGAGGCACCTCAATAGATCGTTTTTGGAGGGGTAGGACCGCTTCTGGTCGTACCATTTGCCAATATCTACGGACGACGCCCGATATATCTTGGAGGTAATCTCTTAGCCGCTATTGCGAATATTGTAGCGGGTAACTGCTCCACCTGGGGCGGTGTCCTCGCCACCCGCGCATTCTCAGGAATCGGAGCCGGCAGCACAATTGCTATAGGGGCCGCGACAATATGCGACCTATACTTTCTCCACCAGCGAGGGTTTTTCATGGGTATCTTCACCTTTTTCCTGACTAACGGACCACACATCGCTCCGCTGATTGGGGGCTTCACCGCTCAGAACTTGGGCTGGAGATACTGCTTCACCATACCGGCCTACATCCAATTTGCCCTCTTCGTCATCAACTTGTTCTGCTTGCCAGAGACAATTTACTCGCGACAGGCAGAGGATACACCATCTGATTATCAAGAGAGCTCCCGCGCGGATCTACTTTTGTTCAGACCCAAGCATTTGCCGCGGAATAGGGTCCGTCTGCTGGAGTTCACCAGGCCCTTCATGATGCTAAAGTACGCATGCATCGTGTTCCCGGCCTTGTACTATATGCTGGCTTTCTCCTTCGGAAGTGTGCTCTTCGCTGCCTCAGGCTCGGTCGTCTTTCGGAACTTCTACGATTTCAATCTCATCCAGACAGGTCTCATCCTCAGCATCCCGCTCTTGATCGGCTGCCTCATTGGTGAGGCCAACGCGGGCTGGTTCGTCGACTACTTGATATACAGGCACTCCCTCCGCCACGACGGGAAGCGCCCACCGGAGCCGAGGCTCGATGCACTGTGGCTTGCTTTGCTGTTGCCAATTGGCACGATCATCCAGGGAATTTGTATCAGCCACTCCGAAACGACTAGTTGGGTAGGAAATGCTTTTGGAATGGGAATCGCGAACTGCGGGCTGCAGGTCGCAACGACTGTGGTATATTCTTACACGACCGATGTACGTCCTCCAAGCCACCTTAAGTCGCTCTGCAACCACTAACCAGCCTTCATAGTGTTACAAAGCGCAGAGCGCTGAGATATCAACCCTTTTGAACCTCTTCCGGCATATATTCAGTGCTTTTCTGTCCTTCTATGCGTAAGTGAGCTCCTGTCTTTAAGTCTTTTTTTTTCTTCTCTTTTTTTGTTGCGGTCCTCGAGACGGTCGGGAATACACGCTGATGGATGTTTTGCAGAATCCCACTTGGAGAGAAGATCCAATTTCAATACGCCTGGCTGATATTCGCCCTTCTTACCGTGGCGTTAATGCTACCTATGGGAGTTTTGAGGGTGTACGGGGAAAAGATCCGCTCTTCGAGCTGGCAGAAACCACCAAACTTTCACAAAGACCTTTAGACGGTGAACCCTTTTTCCCCTTCCACGATTCTTTTGCTCTTGTGCCTGAATTCGAGCCAGTCAAAGTGTAACTATGATGGAGAACGGACCCAACTTGGAAACGGCAGTGCGGTCATCTGTACTCCGGGGCTTTCTTTTAAGTATATAGTTCCTTTCTGTGCTGTATTACACCTGCGCCGAGACCAAGCATGGTCCAGTAGAGCTATATTCTACCTCTTCTCGCTGCCGCTCCTCCCTCCCTCCTCATGTCTACTACCTTGGTAGTGTACTCACGGTGAGACAGACCGCTGGGCTCTCTCATTAATTGTATCTTCCTGCCCCTTCCTCTGGCCCAATCCCTCCGACCTCCTGCTTTAGATGGTACTGGATTTCAGGGACCCGGCCTATATACCTAGGTAGGTATGTGACAGACAAGAGCCAAGACGGATGCCCTGTGAGTCCTTTTTCACGGACCCTCTGTCGTTGCGTGGGGGAGAGCAGGACGTACGCCAGAAAAGGCCCCATTCCAACAGATCCACAAGCGGGTATCATGTTGTGGATTTCAGTGACCCTGTCGATAATCACAAGGTGGAACTCGCAAACGAGATGGACCTCGGGATCTGGTTACTTGTTTGCAAGTACACTTGCTTGTCGAGTTATGGTAACGCAGGCCATCCAAAGATGTTCCGCTCAAACCAAGTAGTATGAGGCAATTTCTGAAGTCTCAAGGTATCTCCTGAAAGTATCTCGCGTAGGTGGCTAATCGAGATTTGTTTCTGGCCCAGGGTGGTGCTTGGGCGATTTGAACAGTGCGAAACCACCGCGGCGGAGATGGCGGCACTCATGATGATCTTTGTTGGGCCCATCCGGTCCCAAAATGTATTCCACCAAGTGTTAGGTGGGAATGAATCCAGAACTGCTTCCTCATCACTTGCCTTGTCCGCACTCGGTGGGCTCAGAAGGTACACCACCTCAGGTCGAGTGGTGAGGTTATCCAAGGCCGTCCAGATCATCTCAGGACATCCGTCGAAGAGACCGGACAAATTAATGGTCGTCAAGCCCTTGAGGCGATCGCTGTGGAGTGTGAGTAGAATCGTGCCAATGGGAAGTACGCGGAATGGGTATAGATCCACGTGGTCGATGCCTTCAAGGAGACGGGCGAGCAATTCTGCGATCAGCTCTTGGTCTTCGAAGACCGCAAGTTCGTCGACTCTCTTAGCACATAGTGAGAGGAAGGACTGTAGGAATCCGCGGAAAAGCATCGGTTCATTTAGCAAATCAAGGTCATCGAGATGGCCAGTGAGGATCGCATCAAGAATCCTCTCCTGTGAAAGCTCGCTGAGGGATTTCGCTCCGCGACTGGAGGCCATGTCGCGGGAAGAGGCCGAGGCATCAATGGAGTATGCATCCAGCTGACCCATTGAATTCCACGCCTTAGCCGACCAGCAACCTGTGGAATGGTCAGCAATCAATTCCGCAAAGTTCAATTTTTCATGGCCTGAGCCGGATTATGGTGCTGACTGCCCAGGTGAATTTAGGACACTGTAACATACTTGCAAGAGCAGAGCTGTCGACAACAGGGAGCACGCGCAATGCTTCCGATGCCTCCACGCCTCGTGCCTCACTCTGAGACGAGACTGCTGTATCAGAACCGACGTCCAGGATTTGTAGCAAAGTATCGCACGATAGAGGCGTGTAGTCCGTGGTCTCCCACAGCGCGAGATCGTCCATGATGGTGTCATTTACAAGTCCATGCCACCACAAGCCACACTTGATACACTTCTTGTCCATGTTGAGGAAGCAGTAGCGGGGCTCGTCTGGATTTGTAATGTCGACGACGCCGACGGTAATGGCACTGTCAGTACCGCAATCCTCGTAAAGAGTATCACCGGTGGTTACTAATAGAGGACCAGCTTTGACGGCGTGGAACGGCGTCTCCAAGGAACAATCATAACCGTAGTGCCCTTGGTCCAAGCAGCAAGTCGCCATGCTGGAGACTAATGTGGCGGCGATGTACGGGAATCGGCAGTCGGCGTCTTTTCGATCGGTCGTTTGGTAGAAATCGTCAGCCGGAGTCGTAACGTCGGCGCCGCCAACATTGTAGTCGGCAGCGAATTTGAGCTCTTGCAAAATACCGGCTCGGTTGCTCTCATCAGAGAGAGCCCGCAAGGCTTTGAGACAAGGATTCAGAATGCTTTGCGCGCAAGGGCAGGACTGTATGACCGAGGCAAGTTGTTGATACGGGTGGCCGGGGCTGGGCTTCGCAATAACAACTAGCTGATAGGCTCCGGAGGACGCAGTTGTGCTGGAAAGCGCAGGGAGACTGGCAGACGCAGAGGCCGCCATTGTAAGAGGGTTCTTTGAGGATAGTGCTGGAAAATGGATGAGGAGGTATGAAACCTCAGATGCTGCTCGACGATCGTCGGTCAGGTGGGCTTGACTGTGTTCTTGTGCTGTGCTTGAAAACGGAGGGTCAATGGATGGAATTGAGTGTTGAAAAGGGTCCAAAATCTCTGTCCCTGTGAGAGGGAGATGAGAAAGACTTCACCATCGAGTCGGATTCACTGAAGCTAGAGTATCTCACAATGTAGACTTCAAGTAACATCATGCGGTTGTTGGCACACCGTACGGGCGAGGAACATCATTTTCAGTGAGACCGAGGATTCTAGAAAATGCTGAATTGTTACTATAGTAATTTTACCATGATTTAAAAGTGAATCGAGGGCTTTCAGGATGCCTACGCTATTCACGGATGGCGGTTGTGCCCCTTGCACAGCACTGAAGGTGACATCCGGTACAGATTTCTGAATCTGACAACTCACTCAAGATCTTCGAGGCGGAAGATCACGTTTCCTTAGTTAGACCGCATTGTAAAGACCGATTCATTGTATATTAATACCGGCTGGGCGTACACTTAAACATCATCGTTAGGCTACAGGACAACAGTTTGGGATTTTATGTATCGATGGGTGGGAGCTAGAATCCAGCGGAGTCATTGTTGGGTCTCTGCACAAACGAAGTGGTCACAAAAGTGATTGCAAGATGGATTTCAAGTGTACTAGGTTTGTATGTAGTGATTGTTTTCTGATCTTGCTCTGCAGTGTCCCGTTGAATTTTGCCGGCATGCGAAAGGTCTCGTTATCTGTGTCATTCTCTGAATGAGTTGTATACGCTTTGTCTTTATGGAATACTTGCTGAAGATGTGGTAGGCAAGATCTCTCATAGATGGAAATACTGTTTCAGAGCTCTCCGTGCACAAGAGCTCTGGGAGTTTTCGCGACATTGTGCATATATGAACAGCATCCACAACAATGGTTTGTTTAATCTGCTGAATCTTGATCGAGGCCGCCTGTCTGGCGGGATGGCTGATGTTGGAGGGAGACTTGTCGTCTCCGGGTTAGTCGGCGACAGAATGCACGCGTGGAGAAAAGTGTTGGCATTGTGGTCATTACGAAGGAAAACGTTGGAGTTTAAGCATTTAACACTGTATGAAAGAGCCACATATATATTTTTGTATGTTATTGATGTTATAAACAGAACCAGACTTCAGGACTCGAAGAAAAACAATGTGTATGCTCATTAACTGCACGTTGAAGTAGAGTCCAAGCCGTTAGATCTTGCCTCACCCAATCCGACTTGTCTTTTTGAATGCCCATCATTAGAATATCTGCCAGGCAAGCAGTGAGGATCGGTGGTAGAGATTGTTACATGTGTGTGCATGGCGTGCAATATAAGAGTCTTGGATCGGAGAAGGCACCAAGTTTGACATGATGATAAATCCGGATGCATCCCCAGCGAGGCCTCATGTTGAATTTACGGACCTTCGTTCCTGACTGGTGGTTCTGCGCCCTTATTCCTGTTTTGTGTCAAACCAACCAGCTTGTACCACAATACCCAAATTGTGAAAATAGCCAAAGTCAGAGGCACAGTCGTGGCAGCGAAACTTAGAAAGCCATGACATCGTTGAGGAAAGAAAGACTCCGTCGTCAGAGAAAGTAAAGAATGCCATACCAAAGAAATCTGATACAGCCGTCGCGGGTAAGAAAACCATTGTCAGAACGGCAATAATCTTCATGCTCGCACTGTCATCTTTCGTATCTCTTGCAATGTCAGTGCTCGTCTCGCTGTCCTGCTGAGTCACCAGATTGAATACCAGATTCATTGCAATATCCTTGCGGGATTTGTAACTCTGCAGCCATCTCTTCTGTGAATCGAGTGATTCTTACAGATAGTCGAGCGCATCACCGACGTTACTTGAGATGAAGCCGGGTCTTATTGTGATGTTGTCGAGTAGTGCAGCTCGACTACGACGGCTGTGTGCAACGACCATGGTACCCATTTCAGCACTTGCAGAAAGTGAGTCAGCATCTTGAGAAACTTGATGCAGCTTTTCCGTCATATTTTTAAGATTCTTCCTGTGAAAAGGCTCCCTAGAATATTCACCTACAACGTCCAATACGTCATATAAGCGATGTCTAAGATCCGTTATGGGTACTTTCGCTTCGATGAGGGATTCATGGCACAGTCTGAGTGACGTTAGTCCTGAGGGGGGTTAAAAAATGTTGCTCGTTAAGACGGTACCCTTTAGCCTTGTCTGTACGTCGTAAGGCTGAGGCTATAAGCACCTACCTACCGGGGGGAGGGGGGTAAATTGAGTGAATAGTACTATCATTTTAGAACAATATTAATATTCTCTTAAAATATAAACATACTATTAATATAACTATATAATATTTAAATAATATAATGCTTTTTAGTTTAATATAATTTACTTATTAAAATACTTTTAATATACTATTAAAGGTTTAATATATAAGTAAAAAGGGAGTTTAATTCCTATTAAAATTAAGTTTTTTTTAACTTATCCCTAACCTAACTATTTATTAGTTATTATTTAGCTTAATTATTACTATATATTAAGTTTATAAAGTTATAGAGTTAAAGAAATATAGAAATCTTATTTTCTTACTAACTTATAAAATTTAAAATTAATAGATTTAAAATTTTTAATATATATTAATATATACTAATATAGTATTAAAATCTAATATATAATTAACCCCTTAATAGATTTTATTTATAATAGTATTTTATTAACCTTTTACTAGTATTTAATTATAATATCTAAATTTTATTTAAATGTTAATTTTTAATATAATTTTACCCCTATGTTAGGGACCCCCCCTCCCCCTAGTAGGTATTATATTATAACTATCGTTATTAGTATTATATTCTTTCTAAGCGCTGGGTCTTGAGTGCTTACCATTGTATGAAGGCGCTATGTATGTCCTCGGATGTATACGGAATAGAAGTGAAACTATATAATTGCGGGGTTGAGGCTGGTTCGTCTCAAGGTTATAAATATATGTAGGTCTTCGCATATCCCAACTGTTTTGACTTATTTCCCGAGCGTGCCCAATCCGACTCAGGTGGGTCATTTTCTTCGCCATTCTGCTGCAAGTTTAAAGATGAAGAGGACTAAGATTGAAGTAGACATCTCTACAAACATTGAAGGCGTGCCCAACCGGCATTTCGTTCTTCGACTTTCGAAGAAGGGGCCTGAGGACATACTCAAAACTTACCATCGCTTGCTGGAAGAGATGCGAACAGTACAATCAAGGTTTAGCAACGTCAAGGCTTACAATTTTGCTCTCACTCTAAACTTTATGTGCTTGATTCCGAGGACTCATGCAAGAAAGAACGATGATGCAGGCGCAAACACAGCAGGAATGCTCGGTCTTGTATGGCTGCGTGACCAGGCTGAGAGGGACATGTGGACAAACTTGAATTACTCCTGTCACTTAAGTTATCTCGGCAGCCCGTTTGATACTTCTGAAACACTGACATCTGTATAAACACTATTATACCATGTATTTAGTGGTGGGAAATCTGTTTGCTACAGTGGGGTTGCAACCGTTGCAGAGTCTCTTGGAACTCCTTAACGTCCTGCTCAAGCTTATTGATGAAATCCCGGAGGATTGTCTTGTTTTTAGAGGATCTTATGACTTGATAAACCTGGGAAGCAGCGGCATTCTAGAGCTGCAAGCCGGATAGAGCATCAGGATGCCATGCAGGCTGACCAGACGTGGGAAAAGAAGGTCGAGCAGCTCCATCCACGCTGTGTCCGTGAATATTGAGCAGAGGATGGATGCTCTTCTGCTGCTTTTCTACCCCTGAGTACTTCTAAATTTATCATAGGACCGTAATCTTTATTTTCATCGGAGTTTGGGTCGACTGTAACACATGTGCATTCAACCCTACGACGTTGTGCTGTGCTTCGGCATCGTCTTTAATAGTTGCTTGCCCACTTTGTAGGCAATATGTCTTCTCGCAAGCCGAGATGGTAGGGATAAAGGTTGCAACGCACTTCTCAATACATGCCTTGTCCCGCAACTGGTTCTTGATCTGCATCATCGAAGCCCCAATACTTTCTCCATTTGAATCGGTACACACAGGCGTGCCAGTGGTTTCTTGGTTTGCAGAAATGAAATGCCTAACCACAGCATTCAATCACATCCTGTCTAGTCCTGAAATGTCAATTGTCTTTGGCAGCGATACATTGGTGGTTGCCAATTTCCGCTCGATCTCACCACCTGGGCACGGCGGCTGCGCGTGACTGCATCTCGTATTGCCGAGAGAAACTTGTGGCTGCGGCGAGTACCATTGGTATTGTTCCGCGTACCCAGTGTATCTCTTAGAGCCTCAAACTGCCCGGCATCCACGGAAACTCTGCCACGCACCAGAAAATGTTGATGCCTTAGTAATATTGTGTTAGGACTAAGAGTCGACCACTGACTTGGACAGGACGCTTGACCAGTCTTGCTTCATCATCCAGTCTCGCAACTCTGTCATAGGACAATCGATGCCGGCCTTATAATATCTTAGTTAGCCGCATGACCTTTTTGCCCTCATAGAAGCACTCTTACCTTTCTCAGATCTTCTGCCCTCACCAAACCCAGCGGGGCATACCCTGGATCAGACGTGTAATCGAACATGTCAGTTATCTCGCCTCCGAAGTCCTCGTCTCCACAGGCCTTCACCATGACCTGCCTCGGCACCTGGCGGTATTTGGCCGGCTTGCCAGTCGCCTCGCTCCAGGTGGCAATCCAATCGGCGAAGGTACACGTTGTGCCCTCGGCCAGATACTCCTTACCGCACCACAAGGACTGGTACACGGCGTAGACGAAATTGCCCATGTCTGCGACTGGATCTAGGTGCGGCACAAGTCTCCTTGGGTCGGTGCAGAAGCGCATTTCGAAACTCCCGTCCTCCACCTGAGGTGTGGAAGATACTCGTCAGCGTCCACTCACCACGATATCCCGAGCCTGCCAGAGGGGCAGAGACATACCTTGGCAAAATATGAGTCAGGCAAAATCCGATGACTTGTCATGAAGTATCCCGTTTGGACACAGCTCATCTTGACCGCCAGCCCCGGGTGCTTTTCCTTCACATAGTGAGGGAACACCTCAGCCTTCGCATCAAAGTGATACAGCTCCTCAAACCGACCTCCGCTGCACTGGCCAGAATGACTGAGCGTTGATGCGATAAACCCATTCGCATCTAGCGAGTCCACCGTCGCAGCAGCCGCATCAGCAATATTCCTCCCCTGCTCGAGCTCCATGCGACCCGCATACTCCCTCACGCCACGCAGCCCAAGCGCTTTGACCTGCTCGCGGCTCGCCTCGATCCTGTCAGGGAAGAATGGCTCCCAGTAGTTGGTGACGCTGAAGATGATGTTGGCTCCCCTGAACGCCTCCTTGAGAGATTCCACGTCATTCAGATCAGCGCGGACGACCTCCACGCCCAGGGCCGCTAGCTCTTTGGCGGCGCCGCTTCTGGTGTCCCGAGTCAGGCCACGGACGCGGAATCGATTGGAACCTTCGCGGAGGAAGCGCCGGGCTACGGAGCCGCCTTGATTGCCGGTCGCGCCGACCACGACCACGAGTTTTGGGCCTGTGGGGATAGACATGGTGGTTGTTTTGGAGAAGCGACTCGGACTGGTAATGAATCATCGAGAATTGACGGGGAAATGGGCGGGGATCGTTCTTGACCCTGTTGACAAGCCGCTATTCTACAATAGTCATCTTTACGGGACTCCACTCTGCATAAGTGGTCCTCCACGTCACTCCTTAGGTCTTGATTCTGCATGTCAGCAGTGGCAGTGTGGTTCGATACGGCAAGAGGGTATGTTGTCAAGCCATGTTCAATATTGTTACAAGATGTCGGCCAAATAACTACCCTGAAGTATATACAAAAATGTTTCGAGCCACGATTTGACCCTCAGATGGAATGTTTACTGTGGCTGTCTTCCCAGAGAATCGGAAGACAGCGTGGAGGTATTGATAAATCAGACACAGTTCCAGCTATCCGGCAGGGTTGGGTCCCCACTGCCCGAGTAAACGTTGCGCAGAGGATACTTGCAGTGTCTCCGCTGGAATGCAATCTCCCCAGAGTCCTTGGTCTGGTTCACAAAGGCTGTTCCCAGGATGCTCTCAGGAGCGTCGCCCTCTTCCACCCAGCGCACCATCGCCATCAGGACGTTTCCTTCTGGGTCAAGGGTATAGTTGGCAGCCGCCTTCTGTCCGATAAACGAGGCACCAATGCCGCCGGTGCAGTGACCCATGCCACTGATGCGGAAGAACCGGTAGAACTCATCCAGGGCAGACGAGGGGAGGTTCATGGTGCGCGAGACGTGGTCGTAGTACCGGGGGGAGTTGAAGCTGGAGATGATGGCATCGGCACCGCCGTGGTAGTGCAGGATCTTGGAGCCCCTGTCGCGCACGGCCGAGAGGTCGCCCTCCCAGGTCTCGATGTTTCCGATGTTCAGCGCGTGTGCGTAGGCATAGTCCTTGGGACCGAGAGTGGCCGCGTCCCAGTTCTTGTCGTTGTAGATGGCGTCCGCGAACCAGCCGGTCACGTACTGGAAGGGTTGGCCGTTGTAGTACAGGCGAGGAGCAAGATCCTCCGAGCCGGGTTGCATTGCCGGGTAGGTAATCTGCCCATCCTCGCCGTAGATCGGGGTGAAGATCTCCCTGACCGTGTTTGCTTGCTCCCCGGTCAGGCAGTTGGTGGTGTTGCCATCTGCGCAGATGAGGGCTTCAGGGCGGTAGTTGCAGAGAGACGGGTCCTCGAGGATACCGTCGACGTAGCCGTCGAGTCCATCGCATTGCTTCAGGATATCCTCATGGATGATCGACCACAGCTCCAATGGTACAAATGACGGCGAACCAACTGGGCCAGTCTTGACATAAAAGGAGCCAGACCACGAGGTCAGGTTGTTGAATGACAGGGCCGGGGCGCCGATGACCAGACCATCGAAGTCATCTGGGAAGGATTGGGCTTCCTTGAAACCTTGACGGCCACCCGTAGAACATCCGAGATAATAGGACTTGTCGTGCGGCTTCCCATAGAATGCCTCGGAGACCTCCTTGCCCACCACAACACCAGTGTGCATGGCGCGGTATGCGAAATCAAGCACGACTTCCTCGTTCTGGTAGAATGGGTCGCCCTTGTTACCGTCGTGGCCGTTGTTGGTGCCCACAGCTGCGAAACCTGCGAGGTGGATCTGTCAGCGTCCGACAGACGAAAGTCTAACTCTCTCAATGCACAATGCAACTCACCTAGTTCAGTGGTATATGCCAGATCCTCGTACTGGATACATCCTCCCAGGCCACCGTTACCGGTACTCAGGAAACGACCAGTCCACGCCTCGGCAGGGGGCAGCCACACTTCCATGCTGACGTTTGAACGCTCAGAAGTCTGCACGAACAACGCCACTCGGCAGACATCGACGTTGACGACCTGGGAGGACCGAGTGCAGGTAGGGTCAAGGTTGAGGGTGAGGTTCGTGCCGGCAGTAACAGGCACGGTGGACTGGACGGTGGCGTTGGGAATCGTGCCGGCGAGAGCATCCGCGAAGCTCGTGCATTGGGTCGTGAAGTCAGAGCTGTTCTGACCGTACACAGCCCGGGCAGCCAGAGAGGTCATCAGGGCTACGCCCTTGGACAAGGAGCCGAAGTGCTGTTGGGACTTCATCGTGTAGATCTCCCGTAGATCGGCTGTGTGATCGTGAGTTTGCTGCAGAAGCTTGGTATCTCTAAGTCAATGGCTACTGCATTTTGAGTTGGGATGACGCGCCTTAAAAACAGCGGTAACTCTAAGACTTTTTCCAGCCTCGGCCCCTTGATCGCAAGAGCTGACGTATGCCTCAATAAAAAATCGCCCCGGGTCGGCGCTTTTCCCCAGGGAAACAACTCCAAAATTTCGGGACCTAAATCGTTAAGGCAGGGGCCAGGGTTACTCCTCACAACTGGCCCTATTGAAACGAGTCGGGACGGTACTTGTGATTGGCAAGTGACAAGCCAGCTGAGGAGTATCCATGCAGAATACGCGTATGCCTCCTACCTGTCGTGGTATTTCTCTCCAGTCTCCCCACTCCCATAGTTGCCTCGAAATTGGCATAGCCACAAGCTGTGCTATTCAAGTAACCTTCTTCTCAGTTTCTTGTCCTTAAAAGGGCATGGCCGGGGATGACAAGGTACAGATTAAACCAGGTGACGATCAGGGGAAACAAATAACCGCCAAGAGCCATGGGGCCGGCCAGGTTGCCAGGGTACCAGGATCGACTCGTGAACTCCAAATTCAGGTACATGCCCCCGGGGCTGTCAATAACGAGATGATAAGGTTGCTGGCGGCAAATATCCAGATGCCCCTTCAGATTTAGCGCAGCCCTGTGACCCCGTGGGACCCCAGGTTGTAGCGGGAAAACCTCGGGGCCAACGTTGCAGCCAGTTTTTCTCTCACCACAGTGGGGAAGGCTAATAGCTGGGGTACATCTGGGGAAAAGTTTATGCATGAAATGCGGGGCAATTAGGGGGCGGCCGGAAAACGGACATGAATGGACGAACATGGCAGTCGTCGTCATGAGCACCTCCACGGATTACTATGCCCCTGCCGACTTCCGTGGATATGCATTCCACCGATAGCGTTGCTTGTCAAGGAATTTGTCACTAACATCACATGCGCGGCGCGTAAGTCTTTACCCACGTCAATGTCCATCATTCACAGCCGGAGTGGTGCCGAGCTTAATCGGTTGTTTGGAAACGAAACGAACAGAAATAAACAGAAATACACGTGAACTGCAGGGATTGTTGGATAAGCACAGCAGGGCACAATGCATGGGGCATTCTTCTTCTACCTTGGCATGCTTGGATTGAAGCACAGTCTCGCAGGCAAGAAGGGATGGGCCTTTCGCGTCTGTGTGGCTGTCCCGGGAAGAACCATGTCTGAAAAAGCGTTCAATGTTGGGCGTGCTAGGAAGCTAAAACCTACCACATCGCAGTTCAATCTGTATGGGTGACAATGCGGCTCACTTGGCAGCTGGCGCTGGGTGGTCTCTGAGTAAAGGGGTTGGGTAATTGATCAATGCCTTTCTATGGGCCGCAAGTTCTCCTGACCCGTTACTAAGTATACATATGCACGTCGGCACTGTTTGCCGTTTGAGGAAATGCGTACGCAACAGGGGCCTTGAGCATTGCTTGAAATTGATTCTGCCCACTGGCACCTCGAGTTGCTGTCCAGTTAAGCCTGGCATGACAAGATGAAAACAACCTTAATATCATTGCTTTCCATTTGCAATCTTCATGAGCCCCTGCCCAGGTGCCCAGGGTTCTCAACATCATGCCGTGAGCGGTCGCTTCGTCCAACACGGCTAACCAACCCGAAGTATTTCATGGCAGAATCGTTTTCACTAGATTTGCCCTCGTCTCCTTTTGCAGGAGGCCCTGCATATTTTGCTGTTCGAGGCATGCCATTCTGCTCCATCCCGGGTGCCTGGTCAACATGCTTGGGCTCAAACCATTTGTAACGCCCAATCGATTGGCGAAGCTGGCTCTTGAACGCCAGGGACAGAGCGATGAGGATGATCATTGCCGAAATGCAGACTGTTTCACCAGGAGCATCAGATTAATCTGGTATCCACAGGGCAGTATTATGCATACAACACTTACACATGTAAAGGCACTGCCGACCGAGGGACATCCAATCGGCGCCAGTCAGCGCATTGTTCATCCCGAAGAAAGACGTGAAGAAGCCCAAGGGTGTCTGGATTTCACTAGATTAGTTTCAACTCGCAAACTCGTCATCGTGGGCTTGCCTTACGAAGATAATTGTCATAATTGTGAACGCCATGATGGCCTTGCCCTGTTGGATGCTCTCCTGCGCATTGTCAAGTGCGACGTGGGCTGCGACTATGCTTGCCTGCTGTTGCTTGAGTGATAACAACTCTTGGAGCTGAGTTATTTTGTTAGTGGCTCACGTGTATTGCTAGCTGTCTTGAGATCCACCACTCACCTGCCGACAGGCCTGGAGGGCTGCTTTTTCCAAGTCCATGATCTCTTCTTTCCGATCTTCCACTTCCTCTATCAAGTCCTCCAAGAAGTCCATCTCTGCTGGTGAGACGGGCTTCTTTGTGAAGACTTGGAGCGATGACCCTTGATCTCTCGGCGGATCGGGCAGTTGTAAGGCTTTTCTGCGAGTCTTTGAGTTTCCGTTCATTTGCTCCAGACATTTGTGGAAGTTCTTGACGACTGCAAGCTGCTTGGAATAGATACTGATCATGATCTTCAGCTCTTCTGCAATATCTTGAGCTTCCCTTAGTAAGGCGCCTTCTAGGTCGATGTCCAGGTACTTCTGGCTTCGTCGCATGCGATCCGAGTCGCGGTGATCACGACTTTTAGTAAATCTATCAACGTTGAACCAGAACCACTTAAAGGCAATTGTGGTCCTATAGTTGACGTCACCAATAGTCTCTGTAAATATATCCATCACCTCTGGTCTAAGGTCCAAAGGTTTTGTCCGGTCGAAGAACACATTAGAGCATTGGTCGATAATTATGCATGCTGTGAATCGTCAGCCAGTCGTCTAATTCCACAGAACATTAGGCCCGACCAAATCGTGCTTACCGAGGTGTCGAGCTGACATAATTTTGCAGTCAAGCCGACCTAGCCGGTCTCGAAGGCTTTTATGTATCCCGGATGGGTCTGGCTTGTTGCGGCCCCATCTCTTCGGGAACGACGTGATGATGGTATCTGAACGCTATAGTTAGGCGTTGTGAAATAGAAACCTCGAAAGAAGCGGAGCAAACATGGACATACGGTCGTCCAAGATCCAGAGCCATAACTGATCGACCATTACGACACGGGCCAGGTTCCCCTGCGTTTTCGTCGCACGATATACGACTTGGTCCCTGTCTCGCTGCGAGGTATCCTTGAGGTGCAAGAAGTAAGATTGGTCCAGTGTGCGGCGAATGTGCAGCAAAGGCTCCCTCGCCCTGGCTTTTTTAGTGTCTCGTGTTAGCAGGTGGTGCTTCACCAGTCTTTCATCGAGTTCCATATCCATATCTTGCCACACCTGTGCCAATTTCATGAGATACCTTGCGAGCGCTTGTCGTGGTTGCCTGTTCTGAAGTCAGAATCGATTGCGTTGGTTTGCACGAGCCTTTTGTGATATCAATCAACTGACCTGTTGGGGTCATCCTTTTCGCTGTACTGACGTTCTTCCGTGCGCATTGTCTTGTCTATTTCTTGAAAAATTGTGGTTGCAGTACGGGGGAGAACCTGATTTTTTCTCAGCACCTCCTGCACGGTTCTTGTCATCCTCGCCCTCCGACTGGATGTTTCCCAATGCAGATACGGCATCTATGAGGAGTTAGTCAAAATTTCTCCCGTACCAGCATTTTCACCTCACAAATATTGCTAAATCTTTATGCGAGGCTTTTGCCTCCTCCTGCGGGTCTCCTTGTTGTCCTGGGACCGTCGAGTGTCGCCTCTGTTCGCCAAATAATGATTGCGTTTCTTCACCCAGTCAATATTTCGTCCGTCTCCTCTCTCCAGGCCATGGTATCGTCACTCATAGCATAGATCACATACCTCCTGGAATCACTGAACATCGCGGCCTCATATGTGTTGCGTGTATGGGGTTCCTCCCTAAGCCGCTGCCGTGCAACTGGCCCTTCCAGAACTCGCGTGATAGTGTCTGGTTAGTTCTCAACCTCTTTTCCGGCTGCAGTATCTTGTGCTCATCATGATATCTAGCCATAGCTTGCTGCTCGCATTTGGACGTTAGCTACGTAGCACCCGTGAGACCATACACACCTATATATGTAGGTAGTCGGAGCCAAACTTACCTCTATCCACTGCGCATCGTCAATGTTGTTGTTAGTCTCGGTCAAGTCTACTGGAGTGAAGACGATTTTACTTACCCCCATGTGATTTGCTGGTATGTGTATATACCGCAGGTACTGTTCTCCTGCCTGGATTGGCTTGAAAGGGTTGTGTTTTTCATCGTACAGAGCGTCATAGACCGATATTCTCTGGTTGGGAAAGTGCTCATACTTCGGGAATCTTTGCTGGTGATAATCCTTGCCTTTCCACTCGTCCCCATCTTTCTCGAAGAACATGAAGTACACATTCAAATCATGTGCAGGGTCGTCATTCTCGCACACCGGCCTCACACCTTTGCATGGTGGTCCACGGCAATCTATCGTCGGCTTGACAAGATGTTCCCGATTGGTCGATGAAAGCGGCGGCAGTCTCTTCTCCTCATCAGTGCAGCGATCTGCCTCCTTCCTCCATTTCCAAAAAAGCGCATTCAATTCCTTCAGAGGTCCGCTGCGGCTCGAACTTGGTTCAAGCCTATCGCGAGACTCGTTAATGCGATGCTCTTCATCCTCCAGTTTCTCCAACTTGACCCTCGCATCGTCCTTAAACAGGCTCTCTTTCTTCAGGCAACGAATATATGGTATCGCGTCTTCTGCCTTCATCCGATGATAGCTCTTCGTGATGCTTCGCTCGTCCCAATCGTCCGCAGTCTCGCCGACATATTTGATGCTAGTGCGTTCCGGTGCGTTGCCGTTCGTGGGCTCTGTGGTGGGAGACATGTCGACATATGCGTCTCAAGATGAGGGCCGGTGCCTTCGAAGGTGCCACCCAGATGATATAGCAACCTGGGGAGGGGATGCAGAGGCTTATGTACTACGCGGAACTCAGAGCCTCGTGCCACCGCACACCTCGCTCGTCCAGTAGATTAATCAGCATCCGCGCGGAACACATGCAAGATTGCTTCAGCCGTAAGTGGACGTCAGCCGCAATGTGGCTAGAAAATTTGTGTTTGTGTGTGTGTACGCATAGTTACATATCAATGTGGTGGTCATCAGCTGGCAAAACTACTACGTTCTGAGGTGGGGGCGGGAACAATATCGCGCTGGTTGATCAACGTTGCATTCTCCATTGCGCGAGCCTGCATATCGCTGCCCTTGGCGAATCAGCTTCGATGTGGACCCGGACACGACTGTTGGCGCTGTGCGATATTGAGCGGCTGCAGCAAACTGGCAACTGGTAACTGGGCAAGCTGGGCTGCTGGGAGGGACACAACCCAGCCACCTGCATGGGTGTCTACCACCTAAAACCACCCAAAAAATGACCTCTCAGTTCCTGCATTCGAGTGGAACACCAGTCGGGATTTTCATTGCGACAGTAATTTGTCATCACTTGAGCAGTGTCTGGTCCTGGCTGTCCTCGCCTTTAGGAATTGGATCATGTTCTCAACACGCAGACACTTTCCAGCGGAGCAAAAGCCCCTGTGACAGTCTTCGGGGGCTCAATTCATTTCGCAAGGTCCTGAAGCCTGACTTCTATGGAGATTCGATACCACGTTCTGGCACAATACAAATCAGTCTGTGAGGCTGCTCCCTGTGTACTGCAGCCCGTTGAAGATCCGCGTGTGCTCGCGTCCCAATATAGACAAAGTAATCGAGCCGCATCAAAACATGCAGGCTACGCCAAGGCTTAGGTTCCACTGACTGAGATCGCATGGTCACAAACTCTTCTGTCAATAATTACGCGTGTGTTCTGACCACACGCGACCTGAGTTGGCGGAGGTGCACAACTTTAGAAGGTTGGGCATGCCGGCCGAAGAGCTCCAGTGCTGCACCATGACGAACGTCTCTGCAAACCCAGCCCTTTTCGGGCGGCTATCACAGGAACCAAGCTCGAACTGGTTTGCTCTGCGATGATCAACAGAGATGCTTCTGACTGAGTCGGGATTGCCCACTTGAACTGCTCTTTGAATTCAATCCTGCAGGAATACTATCTCCACTTGGCTGCCTCGTCCGGGCCACTATCCCGCTTTGACACGTCGCTTTCGCGGCCGGAAGATTGCATGCCAGGGTAACAAGCTGGAAAGCGTCCTAATCGATCTGTGGCATACTTTACAGCATCGAACTGTAGAGCTCTTTGTGGCTTCATTGCTGTGAACGCTGTTATCTTCTCTGAGGATTTACCATGTCAGATAGTCGCACAAAAAGCCATTACGTCGTCCAAGAGACTGTGTTGGGCGGTGAAGCACTCTCCAGCTGAATACCAGAGGATGAGGTATCCAATAGAATTGGGCTTCACGCCTGCCTGTATTGGAAGTCGAGCAGCCGGGTACCTAGGTAATAACTTGTACATCATTGAGACCGATGAAAAACGCAGATATGGGGTACCTACCTAGGCATCTATCAACGATACAGCTGCGTTCAGTCTGATTTCGAACATGGCTTTCGATATTTCGGACATATGTGGAATAGAAACGAAACCAGTGAAGCTCAATAGGCGATCTTACTCTGACAAAGAACACAGTGCATACCGTAGGGTACACTCAGTACCCAGGTATGCAGTAGCAACACAACCAGTATCCAGGACGATGAGCGCCTCTATCCCTCCGACGGCAGGGCATTCAAGCTGCTCTCGGCAGTTCGTGTGACACAGTAGGCGCCTAGTTAGCTGGAAGCTTCGGGGCTCAAAGTTGGAGCAAGCCGCTTTATACACAAGATTCAGCTGGAAGGCTTGACTAGATTCGAGGCCAAACACAGCATGTCGAAAATATTAACCCAACAGCCAGTGGCACGTCACAGAAGCGAGGATCATACACCATATCAATTGATACGACCGTGAAAACTAGCCCCGAAATAAGGCAGCAGCTGGCTCTTGCGCCATGCTTGTATCACTGATGCGGGTTCTGATTTAAGTCACATGCGTAGTACTCGGATGACTTGGGCGGGTTGTAGAAGTCGTATTCCAGCCTTCGGGGGCGTTCTGGTGTTTCCAACCAATGCGAACTACATAATAGATTGGTCAGGCCATAGTTTTAAACAATTTGTTTCCTTCGTGTTATGCAGTGCGTGTCCAGGCGAGGCTAGTCGTGAAATAAGTGTCTCCGCAAGAGTATCAACCTTGGAAATGAGTGTCTTTTAGGTCGACTTGGTAACCGCAGAGAGGAGAAACGTCCGGCCTAGGTAATCTGAAGTGATTCAAGAGAGTCCGACACATAAAAGCCATAAAGATTAGATGTATCATGTAATGTATTCGTTGCCATGTTGTAGCACTTGTCATAAGAACCCGTCTTGGGGCTGACAGATGTTTATCCTGACCGTTCCGACCAAATAGCTGGACCATCATAAAGTAAAAAGGGAATACCGAGTCCACTTTCGTGAGCCTTCTAAATATTCTTCATGTATAAAACAAATAAATCAAATCGCTTTCTATCATGACCCAAATTCATCCATATTATTCCATTCATTTAGGTATCATCTACCACTTGATGACCTTCTGAGGGAAGTACTCATCTATGAGCTCCAGGTAGTATGGCTACAGGGCGAGGCAAGTCAGCAAGTGTTGCGACGATGGCGCAGAAAACGGGGACAGATGACTAACCTTGAGCTCCTCTACGCTGGGAATACCATCACTCTTGGAGTAAAGGTCATAAGGGTTGAAGGCCTTGACGGCCTTGAGCATCTCGTGGTCCTTCTCGCACATGAGCTCGCGGTACGCGCCCTCCTTGTGCCAGGGGTAGAAGCTGTGGTAGCGGATCATGGCGAGGGCCTCGTCGGGGAGGGTGCTCTGGTCCTTGACGACGTGGTAGAGGTACTCGTCGTGGCCCCAGCTGAGCATGACGTTGTCGAGGCCGACGCCGGGGGAGTAGATGCCGAACTTGGTGCCGTAGACCGGGTGGTCGTGGTCGGGGTTCTCCTTGAAGGTCTCGGGGTAGATGATGCGCTCGTCAAACGCGCAGCCCACGGGGAATGTGTCGCCGACGCAGTCCCACTGGCCCTGCGTGAAGCCGTCCCAGAACAGCATCAGCTTGCCCAGGTCGTGGATAAGGCCCGTCAGCTGCATCCAGCGGGGCTTGCCGTCCCGGCGCATCGCCTCGGCGCTCTGCAGGAGGTGGTTGATCTGGCCAAGCTCCGTGTCTGGGTCGCTCTCGTCGATAAGGGTGTCTAGCTTCTCCATGGCCTGCCAGATTGTCATCTCGGGCCGCACGCGGGACGAGCTGTTAAAACGGAGGCGGGCCTGTAGGTTGTAGGCCACTGTCTGCTTCTCGTGCTGCTCCTTGTAGAAGTTCTTCACCCTGTCGCATGCCGCCTCGTACTGCCTGAACTGAGTCTTATCCTTCTCGCTGTCGAACTTGGACTGCTCATCATAGTCTGCCAGCCTGTTGGCCATGTCCTTCTTGGCCTGATCCTTGAGAACGTTGACGGCATCGATGGCGTCCGAGGTCGCCTCCAGGGCGGCACCGTCCTTGACCTCGTAGTCCGTGATGGCGGCGGGAGCCATTTTGGAGGCTTGTTTGTGGGAGGGGAAAAGCTAAAAAAGGGGTTTCTGCGGTGAACTGGTGCTGTGTTCCGAGATCGTCCAGACGCAGGAGTTCAACGATTTTTTGAGTTGGAAAAAATCAGGTAGAATACCGATACCCAAAGTACCGAAGATACCAAGTGAAGATGGGTTTTAAATATCCAAATGAGCACAGGAGATGGAGTGTTCGGATAGTGTTCGGATACTCTCGCCCTCTCAGAGTTCGTGTATTTGACAGGCGGAGAAAGTTGCCTTCACAGACAAAACTGGAGACATCCCAAACCAGGCCAAGTTCGAGGACGAAACTTAAGCAGAAACACACCTTTCTGACAGGCGCGAGCTGTTAGACAGTACATTCCCGGCTGCCATCCCTTGGTTGTTCGATCCACCTTTCCCCCAACTCGCAAGCGGTCCACCCTCCCCGGCAGTCTCTTAGGATGGGAAATCCAGCTGCGTGGTTGACGTCGTACGTTTCCCGGGGAAAATGTCCATCAGTCTGATCTGGCCTTCCCCACAATTCGGATCTGGGCTGTCGTGCACGGTGGGAACGGTGGGAACGGCTGGACTAGGGTAGGGTGTCAATCGCCAATTTTGACCTCTTTTGGAGACGCAAGTCGGCCAATCCCTGCTGGCGTGGGCCTGCAGCGACCAATCAATCCTTAGTCGATTGACCAATTTGGCTGCCGATTCATAAAAGGTCAAAATCCCCGAAAGACTCCACACCTGGTCGTCACCGAACAAGACGACCGCAGGTTCTGCTGTTCCTGTCCATCGTCGTCGATCCTCCGCATTCTCCTTTCCTTCTTTCCTCCTATCTCTGGGCCCGGGATTTGACTCTGATGCAAGAGTTCAGGGTCCTGGGGGAATGGGGGCCAGGGCTTTCCTGTCGTCCGAGACGGACCGACGCACAATTCCTTGCTTGCCTCGTGCACACCGTGCCGGGAATTGTTACCCTCTTCTCGCTTGGCTGCAGCATTTCGTCACTCTGGCTATGTCAGCGCAAGGGCTACTGCGGCCTCTGAGTCTGCGATAGGTGCGACCACTGTTTAGCAAATCTTCCCCTGCCGTTCGGCCAGAGCTCTCTTCAGCCCGGTGTCCAGTCCCATGATTTCATCATCTGCTGCTGCACTGCCTCGGTAGGGCGTGCGTGGTCCTTCTCCGTCCTTTTGAGGAGATCCATACACGCCACCTGGTCCCGGCGGTCTTGAAATTGATCTCCAACTGCATGGGTTGTAAGTCAGTCACTTTTCTCGGATACTCTGTCTGTCCAACCGTCTCCTGTTTGGAGGTGACGTTGGATTATCGGATACTCTTCAGAAAGTCATGATGAAGCTTGGTCTGATTTTTATGTAGGGAGTCAAGGGGAGCGGCCAATACTAACAAGCTGCAATCGCCATGCAAGCCGTGAACATGCTTGGCGGCGTCCATTGATTGCACAGGCCAATCCCGCATACTTTGCGGACGAGGTCCTGAATGCGTTCCTGCGGAGAGAGGTTCGATGTGTCAGCCGGAAATCGTAGTCCGACAAGGCCGAGGTATCACTTGGCAAGGCACGCGCAGCGCGTGGTCACGTTACTCACATTATTTCTCTTGGCCGCTTCTTTCCTCTGTCCCCCAATGCGAGGGGTCTTTGGGTCGAAACTCACGAGGAATAGCTCCGCCAGCAAGTGATGTTGTACTCCAAGTGCTGCGTCATTTTGTCAGTATTATGCCACATCGAACAATTATCGGCCGATTCGGGGCCCGGAGGCCTACGATGCTCCCTCCGGATTGGGGGATATATCAGAAACACTCACCATGACAAGCACTCTGATACCAGACCTCTGGAAATACCTCGCCCTTCTCCGTGGCCGCCTCTCGTCGAAATATCGGCGTGAAGCTTGAGGGCAGACTTTCTGTCCATCCACGATTGTACTCGTCCAACTCAGCCCACCACTGCAGGCCGCCACACCTCGACACGGCAGCACCATCGCCGAAGCAAAAGTTCAGCACATCAGCGCAATGCACGCATGCCCTGTTTGCCCACCCATAGTCGTCGGTTGGCTGGAGTGAACGGTCCACCAGGGAGTGCACCAGGTTGATGCGCACCGGCTCTTGGTTCATCATCGCGCTATATATCTCTTGTCTGAGGCCTACCCAGAAGGCTGCGCCGCTAAGCGAGCCAGGCATGAGATAGCGAGCGCCCAAGGGCCCATCTCCACCCACACTGTGATGGACAAATGCTTGGATCCCGAGAAGGTAGCTGTGCGCATCGACGCCAGAGTGCTTCACTTCCATCTCTTCCCACATTCTGAGAATGATTGTGGCAGCAAAGAGATTCTCGTCCGACATTGTGTGGTGCTCGTGATTCAGGATCGGGATCAACGTGTTCAGGCACTCTTGGTGGTACCGGTCTGAGGCATATGGGTCGTAAGACTCCGTGTTATGAAGATGTTTGGCAGACAGAGCCAAGATGGCGTTCATCAGAATCTTGCAAGTTCCTGCCCGGGGCGGGACAACAGTCTCGAACGACTGGTTCGGATCGCACACGTCAAGCTGTTAGGCGCAAGATAAGACTCTTGTGTTAGCGCTGATTGAGGTACATGGCCAGGGGCCTGGGCACTCACGCATATTGACAGCCTCTGGATAAAGTGGCGGAACAACATGGCTTCTTCTCGACTCTCGAGAGGCCATATGTCTTTCTCACGGTATATCTGAGCTCGCATGGCCCGAACCTCGGGGTCTTCGGCCTCCATCTCGAATGGGATGACCATGGGGATGGGTGCCGGGATTGACTCGGAACCAGCGGCCAAGGTCAGGTTCTGAAATCCCGGCAAGGCTCTCGCAGGCGAGGCCAAGTGTTCATCTTGCATGATGAAGCGATCTGTCGGTGATTGCTGCCGGGCCACGGCCAAGGTTGGGACGGGCTGGCCATTGGTCGGGCGCCCCAGACCACAGCTGCCATCTGTAGCTGTGGTGGCCGTGGTTCCTGTTATGGCGGTGCCGGAGTCATCTGAGACCGAATCAGGCCAGTCATCTGGGAAAGCGTCCACGACAGGAGTTGCATCGCCATCACCTGAGGCAGCACCACTCTCGTCCACGAATCTCACTGCAGTGTTGTGTCAGTGTCACCGAGTACTTGGCGAAGTTGCACGCGTCACTCACATCTCTTGGGTGTTCTGATCCATCTCTGTGTCTTTGAGAATGGTCCTTCGAAGCAGGGTCAGCGTCCGTCACAGAGGCGAGAGAAGTCTGGGAGAGTCGAGATGCGAAAGACGAGATTCCCGAGGAGAGAAGATCTCACCATTTTTGACACGGAACTTGTACCCTCTGGTGCACTCTTTGTTGTTGGACGCACAGCGCCCGCAAATAGGAGTTACGCGGTCACCTGATTGAGGAAAAAAGCATCGATTGTCAGCCAAAAATCGATCCTCTGAGGGTTTTGCGTGGGCCTCGGCGGGGGGACGACAGCGTGTTCGGGGGGTGGGACGTGGTCCGGCGATGGCACCGAAAGTGATGGAATCCAGGCCCGGGATTCCACGTGCCCACCCCCGTAGCTGCATCGTCTTGCTCCGAGATTGGACCCCCCGGCCGAAGGCCAAGACACGGAATAATCCTGTGTGAGAAACTCACATTTGAGATGTTGATCTCGGCAGCTCTGGCTGGTCACAGGTGAGACAAGGATCCGATTAGCTTTGACGATCTATCCTGGAAAGCTAACTTGCATGTATAACAGCCTGGTAATACCGGCAGATTGGGACAAAAGCAACGACCGTCACCGAGAGATACGGGATAAAGGCAGATGCGGCTGAGAACTCACCATCCAATTGGGGCCACAAAACCTTGGGGCCGATTGGTGGTTTTTGGACTGGGAGAGGGCATCACTGAAATATGCTTGCAGCGATACGCAATTCTATACTCGAGCCGATGCACGGCAGATGCTCAGATTCGAACCGACAGAGCCCTACACGGCCCCCCCGACGAAGCTACTAGAACTCGACTGGATACACCGACCGAGGTGGGCTCATCTGAGAGACAGGCGAGGTGCGACAATGGCGGCAGCGACGACAGCGACGATTGGCGTGTTGGCGCATGCGAAGCGGCCCACGCAACGGAAAAACGAAGAGCAGGCCAGCGAGCGAGTCATGTCCCAAAAGAGGAGTGATTTCCGACGAGTCGAACGGACGAGACACCTTCAATTGACCGGCCGAGCGAGAAGGGGAAATAAAAGTGAACAATGGGCTGTAACAAGGGCTTGAAGGGTGTGTGAGGCTTGAAGGTGGCTCAGTGGGGAGGATGAAGGGGGTAAAAATCCACGAGACGGGGTGACCAGGGCCACAGGCGGACAGGCGGACAGGCTGCCGCTAGACCGCGGGACAGGGCAGGGCCAGGGCAGGGCCAGGGCCAACACGCCAGCAGACCAGCAGGAGCCAGGACAGGGCTCTTCCAAGTTGTTGCTCGGTGCCTGTATATTTGGTCTGGTTTCGGATCAGCAGCATCAGCAGGTCAACCCTATGTCATGTTTATGCGTAGGTGTGGTGTGTTCTGGTCTCTGGTCTTGCCTTACCGTCCTGCTGGGCCAGGGCACAGGTTGAAACGCATTACAAGGTCAAGGGACGAGTGCAGCACGACACGACACAACACAACACACGACACTACTGTGGTATACAGCTTCCAAGGTTGTGGTTACAGACACGATACACAAAAAGTTGGGGAATCTTGGAGGGCATGGGGGAAGGAGGGCAGGAAGGCGTCATGGTAAGTGTCGGTTCTCGCTCTCCCCCGCAACGGCGGGCCAATAATCCAAGCACCGCGCTTACCCCGCACTAGCCACCAAGCGAATCACTAGCCAGGGATTGTCAACCACCCACACGTGCCACCCGAGCTACCACCGCACGGCCCCCCCCCAGCGCCAGCAGTCCATCCCGACTTTTCAGCAACCCCACATCCGCATCCGCACCAAGGCAGGCAGTCAGCCACTACCTGCACAACACTGCCGTCGGGAAAAGCACACTTATCCAATCTCGAGCAAACCATAAGTACTTAAGTACGTCCTTGGCCTCTTGGGAATCCTGAGCTAGTTCCTGGGCGGGTGAGCTTACAAGAGCTTGTATGGACTGCCGACAGGTGCGGGGGCGGCCACCACCTGCCATGCTGCTGGGATGCAGGCTGCACATGCCCAAAAGGGCTGCACGCCTCTCTTAGCATGCAAACGGCGCAGACACACCATTGGACACAACGTTGATGAGCGACCATGAACCATCAGTTTGGGGCCGGTGGTGTTGGTGTCGAGCCTAGAGCCCAGACAGAGTTCTCGACTTTTTTGACTCGGGTGGGTTCGGTTCTTCCACCCAAAAATTAGTCACGCTCCCGCTGGACGACGCCGCTGATGCCCCACTTTGGCACTAGAACAATTCGATTCCGACTGGAAGGCTCCCGATGGCATTGGGCAGACGCTTCTAGGAGGGTGAGATAATTCTAGAACTCCAAGGACGAACCGACCATTGGGGGCTGCTTGCCAGTTGCTTGGTGAGACGATAAGAAGGCGCTTTCTCCCCGGCCTCGACACCTGCCGTCGCCAACTTTGTTGCTCGACAAACTCTTCAATCGCCAGAGACGGCTCAGAATCAGTCCACGGGCAGAAAAGTGGTTTCCACTCTTCGCCATTTTAGACGCGGCCTCGACCCAAAGCCCGTCAGTCAGCGCTCACCGCCCGCAATCCGCCTTATCAATCTCTGCCTGTCTGGCCTGGACTTTTCCCAAGCAAGCACCACGACAAGGACACGCACTGGCACGACACCACGGTCTTTGCGTCCCCAGAACTGCCAGCACTTCCATCGCAGTCTTCTCCGACACGACACGCCCGCCACAATGTCAAAGACGGACCAGGACGTCATCTCGTCCGGGCCACCCGTGCCCGCCGCGGGCCTGGACTACGACTCCGAGAAGAACGCCGAGGTCTACGACGTCAAGATGGACAAGATCCTCGATTTCGCCAAATCAGCCACCGCCAAGGAGCAGAAGATGACCCTGCTGCAAGGCATCAAGACCTATCCCAAGGCCATTCTGTGGAGCATGCTCATCTCAACCTGCATCGTCATGGAGGGCTACGACGTCTGCCTGATCAACAACTTCTACGCCTTCAACCAGTTCAACCGTAAGTACGGCGTCCGGCTCGACGACGGCACGTACCAGGTCCCTGCGGAGTGGCAGGCAGGCCTGTCCAACGGTGCCAACGTTGGCGAGCTGATCGGCTTGCTCATCAACGGTTTTGTTTCGGAACGCTTCGGTTACAGGTGGACCGTCATCGCATGCCTGGGCCTGATCTGCTGCTGGACCGCCCTGTTTTTCACTGCTCAGAATGTGCAGACTCTCCTGGCTGCCGAGATCCTCTGCGGTATCCCATGGGGTGTCTTCCAAACCCTGACCGTCACCTACGCGTCCGAGGTCTGCCCTGTCCCCATGCGAGGATACCTGACCACCTATGTGAACTTCTGCTGGGGCCTTGGCCAGGAGATCGGCATCGGTGTCATCATGGCCATGCTCAAGCGCAATGACGAGTGGGCCTATCGCATTCCTTACGCCCTGCAGTGGATGTGGCCTGTCCCGCTGGCCATTGGCATATTCTTTGCGCCGGAATCTCCATGGTGGCTCGTGCGCAAGGGACGCACCGAGGAGGCCAAGAAATCACTGCTGCGGCTCACCAGCAAATCCCATGAGAGCGACTTCGACGCCGACGAGACCATTGCCATGATGGTGCATACCACCGCTCTCGAAGAGAAGACAACCTCCGGTGCTAGCTATCTCGACTGCTTCAAGGGTCACGACCTGCGCCGAACAGAGATCGTTTGCATGGTCTGGGCCATCCAGAACCTCTCGGGCAACTCCTTCTCCAACTACTCGACATACTTCCTCGAATCGGCCGGTCTGGACGATACCTCGGCCTACGGTTTCGCCCTGGGTCAGTACGGGATGAACATGGTCGGCGTGTTCGGCGCCTGGGGTCTGATGACGCTCGGCATTGGTCGGCGTTCGCTGTATCTGTACGGCCTCTGCGGGCTCTGCATCATGCTCTTCGTCCTCGGCTTCCTCGGCCTCGTGCCTGCTGCCCACAGAACCGAAGCCTCGATTGCTACCGGCTCTATCATGCTCGGCTGGGCGCTGTGTTACCAGCTCACTGTCGGAACGGTCTGCTATTCTCTTGTGGCCGAGATGTCTTCCCGCCGCTTGCAGATCAAGACCGTCGTGCTGGGACGTGTGCTGTACATCATCGTCGGCATCATCTGCAGCGTGCTCACCCCTTACATGCTCAATCCGAGCGCCTGGAATTGGAGCAACTTTGCTGGATTCTTCTGGGTAAGCATTGTTATATCTTCTCTCCGCCACTCCCCTCATCCCTTCGCATGCAAGCCAGCTAACAAGTTCTCACAGGGTGGTATATGCTTCTGTTGCATCGTCTACACATACTTCCGCGTCCCTGAGCCCACCGGTCGCACGTTCGCCGAGCTGGACACGCTCTTCGAGCGGGGTGTGTCGGCACGTAAGTTCGCAACCGCCAAGATCGACGCGTTCGAGGAGAGCGTCGATGGTTCCGTCATGGACCATTACAAGGACGATATCGCGGCGTCCCATCGGGAACGGCAGAGCCAAGGGAGCCGCCGGTCGAAGTGAGCAGCAGCCGGCCGCCAAGCGGTTGACAAGAGCTGTCTCGGCAACTGGAGATTTGCAAAGCGGCCCAGGTGCACACGCCATTGGGCCTCAATGATATTCTAAGCATTTAATTCTGGCGATGAGCGTTATGTCTGATGACTCAAATATACATGTACATATTACGAGAAATAATGAGCACGTTTTCACCATCACTATCTGCTGCTTGTTCCACTTGGGGTGTGCTTCAGTCATCGGATCCAGCAGGGCAGAAAAGACCACATGCGAGTATAAGCTTGTATGTATCTATCGCAGGTCGTCGAGACCTGCTGCTACATGACATGCGACCCACGCCATCATTAGCCGGCTGTCAAGCACGATAGCACGCGCCGGTGCGTCAACCTCGGAGCAATGTTGTTTGGAATCGATGCATGGCTGACCCGGGCCCTGACTCCTGCTGATGTGATAAAGAAAAGGGATGAACTCGAGTCCTCCTCGATGGCCCAGACATGTGACTTCGCGTCGCGTTAGCGCCGCCCATTCGCTCGGCTTCGCGAACGCGGCGATCCTCCGCGTTTGAGGCTTGTGTAAGCCGCCGGGCAGACTCGGTGTCTCGGACTCCAAATCCACAACACGACGGTCCGTAGGAATAGACGCCAGCCACACCAGGCAGACCCTTTACGCAGAACCCTTATGCATAGATAAAGAGCACATTTAATTGGCGAGCTAGCGATCGACTGATCTCAATTTAATTCCAACACTCATGTCGCCCACACCATTTCGCCATCAACCACATGAAGTCCTATCGTCCAACTCTCACACCATGAGCCCCGTAACAGAACTCAAAGTGCACAGGGGTTGGCCCGGCCAGGGCACCTACGTCTGGTCCCCATTTGTCGTCAAACTCGAGGCCAGACTGCGATTTGCAAACGTGCCTTACACGACAGGAGCCGGCGGGCCTAGGGGTGCGCCGAAGGGCAAGATCCCGTACGTGGAGTTTCAACAGCCACAGGCCGGCGGGGGCACGGTACAAATGGGCGACTCGACCCTCATCGCCAGGCACCTTGTCGACGAGGGGGTCCTGCCCGACCTGAATGGGAAGCTGTCTCCCGAGGACCGCGCCAGGGACCTGGCCACTCGGGCGCTGCTGGAGGAGAAGCTGTGTTTCTATCATGTACGTTCCCATATTGCTGGCTGGAACCCCTCGCGGTTCTCGGGGTCATCTGCAGTGCTGACTTTTAGTCCTCCAGACGAGGGAGAGGTGGCTAGACCACTACTATATCATGCGCGACCACGCACTCTCTTCGATACCCTGGCCGATGCGCGTGCTCGTCGGCCAGATGGTATACCGCAGCCACAAGGCCATGCTCTACGGGCAGGGGACGCTTCGCCTCTCGGACGAGGAGGTCCGGACCGCGAAGACGGAAATCTGGGACACGATCAACGGTGTCTTGGTTGCTGTCCGATCGTCGCAGGATGCAGGGCCACCTGGTGACGCAGCCTCCAGAAACCGGCCATTCTGGTTTCTCGGCGGTGATGAGCCGACCGAGGTTGACACGACGCTTTTTGGGATGATTGTTTCTGTGTTGTCAGCCACCGCGTGAGTTCCACCCTTTCCCCCGGCCCGTTTGGTTCTAACCTCGGGGGCGCTCTTCGCTGTGACTGACTGTGGATTTGGGCAGAGGTCCCGAGTCACAAAGCATTGTCAGAGGATACCCGATGGTGGTTGAATATGCTGAGAGGATACATGCGACATATTTTCCAGACTATGAGAAGTGGCCCTGATCTTCCCACCTCTATCAACGCTTTCCGGACGAACGAATCGACGACACGACTTTCATGAGAGTGGAGTCTTTCTAGTACTATATTTCTTTAAATATTAAGTTTTAAGTATTTACTATTATATAAAGGTGCTATATATATTTTATATGTACGGGGATTAAAAAATGAGACTACTTGTTTATATCGCTAATCTAGTTATCCACAGCAAGGTCTCCATGGCCGACTCCAAACCGCACACCAGCGGCGACAAGACATGTGGATAATCAGTCTTGCGAGGAGCAGGTGACAATAACATCTTGCAGCATAGGAGTGGCGCGTCGAGACATTGCCTGGTGCATACACCAGCGTCAGAGGCCAGGAATAATATAGAGAGTAAGTCCAAAAGCATACTAGAAATAGTACCCTATCAAATGCACATCGAGCAGATGGATCCATGCTAGATGGGTCCGGATTGCTTTCTGGGCAAGCTCGGGGGACTGCGGCCCGAGTATTTGTTAGCTGCTAGAAATGTCATGGTCTGTTTGGCTTGAACTTCAGCCGTCGCGCGCGTCAACATGTCGATTTGAGACAGGTCGTGGAAAGGTTGTGTTTCCAGTGAGCCCTGGAGAGGATACCCAGATCCATCATTTGTTCCAGGTTCCAGGCGTCACATGTTGTGGAATTTTGCCTTGGACATTTCATCGTGCTCAACGTTCCTGTGTTTGAGTATCTTTATGATGGTGGTCTTCTTCCCCGCCGGAGACTCGCCGTATTCCGAGTCTCCCTTGGAAGCAGGCTTCTCCGCAGCGCTAGTTTCTGCATGTAGCTAGACTGGCCGACTTGAACCCACTAAACTGTGGGCTATCGTTGAATGGGTCTCGCCGTTGCAAATGACCTTATTGGCCGATCAACACCAAGACCTGCCATTCTAAATGTTGGCGCCGTGTGACCGTACCTAGGTAGCTATGCAGAATAGCGTGTTGGCGGGCAACGTGGAACTGGCGATGAACAGCCTAGATACACAGTAAACATGGGCTTGGCTTATCCCCTCTGTGCTAGGAGCAATTTCCTCGGCGTTTTTTGCCATAAACAGGGGGGGGGGGGATTCTGTATAAGAAGAACTTGAACCTCCTGCCTAACGTCCAATGGCATATTAACTTGTCCCTCCATCTTATGCAAGCGTCTCTGTCACCGTCCAATCACTATGCGACTCTCCATAATTGCCATGCTTTCCTTCGGCGGCCTTGGACTAACTGTCTCCGAAGGAAGGCCTGGCAACTCGGGTGGATCTATGTCAATAGGCAAGTTCGAAACTTGGTCCGAACCGTTGCCTCTCGGCCCGCCTTGCAACGTGCGTCAAAGCTAACAAGTGGACCCAAAGCCGCCCAGAGCTTATTTGACTACTCGATGCAAGTTTCAGATTTAAAGTTCGATGACTATTATAAGTTCATCTGGTATCACGAGAAGGGGGAATTCAGCACAAGGTTCACGGTCTGGTACTGCGCTGGGTTGCTGCACAGAAACCAGGGTGACGACGTCCAAAATGCCAAAGCGGCCCTTGCGCAGGTGTAAGTCAGCTTTGCCGGTTGAGTCTTTAGCCACCAAGCATATGCGACTTCAGGACTGACAGGGACCACAGGCTGCAAGCTCAAATGGATTCTGAGTTCGAGTCGGCTTGGTATGGGACTTACAAAGTGTCGCTCGACGCTCCTGAGCCCACGGAAAACTCGACTTACTGGCCGCCCGAGATATATGTAGGTGGTGCCCCATTAGAACTTATTGGACCACCATTGCAAGAAGCTAAACCAGTTCGCAGACGACTTACGATCCGAATTGGAGAGAGTTCATCGGGTAAGCAGGTGGCGCAGAATGCACCCTTATGGACGCCTAGCATATACTGACAAGGGCTAGAACCCAGCTGATCCAGATCGTTGAGCTTTTCTCAGGGCTCCTTGGCAAACAGCTTGTCACTCAGATCGAAGACTCGTTGGAGAATGCCGCGGTGGGTGCAATGCGGCGTAATGGCACCTACCCGTTGGACGACAACCTGATATTAGGATACTCGAATCCGGCGCTCATGCGCGCTCTTGTCGTGGGCTGGATCGGAGCTCGCCGAAATAATTCGACTTACATTGCCTACGCCGACGAGCAAGGAGACCTGCTCCTCGAGCTGTTCAAGGGAGACGGTTACAATACCCTGGGCGAGTATAATGCGCCAACTTATTACGGCATGGATACATGGGCGCTGGTTGCCAACATCGCCTACGGGCCGAAGGATGCGACCATGACAAAACATTCGGAGTATATTCTCACCGAGTTGTGGAAAGACATCGCAGACCATTACAACCCGCTTTTGCGGAACATGGTGGGGCCTTATGACCGCGCGTATACTAGGGACATGACTGGCCACTCTTCTGTCCTGTCGCTATGGTGGTGGAGCATGTTCGGTCGTGAGTACGGAGGGCAGCCGCCGCTCGGTGAGCCCGACCTGCTCTACGATGTGATGCAGGGTGCTGCAATCGCACTTGTCTCAGATACGGCGCTCAAGTACATCTCGGAGGACACTGCGGAGGCATTGAAGGCCACAGGGACCTGGCCAGGCGAGCGTTTTCTCAACAAGACTGTCCGAGAGTCCCTTGACACAGACGTGGTCCGAGTCGCCACGTCGTGGCTCTCGGCAGATGTGATGATTGGCGGTATAGTCCAGGCAGAGACGGAAAACCGTGGCAACCAGTTTGTTCCTGCAATAGTGCATTGGGCCTCGGACCCGAAAAGGACACCATCTCCCTACGTCGGCTTCTTCTCGCTGTACCCGACTGCCTCGACCATCGATGCTAGAGCTGGACCGAAGACGTTGACAGTGTCATATCCGAACCCGACACAGGAAGGCAGCGACATCTTCACATTTGCGGTGTCTGGCATCCCACCGAGCTTGGCGCTTACCGGGAAAAGGATCACAGGACTGGAGAATCTTCCGTGCTTGAGTGTCAACGTGTCCGCTCCGGGCTTAGAGGCGTTGCCCGTGACAGCGTCGACTAGCACACTGCAAGATCATTCCTATTATAATGTGTCCTATGTGGTCCCATCTGGCTTTGACGGAATACCACTGGTGCATCTGGAGTTTGAGTATACTTGCTGAGGATAGAAATATTCGGTCTCGATTATTGAGCGGCGGGGACAGTAAGGAGTGAGACTGAGATTGGCAACTTACATATGTATCTGGGGCAGAATGATCAGAAAGGGGCATTCCGAGTCGTCCCGGTGCTGTCGAGGCAGTGACCTACGATTGGCTCCGCTCGAAGTGCGGGATAATCGGCTATGTGCGATTGTTTGCTTATTAATCTGCATTGATCTACGGGTTTTCGAAGCCGATGCTCACCCCGGCCAAATATAGGTCTACCACTCGCCTTCTAGTTGATGGTATCATACCTGGGCATGTCGTCTACGACCGTGAAAATTCCCAAGACAGGAAACATGTTCTTGGCATAGGCTCAAGGCAGGCTTCCAGAGCAGAGGCCAAGGACCAGCAACCGGTGGTCGTTGATTAATGTCCTGCAAGGGTAGACACAATGAGGATTGGAATTTATGAGCGTCCACGCTCCACCATGATAAGGTATGGAATCTTGACGTCCTTTGAGGTTAGACACACCTTGGATTCGGAACTTATACAGTAAGCACCCGGGCGGGCCAGATTCCGCCACAAAACTACCGGTAAGTTGGGGCCTGATAAGGCGTGGAATCTTGATGTCCTTTAAGGTTAGATGCAACTTGGGATTGGAATCCCTACGGCCGTGATAACCAAGCTGAGGCCCGATGAAGGCGTGGAACCTTCATGTTGAAGGAGGTTGTCGTTGCCTCCGAAGATTTCGTCCTATGATCTATAGCACATGGCAATATATCACATAAACAGCATAGGGGTCGCCAAACGTTAGGTTTCTCTGGTTTACTGCGATAGTACTGTTCAATTCTGCCGTGTTCGATGATGCAATGACCCCCTGGTTTAGCGGCAGTTAAAACTCTATTGGGCCATGGACGCGAATCATCTCCCCAGCTTGGCGCAAGGTGCCGAATGGGAGGCGGAGATTATCCCGAACCGGAGCAGGGATGGGTAGCAATATCGGCCTCAAATACGTGCCTAGGTAGCGTTCCTCCGTCCTGCCTTGTGGAGACATCCAGCCTAGAAATGGCGTATCTGGACCGATAAAACCGCCTGTTCCCCTGGAGGATAAAAGTAAGTTTTTCTGTTCGGGAACTGATCAGTATTGTCTGAAATACTCGCATCTTTTTGCACACCTGGCCCTTGACCTGAGAACGAACCCGCAGAACATCACGCACCATGTTGACTCGTTTCCTCTTTTTGGCCCCGCTCTTGGCCTCGACCGCCCTCGGCAGGACTTCGGAACGTCCCATTGATGGCGACACGTCCATCATCGCGCACACGGGAGAACCTGTTGGTGCCGAGGAGGTCGTCGGTGGAAGTCAGTGCGGCCTCACCAACATGTCCGCGTACCTCACTGACCTGTGAAACTGTAGCAACATACTACATCACCAAACCAGGGGCCGATGCACCAGACACGAATGGCGCAGCGGTTCTCTACTTGACTGACGTGTTCGGAATTAACCTTACCGAGAACAAACTGTGAGCAAGCTCCAGGCCTTCTCTCCGAATACCCAGCACAGTTCGCGTAGCTAACTTTCTCAGTCTCTCGGACTCGTTTGCCCGTGCTGGTTTCGTCACCGTTGCTCCTGATCTCTTTCAAGGAAGTCCTGCACCATCGGACCTGAATGACCCTACCTTCAACACGACTGCGTTCCTTGCCGCACATGGTCCGAATGTCACCGACCCCATTGTCGAGGGTGCTAGTGAGTACTACCTGAAAAGAGCATGCCAATGTCACCCCCATTCTACCTTATTCATGTTTGCCAGCCAGATTTGGCCTCCGCGATCAGCTCCTCGGCTCAGGATCGGATTTCGGTTCAATCCGAGCACTTGAGTCGAGAGTGGCCCGGTCTTGGAAACTTGTAAACCACTGACAGCCAACTTAGTCAACTATTTGCGCAACACCCTCAACGTCAGCAGGGTTGCCGTGACGGGCTACTGCTTCGGCGGGCGCTACTCGTTCCGCTTCGTCGACGCCGCCAGAACGGTAAAGGCTGATGTAGCGTTCGCGGCCCATCCGAGTGCCTGGCAGGATGGAGAAGTCAGCGCGATTGGGGCCGCCACAGCGGTGGCTACTGCCGGTAAGCTTTCCCCTCACTTATACCTTGCCAAGGTTGAATGCCATGTCGCAATCTGTGAGACATCTCGAGGCGCACACTGTCCGTGATGACTCGTGCGAACTGTGTGACATACTCTTGGGAAAGCATATCACCCCAATTATATATGCAATGACGGAAGCTGACATGACCTTGTTTATTTTACCAGACCAGGACAGTCTCCTGCCAGCGTCCCTAAGGGCCCAACTCGAGGCTCTGCTGCTCAACATCAGCTCGCCTTATCAGGTGAACCTGTACAGTGGAGTTCAGCACGGGTTTGGAGTTCGTGCAAACGTTTCGGACCCGGTCCAGAAGTTCGCCAAAGAGTCTGCGTTTCTGCAGGCTGTTCGGTGGTTTAACAACTTCTAAAGGGCGGTATCTACATCACATACTGCCTGTGCTGTATAAACAGTATATAGGACGATGATTGCCTCTGCAAGGTTCCATTGTCGGCTGAGCTTCTAGGCCAGAAGCACGTACATAGCAGATCTGAGTACATATATAAGCGCACTTCAGTACAGTTGGGCTTCATTCGCAACAGTCGGGCGCGTGCCGCACTCGCTCAGGAAAGATTCGCCTCTTATTCATTTACACGATATTTTCCCGGTCGGTGTCATCTGTGCCACGATCGGATGTAACCCAACAATGATCTTGATACGTCCAAATTTGGGCGGGAGCCGAGTCAGGCTGCATATCTGGATGATCAGGCCGTTCCCTCACACCGGGCTACCCATGACGCAGTGATGTATGTCCAAGGTGTGATTTGTGATCGTCAAGAGTTAATGCATTTAAAGTTTTGATACCGAGAGTTACCCAGAGCCCCCAATTGGACGATTGCGCAGACGCACGGCCAACCTTAGAATGGAAGCTCTAGAACATCTGAAGCCTGCAACAGAAGCTCCCAGGTTTCCTCGATTCTAATCTTTTCTCTTACCCACCGTCACAGGGCTCAATATTTCCCACGCCGGCCCCAGAAGCGATGGGGTTGCTGACTGCGATGGAGGTGCTACTGAGGCGAGGAGTAGACACCACCAAGATGGGGGACACAAGACAAATGTCCTCCGGAGATCGTTTTCTTATTGCTTGTTTCCTCGGTGCCTCGATATGGAATGCAATAGGCATGTTTCCCATGATATTGCTTACGTTCAAGAGACTGTGGACGCTCTATTTCTGGGCAATGGCTTTATCGACCGTCGGGATTCTCGTTTGCTCGGCTTCACAGATCATCAGCGTCGCGACGCCTCAGGTGAACAGCATGGTCAATGGGGTCATGTCGTGCATTGGATGGGTCTTCATGGTCACCGGACAGTCACTTGTACTGTACTCCCGTCTTCACCTCTTGGCTATCAGACCGAAAGTGTTACGCCTGGTGCTTTGTATGATCATCGTCAACGGAATTACAATTCACATCACGGGAACTGTCCTCACAGTTGGCACCCGCTTGCGGCCCCCAATGTCGGTTCGTTTCACGCAAGTCTACAGGTCAGTACGCGAAGGATGGAAATAACGCCACAAATATATATTGACATCCGCCTGGGCACAGCGTCTTCGAGAGGATAAACATCACTATGTTCTTTACACAAGAAACAATCCTATCGGGGCTGTACCTCTGGAAGTCTCGCGACTTGCTTGGCCGCTACTCAAAACCCAAGGCAGCCGAGGAACCCAGTATTCGGCAATACGCAAGTCCTAGAGCAGGCAACTCGTTGCGAATCGTGAAGGACATTCTCACTCAACTGATAGTTGTGAACATATTTATCTTATTTCTGGACATAACATTGTTGGTCCTAGAGGTAAGTAGAGGTTGACTTGTTCTGATGGCTTTCAAAGGGTTCCCAACATGCACAAACTTCTGCTAACAAGGCCGAACCAGTATGCTGGATTGTATATGATTCAGCTTGGATACAAGATCTTTGTCTACAGCGTAAAGCTCCGTAAGTGACTTGCGGCTCTCAGCCTCGGAAGTTCATAAGTCCTACCTCATGAAGGATCCACGCACTCTGACACATGGACAGAATGCGAAATCACAATTCTGAATCGTCTGCTCGATTTTGCGAACCGCTCAAGACGGCTCAACACCGAATTTCAAATTGTGACAGATCTGCAAAGAGAATGTAAGTCCACGGGTAGCTTCTAGATACAATCTCTACCCCCTCAAGAACAAAAAGGCCCATTTCCTGCCCACCCTACCAGAGCTTCACGGGCTGCAGGTTTCAAGTCAAGCCATACCTAGGTAGACACCTTGTGGCCTGATCCTCGACGCGTTCCTCTCCGACCAAACTTTTGGTTCTTGAATGGCTGACTCCCAATGCTATAGGGGACTCAACCCTGGAGCGAGCATTCGGAACGCAGACGAGCGCAGAGATAGGCAACAACAGCTCTGCACAACAAAATCCCCGCTTCGGTACTAGGGAATCATCAGGCTCCCGTGTCAGTCAGGAGAAATGGATCGAGCGACAGGACATCAGCATCCCCGAGACATGATACCCGTCCCGAAATCACTAGTTGTCTGATACTGGCGCTTCATTCCAAAAGTCGAGCCTCTGCGCCAGAGACATTCCCTGGTATTCGTGACGCGTCACATAACATTGTATGGAGCAAGGAAAAAGCCTCTAGGATGGAGAATAATGCCAGGACATCTAAGAGACCCCAGAGAAACTCCTTTGCGTGTCCGACGGACCCCCCTCACAACCGCTGTGAGGAACAACCGATCAGGAGAATCAATCGCAGGGTTCATGCAGGCCGGCCCATAGCGCCAGCAAGCATTTGGAGTATCCGCCGTCGGATATCTGCCTGGACATCATGGTCCAACTGCCGGAGACGCGCGAGGGCTGCGAGCGCCTGGTCCTCGAGGTCTGGCGACGAGGATGAGAAAGAGAGCAACATGGTCAGCCAGTTGTGAAATCCCCGCTGCTCATGTTGCTGGAGCTGCGTGCTCGCACGATAGCCGACCAATATTATGTCGCTAAATATGGCTTCCACGTCGCCGCTGTCGTCGTTTTGTTCCACTCCGGTTGGTGCCCGGGCCGGAGGGGTTGAGATAAGGGCCCGAGGGTCAGAGTCAATTTCCCGAATCGGGTCATGGGAATTTTGAGTTTGTTCTTGATTCTGGGGGGGCGCGTTGCCTGGAGCACCGTTCGTAGCTGCATAGGGGATGCCCTCAGCTTGTGTACCGGTAGGGGCCACGCCTGCGGCAAAGTGGCACGAGGCTGGTCGGTAATTGCTTCGGATGCAGTTGCTGCAGCGACCGGCGACAAATTCGACGAGTTCTTGATACTCCGGGCCGGTCGCTTCGGGGGGAAGACCGGTGCAAGTCTTTCGCCTGTGCTCCCACTTCTTCCGGTTGTACGGACCACAGGCGTCACAATGGCCGACGACTCCAACGACTTGCAGGATGGAGCCCATGATGACATGATATCGTCGTTGATGTCTGTCTGCTTCCCGCATGGGCTTGTCATCGAGTTCGTTCTGCTTGGGGAGTCGGAGTATCTCCAACATGGCCTGTCGCTCGCGGTCACCTTTGCAGGTGAAGTTGACGAATTCGAGTTTGTCCACGATGAAGTCCCAGACATCGGAATTCTCCTGGGCTTTTCGAAGACGGTCTTCAAAGGTCAGGGCTTGATTTTTTGCACACGCAAGGGGCTCGTCGTCGGAGTCAGAGCTCTGGCTTTCTTCGTCATCGGACCGTGGAGGTTGTCTATGGGCGGGCCCAAACTGAGGAATGAATCTCGACGGCGGCTGTGGCACACCGGGGGCGACAGGCCTCGACACTTCCAATGGCAGACCCGATGTGCTGTCGGAGGCTTCACTGGTCGTATGGCTCAGGCTCTGTCTGACCTCAGTGGAGGGACGGAAATTAGCAAGCGGTGCTAGTGTTGTTGCGCTTAGCGAGGGTGACGCCGACTGCACAGCCGGTGTATCAAAGTTGGCCGGGGTGGGTTGGGAAAGCAGTCCTGGTCCGTACACGGGCCGAGAGAGAGAGACATGCTGGTGGAAAGGCGAGCTATAGCCCGCTGCAAGACTGGGTCTCATCGATCCACGAAAACTGGATGAAGTGCCAGAACGACGCATTGTAGGCGGGCCTCTGGCTTTCATAGCAGCCTTCTTGGCCGCGGTCGACTCGGCGGTGTTATCTCCATCAGCGCCACGCTTCCTCGACGCGGTGCCAGATGGTGGTTGAGGTGTGCCAGCAGCGATACTACTGGAATTTGGTGAGCACATCGCGAGGAAGCGTCATCAACCTCATGGTCTTCTCGGTGGAGTTGTGCACATGAAAGAAAGACGGGGACGAGAATGAGAATTTCAACATGCTACAACAGCACAAACTATGCAAACAGAAAGGGCGTGTGTACAGCAGGCATTCTCAAGGATCCTGAGGTTAGCTGCAGGACGCTCGGGCCTCACTGTGTCGATATTCAAATAACCAACAGGCCGTAGTGCACGTATTTTATATCATCTGAGACGCAGCGTCTTTGTTCCAAATTCTGAGACATTTTCGCGGTAGGGGTTTCTAGAATATGTGAGAAAAAAAACTGCACGGAGTTCTCGGCTCAACCTTCGTGGTCAACTAGGGCAGATCAGCTTCTGGGATACGGGTAATATTACGTATCTAAATCTGCGACTGGGTTGGTTCTTGATCCGCAGTCTTAACTAGTAGTGAATATTGAACGCTCGAAAACCATAAAACTGTGAACTTTTGCATTTGAACCTATACCCTAGTTGGCGAACCCAAGAGTGAGGTCCCATACTTGTTGCACTGCTTGGCCACTACTTGGCTTATATCACTCATGCACTTGACGTGTCCCACAAGACCTCATAATATCTCCTTCGGTTTGTACAAGACACGGTATTTAAGCAGGCGAGGGGTATCCGGGTCATGGCTTGGCAAGACAACTACATCGGCTTGATGAGCAAACGATTTGATCTTCCTCAGACTCTCCAATGCTAAGATGGGGTCGTCGTTGACACCGTCCGGCTCTTCCTTATCTAGGAGATCCAATCCGTAACTCGCGTCCCCAAGCAAGCAGTATGTCGTCGTGCTGCCGTCATCGTTATCGCCACGCACGACCAGCGAGATGTGACCCGGGACATGGCCAGGGGTGTGCACCGCAACGATCCTCTCATCAGCCGTGATTTTGCCTGACTTCTCCCAGGGACCAACGGCACTGCCCGAGAAATCGATGAGGGTCGGTTGGAATGCTTCAGGCCAGTGCTGCGGGACGCACCCCGACAATGTCGCGTGGACCGGGCTGTTGCCAAAAGCGGCCCAGTGCTCAGCGCTCACGAAGACGGGGACGTCCGGCGCGGCCATCCTCAGATCCTTAACCCCGCCTGCGTGATCGCCGTGGAGGTGGCTGAGGACGATTGCCTGAAGCTGGTCTGGCTCCACGCCCTGCTCTTTCAGCTGGTTGACGATCCCGTCCTCCGGGCGGATGTTGACGCTGCTGAACATTTTGGTGGGACTGTAGTACGGCAGATAGCCGGGGTCGTTGCAACATGGCGATTCTCCCGTGTCGAATAGGACCGGACCGTTAGGATGGGATATTAGGAAGACGCCGATAGGCATAGGGTCGGTCCATTGTTGAGTGGCGATGCAGCGGAGTCGGCGGAGGGCGACAAATTGGTCCCAGTAATTTTGCACGGGCTGACCTTTCATAGGCAGCTTGATTTGGACCGTTCCGGTGGAGATGAAGGTTAGGCCAACGCGTGCTTGATTGTTCGCGCTCATGATGGCTGCACGCCAGGAAAAGACTCGAGAAGCATCCACTGGCGGAGGTCAATCAGCAAAGATCATGTTCGTTCGATGGGGACTAGGGGGTGTGGGGTCATTCACAGCAGCCTGGGCCGTTGCCAGTGGTGCTTGATCCTCCGAAGCTGCCGTCTGCCGAGGCCCGTATTGTCCGCCTTAACATGGTCTGCAACCACGGAGACACGGCCTGAGATTCCTGTGTTGAATCTATGATACCGAATAAGACAAAACGTCTGAAAAAGAGTGAGTTTATCTCTACCTTGTTTTGCCGATTCATGGTTTTTCAAAGGGGACAAGATCAAGGGCACCTGGGCAGTGTCCGTGACTGGGAAGGCCGTCACGCGAACGGGAGTGTCAAAATCACGCGTCAGATAGTATTGGAAATTTGGTGTATTAGCAGTTCAAAGACAAAGGTATCAAAAAAAGGAGAAGGTGGCTTTCTCTAAAAGAGAGGTAGACTGGAACAGAGCGCCTGTAAATTACCTGGCATCCATAGCGATGTTCCCCATCCCTGGTATTCTACGCATCTTGGGTGAGCGTGGGCGAGCGATCACAGGCTCTTCAAATGGTACCATCTTTCCCCGTCCGGAGCCCCTCGTGATCCTAAACGGATCAAGTCAGAGGTGATCGGACAAGATGCTTTGTTTAGGGCTGCTACTGTATCGAGACAGTTGGCAGCCTGTGGAAACTTTTGTTAGTTTAAATAAAATTAATTCTGTCCGCACCTCGCCGAGCTTAACTAGAGGATATAGTATAGGCTAACATCCATTACAAAGCCTTTCTTTCCCCCGCCCATGCCTCAATACCAGTTTTGCACACCAACTCTTTCGCCATTGTCACAGAGCAATAGGCTTAGCACCAAGAGAAGAAAGCTGCAACAATTTCTCGAGATTTACCGTGGCTGACACTTACATACCGTGGCAGCCATTGAGCTCTGTACTATGGAGACCAAGGGCAATCGTGTAAAGCTGTGCTCACGTGACATCGGAATCGACATCACAAGCTTGAAGTATTATTTGAACGTGATAGCTTCTCATCTTTAGCAGCTGGAAATAGCTAATATAATAATCACTTGTATGGAAATACTAGGGAGATGGGCTTAAGGCCCCCCCCCCCCCCCAGGAGTTCTCACCCCAGCTTCGTGGCAGGACTCGGAAGGGATGTCAACTGGTGCGAAACTAACCACAAAGAGTGACCACACCGAGGTGAAGCATATGCCTGTAGGCAGACTGAATTTGCTTGACTAGAGATCACCTTATAGGGAGAATTGGTCTGAAATGTCGCCGCGTCATGGAGAGTGGGGTTTCAATGCCGCTGTGCAACATCATGAGATGAGATGAACTGATGGGCAACGCTAGCAGCTGGCATTCATCCCCCGGTGCCCAGGTAGTTCATCCGGTCAGCTTACTCTCTGGAGCTGAACCAATTGGAAAATGGCAGGTATTGAGGCATCAGGTAGCATTGCAGATTGTAACGCAAGGGATCAAGTGCGAGGAGACCTATCGCATTGATTGCTTGTGTCACTTGCTAATGCAGGCGGTATCGTCCTTCACCTTGTGGCGATTGCTGCGAAATCATTCGCCAGGGAACTGAGAAGTGGTGCCCCTAAAAGTCCCTGACGTCTTCCATAGGAGCCCCTATGGTATTTGAATCAGAGACCGCTTGATCTCCATCACGGAGCCTCTCATCCAAATTGAAACGGTCAATCATCGCCAAGTCAGCATGGCGACGCCCACTATAGGAGGGCCTTTGAATGTCAAGGGCAATGAGGCTGCTGCTACCGTTTCCGATGCTGCTCACACCTACCTCTCTGCCGGCAAGCAGCACGAGCTGAAAGTGAGCTTTGAGGAATATCTGCACTATTCCTCTATTACACGCGCCGAGGAGAAACTTGCGAATGAAGCATACAGGAGCGCACGAGGCCGATCGGGTTTCAAGTCCCTCTTGCTAGACCGATTTCAGACCTCCCAAACAGGTCATGAAGCCGGCCATGCAACGAATCCAAACGATAAAGACCCGAGTCACGAAATAGACGAGAAATCCGGTCAGAGAACATCAGCCACCAAGGGCTCGTCGCAGGCCAATGCAGATGCCCAAGAGCTGCACACGGCAAACAGGGCGCTTCGAACCGCCGGTTGGGGCAGCGTGTTCTACCTTATCACCACAGACATCTTGGGCCCATCAAACACCCCGTGAGGACAGACTCTTCACCCAAATCCATATCCCAACTCTTAAATAACAACCATCTAGATGGGCTTTTGCTCAAACAGGCTACGGTGCTGGCTTCGCGCTTTACGTGTCCTTTGGTCTTCTCTCCGCATAGTGAGTCATAATGGTGGTCGTCCGTGATTATGTCCGATTTCCTGACGAATAAGCAGTTCGGGATGGATCCTGTGGAAGATGTTCCTCGGTCTCGACTCGGACCGGTATCCCGTGCGCAACTACGCCGACCTCTTCTTCCGGTGCTTCGGACCCTCGTCCGGGTACTTTGTCCACGTCGCCCAGGCGGTCCAACTCTTGATGATCATCGCCTTCCTCATCTTGCTCAACGGCCAGGCCATCAGTCAGATCTCCCAGGTCAACGGCACGGGCCCAGGGCTCTGCTTCATCGTGTGCGTGCTCGTCTTCGCCCTGGCCGGCATGATCGTGGGCCAAATCCGCACGATGCAGCGCTTCTCGTGGCTAGCGAATTTCTCGGTCTGGATTAACCTGCTGAGCATGTTTATCGTTATGGGCCTGGTGGCGCACTCCCACCCAATTTCGGAGCTCTGTCAGCGTCTTTCGGGCCCGACTTTGGCATTCCCGCACCAATCCAGACGTTCGCCGGGACACCGCCTATCGGTCTTGCTACCGGTGGCTCCGGCTTTGTCGCTTCTGTCAACGGTGCTATGCAGGCAGTATTTGCCTATGGCGGCGCTATGCTGTTTCCAGCCTTCATGGCGGAGATGCGACACCCGATGGACTTCTGGAAGGGTATGATTTGCGCGCAAGCATTTCTTACATCTGTGTACTTGATCTTCGGTATGGTTGTATACCACTTCCAGGGACAGTTCACATTTATACCCATAGCTCAGGGAATTTCAGTGTACGGATGGCAGACTTGTCTGAACGTCCTTGGGATGATTGCTGGTCTGATAGCCACTGGTCTCTACAGTAACGTCGGGCTGAAGATTGCATACATTGAGGTACTGGAGCCGTTGAGCTTTCCCCCACTGACTTCATCTATGGGTAAGGTCTGGTGGGCATGCTTAATTCCAGTATACTGGGCTATTGGCTTTGTTCTTGCTGCGGCCATCCCACAGCTGGCCTCTATATCAGGCCTGTTCGGGGCATTGTTTGGGCTGGGTTTCACCTACATTCTTCCTGCTTGGGGTGCATTGGGTTACTTCATTCGTGAGGATGCCGTCGTCAAGGATGCCGAGGCTTTCGACGAGACGTCTCGTACCTTCACTCGCGTCGACCATGGCTGGAGAAGGCTGGCCCGGGGTTTTATGAAGCGTCCAGTCTTCCACACCTGGAACCTCATTTATCTTCTGGGCACGCTTGCAACTTGCGGGCTGGGATGTTACGCTTCTATCCTCCAGCTAATCGGTGCTTTCGAGTCAGGGGTTGCCACCAGCTTTAGTTGCTCAAGTCCTGTGTAAGGTCTTCTGGAATGGCTTTCGGGAGGTTTGGAAGGCTCGTGGATACAGAGATGGATACAGAGTTGATAGAAACAAAATTAAAGCAAGAGAGTCGTTCGTCTTTTTACCTTGTCGTCATTTTCAAGCTCATTGGGCGCGCGTAACCAGGTTTGGGCCCACACCAAACAGCCCCCAGCAAATTATCACCAGAAGCTTTTCTGACACTCGGAACGCTGTCGAAGATTGCAGAAAAAGTTTCAGTGCCCATGTTGCTCCTTATAAACAAAGAACACGTTCATAGGAGATAATTGGACATGGAGTCTCAACATGATCCGTCTCAGACGGCAAAAGTTTATGATCTCCGAGTCCTGCATCAATGATATGATCTCAAAGATCCATTTAATGTTGACACTACAGGTGTAGGTGATGAAAGGTTCCGATATGTTCCACACTGAGTGCTTGTATCCTTTAGCTGCGTTCTTGAGCCTCTGTGGCTAGCATTTGCCCCTCCCGGGTTCGCGGCTGCTTAATATGTAAGTACCTAGGTAGATGGCGAAAGTATCTGCCAGAATTATAGCCGACAGGCTTGTGTTATAAGAGGTCCATCCAATGGACTTATGAGCTTCAGTAACACCGCAGACTTCATTTATTACCTAGGCACGTGCGACACTACGTCGTCGGTATAGGCTGCCGAATACCACACGAACTGACCAATTGTGGTGATCGGCATGACAGCGCCTAAATATGCATTTGATCCGGCCTTCTGCCTGTCCCTCGACAACGGAACCAGCCCGAAGACCTTGGTCCGGCAGAACTCATCTTGTTATGATATATTTCGCGAGCGCCCGATTAAAATTGTACCAACCGCTGCACTGATCTTCGTAATTAATTTACAAGATTCAGTTACGAGAAGAAGCCCAGGCACGATTCTACTCATCCCTTTGATTCTGCTGAAGCCGCACAATTTCCAAGATGTATCTCATCAATAGGATCGCACAATCAATTCTATTTCTGGCGAGTGCACTGGCCAATGCCAGGCTGTTCGAACTGGGTCTGCCAGAAGAGATCAAGCCAGGCGAGAAATTCAATATCACGGTGAAACAAGCCATCGGAATACCCATGATCGAAGTTTCGATGTTGTTCGGAATCGACAGATACGACGCCGAGGCAAACATTGCGCCCGAGCCGGGAAACATGGGTGGGACCCTTTTGGGTTCGATCGATCTACGAGGCAAGTTTTCATAATGCCTTTACCACAGCTTTAGCAGACAAGACAGACTAAGCCGCCAGTAGCAATTCTAGGAGATGGAAGAGGCCAGAACGTCACGACACTAACTGGCATGACTGTGCCCGACAAGTTTCCGCTCGGTCCGGCCGCGATCCAAGCTGTGATTCTTTCTGTCCAAGGTCCTGTGAATTCTCCTACGATTGAGACCTGGTTCTGGAATGTCACAATATCCGACTCGACGAGCGATCAACTTGTGTCAGCCACGTATGCCGACACTAATAGCAGATACTGTCAAATATAGATGGGAAATTCAGGGTTTGAGGTTCACAAACTCGGATTGCAGGAATTCTTCCAGATTGTGTTCGATTTCGCCAGCTGCTCATCCACCGCATGGGTCCATATCTTGGTAATGAATGAATGAGATGGATGATGATTGTGAGTTGTATGGATTGAGGGTTCGTGGCCGCCTAGTTTCAGGAAGTCTGGTGCCATCAACTAGTCCAAGGCACTCATGATACGGGCCGATGATGAGACCATCGAAAATTGGCCAAATTCTGGTCGACTCGGGCACGGATGGACGGGCAAGAGATGTTCTATTCCTCTAAACACTTATTTTCTAATACTATGAAGATATATTTTACGGATATCCCTCACAGCGCAAAGGCATATAGCAGCACCCAGTGCCATGGAATAGCTAAATGCAACAGACAAATTCGCATGTAAGCTTTCTGACTACGAATTTTGGGCACGAATTATGCATATGGTAGCACCAAAAACAGCCTGCCATTTTAATCGGGTAACCGCGACACTTTCAATCGGTTGCAATATTTGATGCAGTGTCTGGATTGTAGGCGAAACCGTGCCCATTGGAGACATTAATCAACAAAAGAGCAAGATGTTACTGAATTGCGAATGACATTTTCTCATTTTGGGGCAAGATAGCCCAGCAAAACTTTCAACGTAATTCTGCATCCTTTCATAGATCCCGTCCCTATTGCACAATCCACAAACCTGCCCAGGTGCCGCAAAGACAGGTCGGGGAGGGGGGGTTATGCTCAAGATTCTTTGAACTCGAGCTCTGTGGCTCGGTCTACTTTCCAGGCGACCCTCGCGGAGCTTGAATAACTCGGTGTCTAGAAGTAGTTCATTTATGCAGCTACCCCTTGCACGGCTGCACCGTTCTTCGGACGTCCCGCGTGACGGAGGCCAATCATCCCTTCGGTTATGGCATGGTCGCCCATGCTCTCAACTCGGTATTCTTAAGTTCTCCTCACCATTCTGTATCTTTATGATTGCTGAAGTTTTAGCAATGTCGCAATGACGTGCCGGCGATCTATTGATAAGCCTTGAAGATTAGCTGTAAAGGATTCTTTACCGCAGGACTTCCTCGAAGCTGCCACCAATCCCGGGATTCATCGGATATCTTTGACGAACAATACAATAGTCTCCGGCATGTAAGAGTTTAAAATGAAATTCTAATGAAGTCGATGTTCCAATGAAGGGGAATAGCTCTGATTCTGGAAATCTTGTTGGGAGATATTTCGGTATAGGATAGCCGAAAACGCGGGTTTGTGCAATTAAGATCCACGTTGTTCGGATGATTTATGCACCGAATCAGAAAACGGCCACTCCGGGCAAATTCGCACCGCCTGAGCCTCACAAACGAAGCCACATCAAATGATGTCTACAAACACCTCATCCCGTATTCATTTGTTTCAACGTTGGCCAGCAAGGAGGGCCAGGAGTAGGAGGTTTCTACTTATAGTGAGCCCAAGACGGAGATTTCCTAAAAGGCGTGTATAACACCTGCCGCGTAAAGCGTCCAGCCTTGGCCATGACGTCTAATTCTTTACTTCAAACTTGAGGTCTATCGCATGGAAGCAGAGTGTTCTTAGAATGGGCCGCAGGCCATCTGGGTCGTTTGCAAATCAGGCTTGCCATGCCGACTCGCATAGCACGCAGGCGGTGCTTTATTTTATTGTGTATATATCGCATGGACCCCTTCTTCTGCTTTCAGTGAACCAGGTAGCTAGGTCTCAAGGCTGTACCGGTCTTCATCTAATCACCATCATTTGTTAAGTCACTGCTGTGACTCAAGGTGAAGTCCGAGCCTGTGGCCATTTACAGCTGCATTTTCACTACCTTACTTGCTACGTGCCACTCATTACCACCCGGATTGACTCCTCACCATCTACAATTCTGATAAATCTTCTTTAAGCCACCATTCCAATGAGAAGTATCTCGTAGTACAAGATTATGCCATCTATGCCGAGCACGCCACAGACATAATGACCAGCTTCGCGGTGTTGCTATTATTGACCATTTCCGCGTCCTGTCTACCTTTCTTTCAAGGGAATACTATCGAACTGACCACCGAATCTGCAATTTCGCACCGTCAAGTCGGAGAGGGCGTCAATGGCAACCAGACAGAAAGTTCCGGGTCGATAACAAACTCCGGTGGGCTTGGAGATGGAAACGGTGTAGGGTTTGCGGGCACTGGAAATGACATAGGTATGTTCTGTGAGCCTTCATATCGGATTTCTAGTGAGGACTGACGCCCACTACAAAAGACACCGGTGATGATTTCGATATAGGGGATGGCAATACAACCATGGGAGACGGTAATGTGATTGAGATAGGTGACCGTATCAACGACATCACAAATATCAATGTCGGGCCGGACGAACACGGCCGGCTGGGGAGCAAGACTTCCATTCCTATTCAGTTGAGTGGGACCGACCGAGGCGGCAATACGATGAATTTCAACATCAACCTCCGACTGCTTGTGGATGGCAAGGGCAACGTGGAGGTGAACGCGTGATTTGCCCTTGGGGTTTCTCGGAGATACGGGATTTTTGATACCACATTTTCTCAACAATTTTCAAATTTATTCAATGGCTCTCTGGGGGTTATGATAAGCATCAACCCTACTTGAATGCATTCTCAGGCGGTCAAAACGGAGGACCAATCCTCGCTTCTGATGTATTCCTCCATCGATGTCACGGGGATCTGAACATCGAGCTGCACTTGTTAGCTGAAATTCGTGAGCCCTGGACGACTTCGGTCTTACCTTGCGTGGATCCAATACGTCCGGATATCCCCCGTGGAAGCCAAACTCCTCGATGAAGAGAAAGCTATCTCCGATCTCCTGTGCCATATGCTCAGGGACGCCCTCAAACATATCCTCCATCGATGTCTGTCGATACGCAGTCTTCACACCTAATACATGTCCCCACGCCTCAGCGAACGCGGGGAAACTGACCCACTCAGACACACCAAGGAGATCCTTCCCAGGCGGGAGGTCGACCACCAGCGCCTTGACGAACGATCCGGTGTCTTTCTCCGGAACGACTTGTGGCATCTTGAACTCAGGAGACATCGGCCGTGTCATGATGAAACCGCCGTCAGCCTGCTTCTGCGGCGCCATCCTCGCGAGCTGCTTCCAGTTGGTCACGTAGGGGCCCACCAGGAGGGTGCTCATGCGGGCCGCAACCTCGGGGTGTCGGTCCCGCGTGAGGCGGACCATCTCGACCTTGGAGTTGAAGGGGTAGATCTTGGTGAACTTGCCGCGGCTCCACTTGCTCGCGTCGGGGAGGCTCGACATCACAAATCGGTCGAGCGTCTTGATCACGGAGGGGTCTGCGGCGGCGGCGGCGATGTTCATCCCTTGTTCGACCTCGCGGTCGCATGCGTATTGGCCGGGGTTATCGACAGAGGGGAGGCTGAAAGCGGCGAAGAAGTGCGTGAAGAAGTCGGTGTTGGAGAAGATGGCAGTGGCGCCGTCGAAGGCCCTGACGAGGGACTGCTTGTCGTCGAGGTCACCCTGGACAATCTCTATTCCCTCGGCCGCCAGGACTTGGGCGGCGTGCCCTGAGGGGTTGCGTGTGATGCCGCGGACATGCCAGTGGGGCAGTTGGGAGAATGTTCGGGCGACAGACCCTCCCTATCAACTGATCAGCAAATGTCCAACATTTAAGTGATGCGCGTTTGATAGAAACACCTGAGCGCCAGTCACTCCCACAACCACCATGAGCTCGGGCATTGTAGAGATTCTTTGTATTGTTGTTTAATTTATACTGTTTTCACCTGGGTATGCTTTAAAGCTAAATGGGTATACAGAGGTGCCGTGGCATTACATGTCAACGGTGTTCTTTATACAAAGCCTCATTTCTAACTACTAGTACTCTCTGGCACTCGCAGGTCGGTCTAATCATCCGCCCGCGATTGCTAATGTACCTAGGTACCTACCTGCCGACACGCGCAGGTTGTGGACTAGGCCTTGGCATTAGAAACACCGACATCTTTTTCGGAGCGGCTCCAGGGCTATTGTATCTTCGCACTTTTTGATGTGCCGAATCTGCCCGTCCAATAATGGGCAAACAGCACCTGGGAATCAATGCTTGGTCATCAGTTCTTGGTCTGGCAACACGACTTGAGGAGCTGAACAGTATAGCACGTTCCATATCCACTTTCATATGACAAGAACTTGGGTCGCAAGATGCTATTATGGTCAGCAAGAAGTGTGGTGTGAGTAGACGCTGCGATCCTACTGTGTGACCCGTATAATCGGGAAACAGCTTGCGGGTGTGGAAGTGTTGAGCAGAAAATTGAATGGAACTCCCGAGCAGCACAATTGCATGCAAGAGTAGTACGATGACGTGGTGCCTGCGGCCCGCCCCGGCTTGTAGTACATATGGCAGTAGACGTCTAGACGCCGTGGGCTGGTTGGTTACACGGGCTTGAATGGCGATCGATGCATGCCCTCTGGTGCTGGTGCGTAGGTGGCGCTCCTGGAACTCGACGCACATCCATCTCTTCTCAAGATGAACACTGCCCTAGACTGCTTGGCCTGGCTGCCTGGTACCCCCAGTACCCCTGCTGTTGCAGGGCTGGAGCGGGGCCCGATCGGTTGTAACGCTGCGGCAGCGTGGGCTGGCTGGCTGGCTGGGTGCTACTCGGCCGAGTGAGCCTGCCTGGCCTGCGTTTGCATTTTGCATCTGCAGAAAGGGGCTGAAAATGCCATGGCACAATGCCATGCCAAACCAACCAGGACTGGTATGGGATTTGGAACATCGAGATCCGAGATCCCGCATCCCAAATAATTAATCAAATCGAAAGTCTAGAGGGGAAAACCTACAGAATTATGCCGAGGATGATGTTGACGATGATGATGACCTCGCTGCAAGACGCCCGGCCGACAGTTGAGTGAATGGAACCCAAACGGCAGGTCGGGACAGACGAGCTGACGAGATCGAAACTCGCAAGGTGGATCCAACAAAGGAGAGAAAGCTCCTGCCCCGAGTGTTTGGTGAAGGAACCCATTCACGTCAGGGGCTGCCGCACGCTAGTTGGACAGGGGTGGGGCAGCAGCCGACGTCATGGCTACGACGACCACTTCCCGAGCGAGCACATGAAGCTTCTGTCTCTGTTTTTCGCATTCTAAAACCATCAAAGTCTACGGTGTCATATCTGTCCACCTCTGTGGTCTGCTGGTCTCTTTCCTAGCTTCCGCCCGGCACGCCCTCCTCCGCGGCTCCCCACCTCACGACACAGCTCAGCCCAGCCCAGCCCAGCCCAGCCCAGCCGCGCGATAGATAATACCCGCCTAGGTACTTCAGTAGTTGAGAGAGCAGCCGTGTGTGCACCTCGTGCGCCTCTCTAATGACGTCTGTCTCCCGTCCAATCTCGATCCAAACCTCTTGTCGCAAATTCCTCTGTCATTCCTGGCCTGCAATTTGCTTAATTGAGTGCACTCTGCGTCAGCCATTTGCTACTAGTATATGCTGCAGATGAATCGGGGCCTTTGTCCATCTCTCTGCCTCTGCCTCTGCCTCTCACTCTGCATGTGTTGTACCTGGGCCAACACGCTACTACGTGCCTATTGGTCTGGTACACAAGCAGCACATCGTCATACATCACTCTCACTGGTGACATTGTGTTGGTCTAGTCATCCATTCTCTCATCTTTCGTGGTCCCCGTCTCCCTCCCCTCCCCTTTCCCTCACCATCAGCTCGATCTCGACGTAGTTGTGGTTCTCCGCCATCATACCGGCCTTCTGCCGTACTCTCTTCACTTGATTCCCCCCTCTCTGTGTCCATCACACCGTCCTCCATTGGAGATCACAGCCCCATCCACCACCCGCGGCTACGGAGTACCTAGGTATTCACTCCGAGTCCAGCCTTGCGTACAGGGTCCTGAGAACTGCAAGTGAGCGGCTTCTTCCGTCACCAACCATCGGTCTACACAGGCCGTGACGTTCTTTGCCAGCCTTTGAGACCCCAGTACCTAACAAATATCTGACCCGTACCACCCACCCTACACTCTCTTGTCCTCCGCCCGCATATCACCTCGACCCCCTTGGCTCCAATCAGCACCTGACTGCATGTCCCTGTGGTCCCATACTCTGTCTAGAGCTGTTCCAAGCCGAGCTCTCATTCATCCTAGCTCCCGTCTGCTGCTTATATCCTCCTGCGGCTGCTATCGCGGATGCAGGACCTTCTTCTCCGAGACAGTCCTGCCGGCAACCAAGGACAGCACAAGCCCCTCAAACCCTTTCACCAAACGTCATATCGCCACCGTCAGCCCCACAATGCCTCAGCGCACTAGAAAGAGGTCTTCCGCACGTGTGGACGCAGCGGATAACAACCACCCAGCCCCTGCTGCCGACGTTGCAACCCCTCCTGAGGCTACCTCAAATGGTCCAAGAAGATCGTCTCGCCGCATACCCGCACCTCGGGACTCTCGACAGACTAAGGAGGACCGCACTGGCAACCCCAAGAAACGAGCCCGCGGTGTTGCAATGGATGTTGATGAGATGGCATCAACACACACAGAGCACATTGGGGATGTCGCGAAGCGCCTAGAGAATGGCAATGAGGGTGCCGCCTCAGCCCTACGCCATCTGGAGGAAATGGAGGCCTCGTTCAAAAATGACATCAAGAGACGAAGGCTGCAGATCAAGCAGAGTATCCCAAACGGGTCCAGTTCCGACCGATCGGCGCCTGCCCTGAAGCTTCGGGGTGCCGCTCCCTCGAGCCAGAGTGATGTCGTCCATCTGGACCGCATCCTGCTCACACCAGAGGAGGAAAAGGACCAATTTGTCACCGCGAGAGACGAAGAGAATTTGTCTGGCGATGAGCTTGTGGAGACGATCAAAGGGGCCAACCGCCCACCTGCCGTGAACAGTGACTATCTGCCGCTGCCGTGGAAAGGACGTTTAGGTTATGTCAGTCACCATGTCTCCAGAAGCTGTGCCAGTGCCCAAGTACTGATATGCCGCTTAGGCTTGCCTGAACACCTACCTTCGGACCGCCAAGCCCCCCGTCTTCAGCTCAAGGACATGCCGTATATCCTCCATCCTGGAACATAGGCATCCGCTAGCAGACCCGTCGCAGCCAGAGCATGCCACCAAGAATAGGCCGGATAAGACCAAGGCAGCCGACCTTGTGCTAGGCCAAAAGTATGTGGAGGGTCTTGGCTTAGCTAACGCAAGAGATATCGTCAAGATGCTTCGGTGGAACGAAAGGTACGGCATCAGGTTCATGAGGCTGAGCTCTGAGATGTTCCCATTTGCAAGTCATGAGGAGTACGGCTACAAGTTGGCCCCATTTGCATCTGAGGCCCTCGCCGAGGCTGGAAAGGTCGCTGCTGAGCTGGGACACCGTCTCACGACCCATCCTGGGCAGGTGAGAACTTGAAACCGTCACATATGCACTTGGACAAAGACTCTTTTTTATGGCTGACACAGAATAGTTCACTCAGCTTGGGTCGCCTCGAAAGCAGGTTGTGAGCAACGCGGTCCGGGATCTTGAGTACCACGACGAGCTGTTGTCTCTGTTGAAACTCCCTCCTCAGCAGAATAGGGACGCCATCATGATCCTCCACATGGGCGGAACATTCGCCGATGCAGGAGGCAAACCAGCGACCCTTGACCGCTTCCGCGAAAACTACGCCACCCTCTCAGACTCAATCAAACATCGCCTCGTACTAGAGAATGACGACGTGTCCTGGTCAGTCCACGACCTGCTGCCCATCTGCGAGGAGCTGAATATTCCCATGGTCCTCGACTACCACCACCACAATATCATTTTCGACGAGGACAAGCTCCGGGAAGGAACATACGATATTTCTCGGCCAGATATTATGGATCGAATCACCAGGACCTGGACCAGGAAAGGCATCACACAGAAGATGCATTATTCGGAGCCCTGCTACGGCGCCATTACTCCGCGCGACCGGAGGAAGCACAGCCCCCGCGTGGGGACATTACCACCTTGCCCCCCGGACATGGATCTCATGATCGAGGCCAAGGACAAGGAGCAGGCCGTGTTTGAGCTGATGCGCAGGTTCAAGCTTCCCGGGTTCGAGAAGATCGCGGACGTGGTGGCTCACGAGCGTGACGACCAGGACAGGCCGCCGCAGAAGGTGAAGGCACCAAAAAAGACCGCAACCAGGAAGAAGAAGCGCAAGGCTGGTGAAGAGGCTACCGAGGATGCCGAAGACACCGGCAATGGCAACGGGGAAGTGGTTGAAGAGGTGGTCCCCGCCCCCGACCCGGGCCTTACAGTGACACCCGAGGAGTTCGGAATGGGTGGGCCGCTAGGAAGGGTATACTGGCCGATTGGGTGTGAGGACTGGTTAAATCCCCGGAAGAAGGAGCGGAAGATTAAGCTGGATGACACTAAAGCTTGATTGATCAGATGGTCGAAAGGTCTCTGGGGATGAGTCATCTGCGATATGTGGCGCAGTGTTTTTCCCAGACGGCACTAAAGGCATGAAGATTGTTCAAGTGCATAGGTACAAGGGCGTGATAAGCGAGCGGACCTGTGTACTTGGTACCCTAGAAGAAGAAAAAAACGAAAGGTGAGGTGAGATCTATAGCTTCCAGCTGAATTAAAAAAAGAATGACTACAAGGGTACTCAATATGCGAGTAATCCTGCATGCTGTGCTCTCGTTACCGCTATACAATTAGAGCTAGAAATGCTCAGCCGATATTAGTCTGATATCAGCGGGATATACTGGGGTAACACTTGTCCGACTTTGCAAACCCTCTTTATGCTTAAGTCAAGGGGTCAGGAACGGGCACGTTATATCTATCCAATAGCCTTGGCAAGATCAGGCGCTATCATGACCATCGCGTACTGGCTCTCGCCAACAACCTTTTGCTCGTAGATTTCCTCGAATCCCAACGCCAGGTATAGCGGTCGTCCCTCGGGAGTCGCCCGCAGGCACACGTCCTTCCCCTGGCTCGCCGCCCGATCGAGGCCTTCCTTGGCCAGGAGCCTACCGATCCCCTGCCGCTGGTGCTTGGGGTCTATGACCAGGTAGTTCAGCTCTGTGTTGTGTGCGCGAAGGAGAGATTAGCCACCATCCCAGCCAGCCATTTTCTTTTTCTCTGGTTATGGAGAAGAAATATCGGATGGACTCACGTAACGACGCCGCCGCCCGCTCCGCCCCCAGAAACTCCTCAAACTTCTTCTCGAGCTCCTGGCCCTCGGTCCGCAGCATATCGAGCGCCGCCGAGTCCAGCCCGGCCGGGTTCGGCCCCAGGTCCCGGTCCATCTTGGCCTTCATCTCTTGGGGGTTTAGGCCGCTGCCCTTTGGGGCGGCCAGGTCGATCCACTGGGCCCAGCCGACGGTCTCGTCCCCCTGGCAGGCTACGATGGTCTCCCGGGCTGGGGAGTCGAGCCCTGCCGCTATGGTGTACTGGCGCCACGCGACCTCGTCCTGGTCGCCGGGGTTGCGCCTCAGGTGCTCGGGGAAGAGGAGCCGGCCCCATGGGCCTGGGGCAAATGCGTCTACCAGCATGCGCGTCATGCGCGGCAGGTCTGCTCTTGTGGCGCGGCGGAGGGTTGTGGTCGCAGACATGTTTATGCAGCCGGTGGACTGAGTCAGGCGGATACACAATGCTATGCTACTATGCAGCTTCGCTTGGAGGTCTACAGGTGCATCATACGGTGCCCAGGTGGTGCATTTAAAGCGGGAAGTTCTGGGACAGTCATAGATTCAAATATCTGTCGTTGATGTTGAGTCCTAGCGCATTCCTATCCAGTGAGTCACTGGGCTGACTGCATGTGGTTTCGTTTCTATTCCGTCCCTGGTATACGCCCAAGGCCATAAATACAAGCCCTAGAGCCGAGTTTACATGTCTCCTTCACGCTCGCCAGATTTGTAGGGGCGGTAATAAACACGGACACAACTCTGAACGATTGACGTGTCTGTCTTGCTTTCACAATAAGCGCAATGAGACCCCCTGCCCACATGCCAAGCAGTCACTAGCGTGGTGCATATGTCGTCCACGTTGGCCGCGAAGCTTGAATCCAAGGTTGCTGACTTCGATCTGCCTTGACCAATTGGCAATGGCATATGATCACCTAAGCCAACAGATGTCCGCAGTTCAGTCAGCATCAGATTGAAGCCATCACCGTGCACAGCGGACTGATTGTGTTACCGTTGATCCGGCGGAGTCCTGCGGTACGGGGACTCGGGTTGGTAGCATGGGATCTAATGGTGTCTTATCTCCGTGGATGGTTTTTAATACCGGTGCCCAGGTGGGTTTCTCCCGGGGCCGATGCGCGCGGTGGATTCCCGCGAGGCACTGAAGCAGATTTAGGCTTTTGCGTCCTTAAGTCCGGCATGGTCGAGCGGTAAGCCGCGAACTCTACTCATGACAGTACAGCGCATTGTGGCTCCACACCCGCAGCGGCAGTTCAACGGCCACTAGCATGCTTAAGACATGGTGACGAAATCGAGATCTTTAAGTATATAAGCCGTCGATGGCCAAACAAAGCTATCTTCCTGAGCCGAACAACTACCTCACCTTCTCATTACAGACTCATACATACGCTTCCTAAGCATATCCCCAGAGTTCTTCTTCAACTTGTTCACTCAAGTGTTCAAATTCCTCAGAGTGCATCATGGCTCCACCTCAACTCCCAACCCGCAAGCTGGGCAAGAATGGCCCGGAAATCACCGCCCTCGGATTCGGAACCATGGGCCTCTCAACCTTCTACGGCAAGGTCAAGCCAGACGAGGAGCGATATGCCGTGCTGGACCATGTCTACGAGTCCGGCTGTCTAAACTGGGACACAGCAGACATGTACGCTGACAGCGAGGACCTCCTGGGGCGCTGGTTCAAGCGCAACCCCGGCAAGCGGGAGAACATCTTCCTAGCCACCAAGTTCGCAAACTACCAGGACCCGGAAACGGGCGAGTTCAGTATCCGCAATGAGCCAGAGTACATCCAGCAGGCCATCGACAAGTCTCTCAAGCGCCTGGGTCTTCCCTACGTGGACCTGTACTACTGCCACCGGCTCGACGCCAACCAGCCCATCGAGACGACGGTCGCCGAGATGAAGAAGCTCCAGGATGCGGGCAAGGTCAAGTACCTGGGCCTCAGCGAGTGCAGCGCCGAAAGCCTGCGCAGGGCCTGCAAGGTCGCGCACATCGACGCGGTCCAGGTCGAGTACTCGCCCTTCTCGCTCGAGATCGAGTCCAAGGAAATCGACCTTCTCCGCGTGTGCCGCGAGCTCGGCGTCGCCACCGTTGCCTACTCGCCGCTGGGCCGCGGGTTCCTCACCGGCAGCATCCGTTCGCCCGATGACTTTGAGGACACGGACTTCCGCAAGTTTGCTGCGCCGAGGTTCTCCAAGGAGAACTTCCACAAGAACTTGGAGCTTGTCGACAGCCTCAAGTCCACGGCCGAGAGCAAGGGCTGCACTACCTCGCAGCTCGTGCTGGCTTGGTTGATGGCTCAGGGTGAGGATATCATTCCCATCCCAGGCACCACGCGCATCAAGAACTTTGACGAGAACATTGGCGCGCTGAAGGTTAAACTCTCCAAGGAGGAGGAGCAGAAGATCAGGGCGGCCATTGAGAAGGCTGAGGTCAAGGGTGGCAGATATCCTGACTTTATGGCAAATTCGCTTTATGTTACGACGAAGCCACTGTAAAGGGCTTTGTCAAGAGCAGGGGGCTTCCCCCGCTTATCATTCATAGCTAGGAAACCAGTCAATTTTCTCCATTCGATATGCCCTGCTCAGATTCGTGACAGGTTTCCACAGGACAAAAAGTGTGCCATGTCGCGGCTATACTTTATATTGTCAAAGTGTGGTTTGGGGCCTCTAATGGGCTGGATTTAAAGTTTCATTATAGTCATCCTGAAGTTTACGCAGCCTGACCCTTCAGTTATATGGTGGCATAGCGCCGCACACATTATTCTCTTGTCGACAGTAAGCGTGCAAGCGAAATTTAACCGCATGAATTAATCAACGCAGTTGGCAACCTGAAAGACCGATGATGTCGAAAATCATGATGAGCACACCCTGCAAAGCATGGTGAGCATCAATTGACTGTAGGGACCATGAAGGGATACAACGCAGCCGAGCCTCTTCCGTTATGAAGATGGTGGTAGTGGTGATTTTTATCGCCTTGCGGGAACTTGGGTGCTGCTGATCGTCTTCTCGTCCTCGACGACCTCAGAGATAGGTCGTTTCTCTGCAGAGACCTCGTGCTTCCGAACCTCAGCCATCGCCTTCTCCTGGATAGTTGTCTTGTAGCCTTTGAATTTCCATGCTGGCACCTTTTCCGCAAACAGCTCATCGATCTCTTCGAGCGTACGCCCTTTCAACTCGGGCATAAAAAGGTAGAAAAATATCATGCAAGCAAAGTTTGAGCCAGCCCACAAATAGCCATATTTGGCTCCCTATTTGCGAAGTCAGTTCCATTAATAAAGACAGGCAGGCAGACAGACAGAAACTGTGGCAGAGGATACTAACCCAATTTAGATTTTCGGGGTTTATGAAGTAAGGTGAGCAGAACCCTGTCAACCAAGCAAAGAAGTATCCCAGACTGATGGCCGAGCCTACCGACCAACTCCTCAGTCTCGTGCTGACCAATTCCGTGCTCACCGGATAGCTCGCATCTCCCACGAAAGCGTTATACGAGAACAGGTATAGCGCGAAGAAAGCAATCAGGCAATTCCTTCCTGTTTCGCTGCCCACAGGATTAACACTGCCCGCACCGATCGCCATTCCAAGCATGCACAGCCCCTGTATTGCCGCGCCCATTGTCAGAATCGTCCGGCGTCCTACCACATGGCGCATGAGGTAGATCCCGAAGTTGACTCCGACCAAGCCGAGACAGGTATTCATGATGGAGTATCTGAACGCCTCGGTGACGGTCAAGCCTGCGACGATGAGAAAATACGTGCTGTAACTGATGACGAACCACGAGCCCGACCCAACCTGGCTCATAATCACCCCGTAGCACAGCAACGTGCGTCGCAGGTCAGTCCCGCGGTACTGGTCAAGCGGTCCGATGGTGCTCGCGAGCTTCTTCTCCTCCTCAATACCCTGCCCCATCTCGACCCACTCCAGCTCTAGCTCCTCGGGCCGCAGCGACCCGCCCCTGAGCGACTCGAGGGCGCGCCTCGCCTGCTCCATCTTGCCGCGGTTGACCAGGTACCTCGGGGATTCGGGCACGAAGACGAGACCAACAGCCAGCACGACGGGGACGATGAACAAGATCCCGATCGGGATCTGGTAGCTCGCCTTGTCGAGACGGGACTGCGTCGCATTGGTCACCACCGCGCCAACGATGGATCCGATGTTGACCCATTCCGAGAACAGCGCCACCATTACCGCACGCAGGTGTGCCGGGCTCGCCTCGGCCGTGTATATATTGGAGAATGTGACCAGGAAGCCATTGCCAATGCCGAAAATTAGCCGCCCCACGTAGACGACCGCCTTGTCAGTCGTGTTAATCTGGATAGCGCAGCCAACCGCAGTCAGCAGGCAAGCCAGCCATAGGGCCGTCTTGCGCCCGAAGAAGTGGGCGAAGCTGCCTGCGGTCAGGGAGCTGAGGAAGGCACCGAGGGTTAGAAGGGAGCTTATCAGTTGTTGGAAGGTTCCCTAGCATTGTCAATTGCCAGTGATTAGTTTCGCCGTCTTGATGATGGTTTTGGGAGTGTGCGGGCTATCTGCAGGGAAACCACTTACACCAATGGCATAACCACCAGGTGCTTCAGGGTCTGGGTATCCAAAGACAACTAAGAAGCCGGGCATGGCTTGCAGGCTTCCAATGACAGCAGAATCCAGCCCATATTGCATATTAGCAATGGCCACAGTGGCACATATCAGGAGACATTTCTGACGAGTCCAGTTAATTAATCACGGGCAGCCTACACAACAATTGAATGAATGAGACCTACTCTGTTCGCCCATAGGGACGTCTCTGGCAGTTGGGCATCTGAGGACACTGGCATGGCTACATGTATCAACGCAATATGAGGTTCGCTCGAGACACACGAAGATGCGTGTCAGCTTACTTCTTGGTTTAAGGGGTCTATTATATAGTGGCCGCTCTCATTTCTGACTTCCGCGATCGTTACGGTGATCTACCCCAATACAACCATCGGTGGTGACTTGGCTGGCATTCTGACCATGTCTCCCCGCAAGCTGAGCCCCTGTCCTTGCAACAAGCATCCCGTTCTGCGGGTGATGCTCTCCTCTCTGCATCTTCCTGTTCTAGGCACAGGCAGTGCAAACTGGGACGGGGTTGATTCCCCGCATTTGCGGTAGTTCATACAGTCCAAAGATTCCAGACACTAGCACCAGTTTCCGAGGAACTGGGTCGTCCTATTTCTCAAGTGCGTGCTCCAACTCGAAATCCCTGGCCCGCGGCGAAGGTGTGGGGAATGGCACACTCGTCGGCGAGTATAAAGACAAGTTGGATTGTGTCAACTCATAAAAGCTACTAGGGTATTCAGCATCACTTTGAAAGGACTTACAGATGCGAAGATGTAGCATTTTGCTGGTGATTGGAATCGACATACATGCCCAGGTATGCAAGTGATTCAAATTGTGTGACAGCTCTAGGTGGCCTGTCTTCTCAAGACGAACAACACCAGTGGCGAAAGGCTGATAGGTATTGTACACGGATTCGTGCATGAGATCACAAGGCATCAATTGATATGTGACATTCATGAATCTGTGTCTTTCATCTTACGTATCATTGCGTCGACGAGAGATCTGTAACTTCTACTAGTCAGGTGCTAAGAGCTCAACTAATATCCATACTTTCAGGCACCAAATGCCTTTCTCACATGAGTCCTCGTCGTTGCTCTCCCATGTCTCGAGCCCCATCATCAGCTTCCCAGGCATGTATGCGGTGTGAAATAACCTAAATATCATTGCCCCAGCGCGGAGCGTTAAGGATGATGCCCATGAGCAGGCCGGAGATGAGACCAGCACAAGGCAGTGTGATGAACCACCCCATGTAAATCCAAGCAACCATCCTCCAGTTAATGCTCCTCCACGTTCCGTTACAAAAGCCGACGCCGACCGTGGCACCACATATGCACTGGGTTGTCGAAACAGGGAGTTTAAGCTTGGTGGCCATGATGATGGTGATGGCGGCGCCGAGCTCCATAGAGAAACCGCGGGATGGTGAGTGCAGCGTGATCTTGTTTCCGAGCGCACGCATAATGTTGTATCCGTACGTCCAAAGACCGACGACAATACCGGCACCACCAAATGCCAGGATCCATGTCGGCACGGGGACACTAGAGCTGATGTTGTTGGTTTGCCAGACGAAGTAGATCGTGGTGTAGGGGCCAATGGCGTTGGAAACGTCGTTTGCCCCATGTGCGAAGGATGCGGTCGAGGCGGTCAGGATTTGCAGGAATGAGTAGGTGTACTCAGCTGAAAAATGTCAGCATGTGAGCGTTTTCGCGACTGAAATTGAAAGTCACGAAACATAAAATAAAAGACTCACCCTCATTGTTGAAGTGTTCACCGGTGGCGTGTATGGCCTCAATGTCCCCCGAGAGGAAGTCCCTCTTGCCCTGGGCTGAGACCACCTCCTGTTCGACGCCATGCCAAAACCAATATTTGGCCCAGAAGAACATCACTGCTGGTGCGTACCAGGGACCAGATGGGGCCGCCAGCTTAGGATCAACCGGCTTGTCCTTCAGTGTATTATTTTCTTCTGGTCGCGGTGGAGGAGTAATATCTGAAGAGGAACTGCCCTTTTCCGCGGCGTCACCAGTTTCATTGCCGCTGAGCACACGCACAGGGTGTCTTTCGATGTCATCGGAGTTTCCTTCTGCCGCTCTCTTGGCCTCGAGCTCCTCCCTCGTCAGGTGACCCTCGTAGTAGTCTCGAATTCCAGCCTCGTGCACACCCTCAGGTCGGGCCGGTGGGTCGGGACGCCTGAGAAGTAAGGGGCCTTGAATGACCTGCCATCCCTTCAGTTGCCAGTCATCCTTCAGAATTTTGCGGTAAAGGTATGGGATGAAGAACACAGTGACGATAAGCGCAACCCCGGCACCCACACCCAAGATGGGTCCAGGAAGCTCTCGGTCTTCCAAGTCGATTCTTGCCGAGCCACCTTTCCATACAATAAGCATGGTGAGGAGGGCTGACGTGAGGAAGAAGTAGAACGGAACAGCGATGAGCGCATTCTTAACTGGGTTCTTCCGCCGCATGACCCCGTACTTGGTTGCGAGGAAGATGATGGATGCGAAGATACCGGCGATTCCCGGCGCGATGGCCCAAGCCGCAAAGACTTGGGAGACACCGCCCCATCCCCAGTTGACACCCTCAGAGCCAACAGCAGCGATGCCGACTCCGATCACACCGCCCATGATAGAGTGTGTTGTCGACACAGGCATAGTGAAGCGTGTCGCAATTGTAAGCCATACGGACGACCCGACGATGGCACAGACCATTGCCAGCATGAGGACTGAGGGGTCCCCTTCGAACAGAGTCGTGGAGATTACCTTTGTGCGTATCGTCTCCGTAACCTGGGCGCCGACAGCCATAGCGCCGGCAAACTCCATACAAGATGCGATTATCATGGCTTGTTTCAAGGTGAGGGATCGCGAGGCGACCGATGTCGCGAATGAGTTGGCAACATCATTGGCACCTATCCTATGCTGTCAGCAGCACGTCTCACGGGGCGAAGCCAGGAGGGCCACGGTAATGACCGTAGAAAATCATTTCCTAGGCCGGAGAAAAACGTACCGATGTTCCAGGCATCGAGGAACGAGAAAATGGTGCCAATGGCAAAAAGATAGTCAAACTGAGGAAGCGCAGCCATATTGCTTACCGAGGTACTTGAAATCCCTCACGGCGGTTGACAATCTGGCGTGCCTATTTGGACTCTGATGCTTTCGTACAGCATGCCATACAAGAGCGTGTCCGTGACCATATATACCGTCCCCCGTCTGCGGACAGGAAAATATGACAAACACCTCTCAACCAGGAGAGAAAAGCCCTGGGCCAATCAACAGAGCCACATCTTGCATGTGCGCGAGGATATTCCCTTTCCATAGCCCTGGGGGAATCTAGGAACGGCGTCTGGGGTCTTGGAAGCTATCTTGGTTGTGGGCCAACGGCACACACTAGAAAATCTTAGAGGACTCGGAAGGCTTGGAGCATTCTATCACCAGCTGAGCCGGTCGGATGCGCAAATACGTACTGCAAACCTGATACAGCTCTACAGCCTTGTCACATTTCGTCTGCAGCCGAACTAGACTTGCAGGCCAACCGCCAGACATCAAGCGTCCGCCGAGCAGCCAAGGCCCTCGGCGGGAACTGGCGGAAGCTGGGCGGGAGATGCCAAGTTCGGCCCAATAACCAGATTGACGGAGATGCAGGAGCCAATGGGTGTCCAGCACGAGAGCACGCGGCTTCGACAGTAGATATGAATGGAGGCTTGAGATCGTGGGTGGTACTGCAGCCTCAGCACACCTCTTTCAACAAAGCCTTGGCTCCGCTCTGAAGATGTTAGCCGTGGCGAGCCCGGGGTGGAATGCTCGCCCAACGTATGGGCTGATGGTCAGCCTCAGGATCATGGTAAGCGCACGAGCATACGCCACCAACAAAAGGTCAAAGTGGAGAAACTTGCACATGTGAAGATATTTGGTTCTGGCAGGTCAATTTCGATGCTCGGACCAAATGCTTGGACCGGCGAGGGTGGCCAAGCCATCGTTGGGCATTACTGTGCAGCGGTGATGAGGAATTCGGTTAACAATGATCTCTACTCAACCCAAGTACCTAGGTATGTCTTCCACGTATGAGACAACGTGACCCAATTGCTACTTTTCCCCAATTCTTCATATGCACGAGAGGGCCAGGGGCTTGAGGAAACGGCAAGGAAGACCAAGACGATATGGGCCCACCTGGGCAGTGGAGCGAGCAGACGAAGTTTTGATTCTGAGGGTATGAAGTAATAGTAGGGATGTAAGAAGATTCAAGGCTTGAACCAAGAATTAAGCGTATCTGTCATTACCCAGATCCACGGATCTCGGTGAGCATGTGTGGGGCTGGGGAGTGTACCTCCTGTGTTGATCACTTCCTCACTCTTCTGAGCCCCGGTTTTAGGTGACATATAATCACTTATCCTAGTGGTTTCATTTTTAATCCCCATATATATAAAATATATATAATACTTTTATATAATAGTAAATACTTAAAATTTAATATTTAAAGAAATATAGTATTATTAATAATAAAAAAAGAATATAATATATAAATATATAATTAAGTTTTATATTATATAAATAAAGTTAAAAAATATTATTTTTAATAATATTATATTAAAATTATTAATATAAATAGTTTAAAGGTTAATTTATTATAATATTAAAGTTAAAGTTAATAAAGTAATTATATAATAAAATTAAAATACTTTTAAAATAACTTTTATAAAAAAGAATTTTATAATATAAAATTTAATAAATTAATTCTTTTATTAATATATTTATTATATAATTATTTAAATTTATTTTTATTAAATAAATTAAATATATTATAGTTTTTATCTTAAATATATAATTATTAATAAAATAATAATATTATAATAATAAATTTATTTAAAAACTTTTTATATAAATTTTATAAAAATTAAAACTTTTAAAAAGTTAAATAAAGTTTATTTATTATATATTAAATAAATTCCTCCTAAATATAAAGTTAAAAGATTTATAATTATAATTTTATAATTAGTTTCTTATTTAATTATATTATATTATTATAACTTTATTTAATTTCTAACTTTATTTAAGTCTTTTTTAAACTTTTTTAATATTTTTCTTTTTAAGTAAATTAAATTTAAAAAGGAGCCTTTAAGCTTAAATTTAAAATTTTTATAGATTTTAATTTCCTTTAAATTAAATTTATAATCCTTTAGTTTTTTTAAAACTATATTAATTATTTTAAATATTAATAACTTTTTTTAAAAGTAAAAGTCTATCTTTATATAATTATAAATTTAGTTATTAATAGTTATTTTTTTTTTATAAAGCTATTAAAACTATAAACTTAAAGTAGTAATAGAATATAGTTACCTTATCTAAAGGTTATCTCTTAATTTAATAGATTATATAGTGAAGCTAGGGGCGAGGATTTCGTACTTGGGGCTGGGGGTCCTCTACCCCCGACTTTTATGGTTAACTATTTACTTATAATGAGTAAGAAAGAGGACAAAATAGTTACTTCTAGGTACTAATTAAATAAGAATAAGGAGGGATAAATTGCTAGTAAAGTCCTTTAGGGGAGAGGTACCTATTTATATAGTCTATGTCTAGGGCTGTTACTGATAGCTGCTGAGATAATAGTAGGCTAAGTGACTATTTTTAAGTGGTTTTACTTATAGAGTTAATAGTTTTTTAAGTTTATTAAATAGGTATTTATTTAAGTAGAGTTAGAATCTATATATATTCTTTAAGGGAATAGTAACTTTATTTTTATTTATTTTAATTAACTTATTTAAGTTATATAGTAACTTTATATATAGTGTTTAATAGTGTTAAAACTAGGTAGCTTATAGTTTATAATAGTTTTAACCTTTAATAGGTGTGGTAGAGAAGGTAGGGGTAGAGTTAGAATTAAAGTATAGTTAGATTTAATTATTAAGTTAGGTTATAGGTAGTTAGGCTAAAGGCTTTAGCCTTAGTTTAGAAAACCTATTAATTAATCTAATAATTAAGCTAGAAATCTAGTTAACTTACTTATACCCCTTTATACCTACTATAAATACTAGGTGGTAAGAAGAAGGTGTGATGTCTTTATTACTTTTAGTTAATTAGGAGGCTTTATTTATTAATAAAGCTATTTTTAACTAAATTATTAATTTACTTAGAATTATTATTAAATGTTTAATTATAATTTAATTAATTTAAGTACTTTAAAAACACTTAAAATTAATATTTTTATAAATTATTTAAATTATTTAAATTTTAATTCCTTTAATAGGTAAAATTAAGCCTTAATTTATTAATTATTAATTAATTATTATATAATTTCTATTAGTTAGTAGGTAGTTATTAGCTATTTATAAATATATATAAATTATTACTTTTAAGTAATTAAAGTTATAGAAGTTACTACTTTTATTATTTAATTAATTACTTAATTAATTAATTTTATTCTAATAGTTAGTTTAGTAAAAGTTAGTTTAATAATTATTTTAATAAGCTAATTAATAGTTTAATTAATAATTTAATTAATTACTTTAATAATTACTTTAATAGTTATTTTAATAATCACTCTAATAGTTACTTTAATAATTAGTTTTACTTCAATCATTTATATACCTTAGCTTTATATAATCCTTTTCTTTTAAGTATATAAATAATATATTTTAAGAGTCTATTATAAAGTTATATAACTAGTATATTTATTACTTAATTAGTATAAAGTTTAAATTTAAACTTATTTATTATATAAGTTATTTAATTAATAGTTACTTAATTAGTAAGTTTAAAGGATTGAATAGACTTAAAGAAGTATTAGTAGGTATATAAAAAAGGAGAGATATCCTTATTAATTTATCTTTAATAGGCTACTAAGTGTAAATAAGTAGTAATAATAGAGGTATTAGTGATTATTAGTAGCTATAAATGTTTAAATATATATAATTAAATAGGGTAGACTTTAATAAGTAGGTTTTATTATACTTTTTATAAGTTTAAAAGGTTGTTTATTAAAGGATTATTTATTAAGGGACTATTTGTTAAGGGCTTTATAATTATTGAAGGTTTAAGTTAAAGGTGGTGTAAAGAGTAGTTTTAATTAAAGTGTACTCTTTAATTTACTTTTAGAGGGTATTATAATTACTTTTAAGGGCTTAATTATACTATTAGATAATATTATAGTTATTTTTAAAGGTTTAATTATATAATTTAAGGTTATTAATTTATTATTAAAAGGTTTAATTTTTTTATTAAAGGTTATTAATTAAAGTAGTTTAAATAGTAGGTAATTATTTTATTTTAAGTTACTTTTTTATTTAATAATTAATTAGTTTCTTTATTTAAATATTATAAAAGAAGAGTAACTTATATAGTAAAGTCTTTATATTAAACTTTTAAATAAAAGGAATAGTTTATTTTATAGTTAAAAATATAGTAGTTTTTATTATTATTTAAGTAATAGTAACTATATTTAATATAAATAGTTTTAAAAGAGTTATTTTTAGAGTATTTATAGATTTAAAAGTCTTTTTAAAATCTTTATATAGTTAAAAGTTATATTTAATAAGGTTTTTAATAGTATTTTAATAGTTACTTAAGTAAATAAGCTTCTAGTTATAGGTGATAAGAGTTATTAGGTAGACTTTATATATTACTATTATTAAAGAGAGAGAAAGATTAAATTAATTAAAGTATCCTTTTAATTTAATTATAATAAGTAGTTATAAGTAAGTTAATAGTTAGTTATAACATTTAAGTAGTTATAAAAGTATAATTTTTAATAGGTAGTTATAAATATAGTTATAAATAAAGGTAGTTAATTATAATATTTATAAATTAGTAAATTTTAATTAAAAATTATTAAAATAAGTATAGTTAGAATGTTTAAAAAGAGAGTATTCTAATAGTTAATAAATTTTAAGAAATAACTATTATTTATAGTAGAGAAGGTAGGGGTAGAGTTAGAATTAAGGTGTAGTTAGGTTTAGTTATTAAATTAGGTTATAGGTAGCTAGGTTAAAGGCTTTAGCTTTAGTTTAGAAAACCTACTAACTAATTTAATGATTAAGTTAGAAATCTAGTTAGCTTATTTACACCCCTTTATACCTACTATAATAGGCTAATAGTGCTAGCTTAAATAGGTATAGCCTAGCGCACTAATATAAAAAGGTATCTTTTAATAATAAACGGTATTATAAATATAGATTATAAAGTTACTATAAAAAATCCTATATAATAAACTAAATTAAATTAATCTTTAAAAGATATATTATATTTTATTTCTTTAAGACTTTAATTATTTACTTTTAACTTAATAGTAGAATTAAAAAAATATAAATAGTTTATATATTAAATAAATATTATATAAAAAAGTAAAAATTTAAATATTTAAAAATTAAATCTTTTTTAAATATATTATTATATTATTAAAGATTTATTTATTTTTCTATAATATATATAAAATATAATAAAAAAAACTTTATAAAAAAAGTTAATAATTTTATATATAAATAAATTTAAGAGTATATATTTAGTAATTATTAATTTTATACTTAAAATATAAATTAATAATTAGTTTAAAATTTAAGATGATATTAAATAAATAAATAATTAAATAAAAAATATAATATAGTTAAAGTTAATTACTTGTTCTACTTAGTTTATTTATTGTAATACTTAAAGTAAGGAGGAAAGTGCAGTAAATACCAGTACAGGATCAAAAGTAGAATCAATTCAAATGTTTGCATCGACAGCGTCCCCATGTTTGCAGTGTTTGGCGTGAAATACAACAGCTGGTTTCCACTGTGTCTGGGATCCTTCCCTCATGTTCTGAGCTCTCCTCGTGCTTCTCGGATATCATGCATAAGTCAGGAATCAAGTATAACTCCGGCAAGGTAAATAACCCTGCATGCTACCCATATAACATGCACATGCGATCGCTAACACAACACGGATGAAGTGGCATTACCATGTGACAAATTTCCACAACAAGAGAAGAACCTGGTGTTCTCTTACCATAGATCGGACAGTACTAGCATTGGGATGTCGGGAAGACAATCTCAAGCTACCACGACTGCCTGTTCTGACACTGAACCTCTGCTGGCCACGCCTCCAGGAAAAGATCAGGTATCTAACTCTGGATCAGTCACGATGCTAACGCTTTCACTTCCTGAAAAGCTAGCAAGGATGCCATGGTCCCCAAACATCGGTCAGTTATACGCTCACGGTATGTCAGTGATTCCGAACACCATGTGTCACGCTCCGCACTGCAGAATACGAGACGAACCCGAAGGCACCAAGTCTTGAATTCAGGGACAAATAAGCCCTAGAGCGGTGGCTGTTGCAGAACCAGCATAATCAAAATCGTAATCCGTGGAATGCTCATTTCACCACATACTCACGTTAGTCATACTCAACAGCAAGAGACACCGAAGCGTGAGTCATGATCCTTAAGTATACCAGATTGCTACCCCAGGAAAAGGAAACCGACAGCCCCAATCACCTCTGAAATACAAAGGCCGCGATACCAAAGAACCAGTAATCCAGACTCATTGTCGCCTTAATGATCGTCTAGGAGCATCACACTAGAGCTCCATATGAACAGAAGAGCGAGGAGACTCCTCGCCGACCCGAGCACCACCGAACCCAACCCAGTCGTCCCGCTGGAAGAAACCAAACACAAGGTCGTAATCATCGAACTGGTGGACGATGCGGTCGACGCGCCTGTACCCGCAAATAGCCTCGCTTCGGTTCTTGCGCAGGCCGTAGGGGTCGGGGCCCCGGGCCGCGGACGCGCCCTTGGCCTCGAACAGCGTGACGATGAATCGGCCGGGCTTGAAGATGCCGACGACGTGCTCGATGATCTCGCCGGTCTCGCGCCCGTTCTGGCCCCCGGGGACGTTGGTCTCGAACGAGGCGAAGCTGCAGTTCGGCTCGGGCGTCACGTGCACGGTAAAGTAGTGCGTGGCTCCCGCGGTCCTCTTGACGACGTCGTGGACCTCTGCGTCGGCATCGACCGGGGCCGGGATGACGGCGTTGGCGGAGAAGCCACACGGGGAAAACAGGTAAGCGTCGACACGCGCGTCGGGGTACTTGGTGGTGGGGTAGACCTCGGACAGGCCGCAGTTCTGCGAGACGACTGTTCCGAGGGCGTGGCCCTCCGAGGTGAGCTGCTCGACCTCGGGGTTCGGAGCCTGGTCACCACCAGCGTTGACACCATTGGCAAACACGTCGAACGTCTCGTCGTTGTTGTTCTCGGGAGCGCCGCCACTCGAAGCTTCCTTCCTCGCCTCCTCAGCCTGCAGAGGAACCCGGTCGCGCGCGACCGCACTCGCGTGCGACAGGTAGAACTGCTTGGCATTCTCGGGGTCGAGGTCTGTCATGAGGATTTCCAGCGTCTCGTCCTGGTACTCGTCCCCGGCCCTGAGTTGGGGGAAAGAGGACATGATGCCCGTGGGAATCTTGGCGGGACGAGTAGGGCTGTTCTCCTTGCTGCTGCCCGGGGTACGCGGGGGAGTCAGCTGTGGGTCGGGGGTGGTGATGTAGAGGTACCAATGGTCCCCGTTCATCTTCCCCACAAGATAGGCGCTGCCTCCATCGAAGAGGTTGTCGAGGAACTTGACTTCGTCGTTCCAGCTGCGGTGGGGGCCGCGCTGCTTGTCCGGGAAGAGGAAGTTCTTGCGACTGTAGAAGACACGGTATGGGGAGGCCATGGCGGCCTCATCCTTGATGTCTGCGACGTTGTGGAAGGGGAAGCCAGCTTCGACAGCTGCGATGCGCAAGAGGCGCCTCAGTCCGAGGAGCAAGGTGGTGGTGCCGCAAGTCTTCAGGATCAGCTTGTGAGGGAAGACAAACATGCTGGACTCGGAGAGCAGGTAGGCGTCCATGTGCTCGGAGGAAACCACCGAGAGAACCTCGCAGTGGACGAGCTGAAGCATCTCCTTCCAGGTCTGGGAGGGGACAACCATCAGGCCATTCTCGTTGGCTCCAGCGGGAAGCGCTGAAGGACTGGGGGCGAACCAGACCTCCAGCAGCTTCTCCGGGCCTTCGAAGGCGTTGCTAGAGTCTAAATCGTCGGCGACATCATGATTGATAGTCAGATGCGGAGTAGCCTCCGATGTCGACAAGACAGAGCTGGTAGGGACCTCAATATCGACCATATCCGTCTATTCTCTGCGCAGGACAGCAGCAGCAACAGCAGCGAGAGCTGGGGCGGTCGGGGTTGGCTGGAGGTGGGAGGGTGGGAGGGCAAGGTCGGCAGGTCGAAGGAAGATGAGGTTCTTCCGCGGGACACTAACTGCCAACTCAAACAGACTTTGCGGCGTCCGTTTGAGAGGGTAGGCCCACAGGACGGTGGTTGCCTGAAAATGCTGGCGGACGCCAGCTATACGCGAGGTGTTTGTCGGAACGTCTCACGGAGGGGACGTTAGGGAGGTCGAGCGGGAAGAGGAAGAAGAAAGACCTGCGACGACGGAATGGTGGGCTGCTTTTGGTGTCGTGTGCCCCGTGGGTCACTTTTCCCGCCGACACCTGTGGTGGAGTATCGGTGTTTGGTGTAGCTCGCGCTGGTTGCGTGCGCGGCTGCAAGAACTCAGGAGACCAACAATACAATATACCGGGTTGTGATGGTGCGCACGTACGGCGTAAATGTCGCAGAGTCAGCAGTTTTGCGATCGCGATGCAGCTGTCGGATGCGCCAACGGCCAAGATTTATTTAGAAATTTTTGCGTCCTGCAGCCGTTGATGGTGGGGTTCTTGGGGCTGGTTGGGCTGTCAACGGCATGGCAACCCAATCATTACGTAGGTGGTGCAACTCCAGGAACCAGGGCCCAATGATAACCGACACTGCAGGCCCACTGCGAAACCTTAACAGCCCCCATGGGCAGAAACCTCATCGGTCAGAGGGGGCCAGCCCGGCCAGGGCAACCCTGGTGATCATCAGGGGAGGCCGTGCCCAATGACGAGGTACGGATATCGCATCAAAATGAGAGGACAACGGAAACATGTACAATCCACTTGCAAACGAACGAAGTTCAAGGCACTGATACACTGTGGGTTCTTACGAAATCGAATTCTTTCGGGGGCTTGAAGTCAGATCATTTCTCAGTTGCAGACGAATCGCGCTGCTTATATGAGTTGACGATGGGTGGTGGTGTTCCGGCGCGACCGGTCTTCCCTCGTCATGCTGGGAATGAAGTATCGACCTGCCAGAGGCCAGCGCCCAACGCTCGTGCTCCCATTGAGGTTGAGGTTACCTAATATGAAGTGGCATGGCCATTCAACCCTTGCAAATGCTTATAGAGGATGACTATGCGGGATGCGACGACATGGCTCTTGAGCACATCTATCCAAACCAGTGGCTGAGTAACTTCCTCAGCCGCCCAGATGCCCTTGGAGCAACTTTCTTTGCAGACTGGCTCCGGTTATCATCTTGGCCTTCTATTGGCAGCCCTTGTTCATCATGGGCCGCCAGCTGCCTTGAGCACGCCCGCTGTAATACCCGTAAATACCGAACTCAATGCACAGTCCTTATACTTCAGCGCCAGTGGATCATCGTCGTCACTGGGTTGTTCCTCATTTGGGACAGGGGGTGCCTCAGTTGTGCTCGACAAATCCCGGCCTTCGAGAACCGTGCCGTCAGGATACCAAGGCCTCTTGCCCGATGTGATGAGTTTGGTGAACTGCGGGTCGATAGGAATACTCCCCAGCAGCTCAGTCCCAAAGTCCTGCGCAAGCACCTGGCCGCCACCCTTGCTAAATATGTATGTGCATTCCGAGCAGTGCGGGCAGACGAAGCCACACATGTTCTCCACTATGCCAATGACACTCAGACCCGTCTTACGGCAAAAGTCCAGCTCTTTTCGCACCATGGCAGTGGACATGTCCTGTGGCATTGTCACCAACACCGCGCCGGTGAGCTGGTCGGTTCGCGTCAGCTTGAGGAGATGTTCGACGGCCGAGATATGTTCGTCGCTGGTGCCTGGCGGGGTATCGATGAGCAGGTAGTCCGTCTCGCCCCAGGAGACGTCGGTAAGGAACTGCTTGATCATGGCCGTCTTCTTCGGGCCCCGCCAGACAACTGAGTCGCCGCGCCTGACCAGGAACCCGAGGCTCATTATCCTGAGGGGACCGAGGTTCTTGGAGGGGTCGGCATCGTGGATCTTGACTGGTATCCAGCCGCTTGGGCCTTGTGTGATGCGTGCATTGTCTTCAACGCGGAACATGTGAGGGATGTTGGGCCCGGTGAGGTCGATATCGAGGACGCCTACCGAGTGGCCGGCCAGCGAGAGGGACAGGGCGAGTTGGGTTGTGACTGAGGATTTGCCGACCCCGCCTTTGCCGGAAAGGACCTGCGGGCGTAGCAGTCATGGTCAGCCAAATCGAGCGCAATTTGTGGCAATCAAATCGGGACAGGCGCATCGTGAAGGCTGCATCGCTTACCAGCACAATGTGCTTGACCTTGGAGAGGTTGGCGCTCGACATATCGGCGCTCGACATGTTGGTCGCCTTGCCGTGGCACGCTTTGGACGACTGACTGACTAGCCAAGATGCTCTCGGCAATCTGGTAAGACCAGCTCTATGAGAGATGTCCAATGCGCTTACAGAAAAGTCACAATAATGATTATGTGGGAAGCAGAGGTAGCCAAGATGAGAGACTGGTCAAGAAGGGCTGTGTTGTTGCCATGTCGCTCGCCTTCGAGCCAGTCCCGCGCCTGCATTTTGTCATCGACCAAAATTGATCGGAGCGAAATCGGCAACGAGCTGATAAAGCAGACGAACTGCACGACGGGTTGTTTGATAAGCATGTGCTTCGTCCGACAACCTGCATCGGTCAAAGCAGGCACGGACTGTCCCCCGTCTCGCCCGTCACAGATACTTTACCCCAGCATGGGCCACTCATACAAAGCCGAGTAGAAATACTTTTTACCCCTGATGCTCCTGATCCCCACCGCAGTGTCACCTTGCGGACTTGGCCAGACTTGCGGTGATGACCTAGGCCTATTCGCAGTTAGCAGTCCCTCTACTATGCTGCAGGGAGAAAAGACCATCCGATCCAAAAATGCCAATTGTCCATAACATTCGTTCGGATCCTTGATCAGACTGCCAGTGCATCATCACCCAGCTTCAGCATATCCATTTTAATCGTGTGGACTAACAGGTGTCAGCTCTCAATGCATGCCAGGTGCTCAGACCTTGGCGCCTGCTCGGGCAAACACTATAGTGCTCGCGGGCTTTAACTTTCTCCACTGACGCGACTCTCGGGGGTTGCAGACCGTCCCTCCCTCCCCAAGCCTTGGCTGTGCTCCAAACCTCAAATCTGCATCAACATCGAAACACCACCCTGCCCAGCCTTTGGCACCACATCTCCACCACTACTGTGTACTTTGGATACTTTCTGCCTTTGAACAGGGCTGAACATAAAGACGGCCAGTATACTCGAACGCGAGCGACCAAATACCCCCCCAGCGATCTCTCATCCTCGGCACTCTGACGAAGTTGCGATCAACCGCTTGACTCGGAGACCCCGGCTGGACGAGGTTCAAAGCCGCGCGGGGACCACCTACAGATTGCCAATGACCAGATTATAGTGCCCAGCAACATGAGAGAGAGTCCTCGGAAGCATGGAAGATCCATGGGGCTCGCCGTGGGCGACCGACACCAATACAAGCCTTGAGCCCACCATTCCTCGTTCCACTCTCGAACTCCCCAGCCGCACCCTCACAAGGCAGCGCTCCTTCTCCACAGCCTCGCCATGGGCCGTCGAAGACGATGCCCTCAACGACTGGGCATCGGCAGACCCAGGACTGGCATTGCCCACTCCGGCTGCCGCGTCAAGCTCAATATGGGGCGGATGGGGCAGTGAGAATGGGCCCAACTCAAGCCAGACACAACTGGCACATCCCCCAAGGGCACGGGAGGGAAGTCTAGGAATGCACAGTCCCTCCTGGCCCGCTGCCACCTCTCCGGGGCTTCCTCCAGCCAGGACTATATCGCGCAGGAGCAGTTCTCGATCACTTTTCCGGCAACCTTCTCCGGATCCGTGGGCTGTCGAGTTCCCAGAAAATCGATTGAGTCTGCCAACCCCGGCCCTGGTCTCAGCCGAGCAAGCTGCGTTCTCTACGCTAGACCGGCACGACGAGGAGGACGAAGAAGAGATCGCAAAAATCAGGGAGGAAGAGCAGGCTGTCGGTGCTGCACCAGACACAGGAACGGCTCAGAACGTCGAGACGACGCAGAACCAGGACAGTACTCGGGATGAAGAGGTAGACCCAGTCACAAAAACAGATGATGAAGTGTCTAAAGGAGAAGATGTGGAGGGAACAAATCCCAGATCTCCGAGTGATTCCCGGCATTCATCAGTGTCAGCAGGAAGCCACCACGATGATCGGCCAGACTCACCAATCACCTCCATGGACGAGGACGCGAAAGACCGCCCGAAAGCGTTGAGAAGACCGTCGGTCAAGGTCCAAGAGATGGTTGACAAGTTTGACGGGATGACCAAGCCAAAGGAAGGCGGACTTTCCGTGCCAGTTGCACCTGGTGGCAGAAAACGCAGCGCCAGTCGTGGTGGTGCCAGCATCCGCAGCACTAGGACCGAGGATATCAGCGAGTTTGGCGAATTCGAGGACGCAGAAACCTTCGATTCCGCCCCGCCTTCGAGGAAACCCTCAGTCGCTGGATCCTCTCGCCCGGGTTCGAGGGTTGGCCCTGCGGTATCTGCCTTGCAACCGTCATCACGAGGCTCCGGGCCGGCGAATTTGTCGACACCACGACCGATACCAGAGGAGAGGGCGAATTCATTCCAAGACTTGCGCACCAGGTTTGGCCCAGTCGCATTCACTGCGGAACTTGGCGGCATCGACAAGTTGTTCGATATTGCAAAGCTAGACGCAGAGCAGCCAAGTGCCAAAGACTACAGTCTCGATGCCGTCGATGGAATCATCAATGACAGTTTCTCATCCGTCTCCGAACGCAAAACCTGGTATCGGATTTCCCGCCCTGGGTCCATGCGAAGGCATAACTTGGGGGATGACGAGAATTATCGTCGCGTGACGTGGCCAGCCTCGAAGATGCGGGAGGAGACCAACCAGGTAGTGCGCCGGTGGATGGAAGAGGACTCGTTCTCGGGAGGTCGCCCGTCATTTGGAAACAATAGGCCTGTCAAAGGCGGAGCGTTCAACTGGGATGCGAAGGCAGAACCACTATCCATGGATCAGATCTTCGGCAAGAGGAAGAGTGCGCAGCCTCCTCCAAAACCCGCCTCCGCCACCGTGCCTCGTCCTCTATCTCTCCAGCCAAAGTCAGCCGCGACTCACGCTCGAAACCTGTCTGCTGGTGTCAAGAGTCTGCCTCCTCGGTCTCCAGGGGTGAGCAGCCTACCTCCTCCGTCGCCAATGAGCATCCCGGGACCACCGAAAAGTCCAGCTTTTGGCTGGAGCACCATGACCAATGGTTCAGTAACACCTGCGTCTTCCCGACCGCCGAGCATAGCCGCGAGGCAGTCACTCGATGTCCCTTCCTCAACATTGAACAGTACCGCCGGGATCACTACTAGCGCCGCTGAGCCAGAGAGCAGATCTTCTCTGCAGCTAGTAGCGCCATCGGTGAGCTCAAACGTCCTGGTAGAAGAGGACGAGGATGAGGAATGGGGTGAGATGGTAGCCTCCCCATCAGTGGCCTCCCCCATGGGTAGCAGTCGGCCTGTCAGCGGGGTTTTCGACATAGGGGTGAACAGCTCGGTTGGTGAGCTCGGCTTGAATGATGCCTCGTCACTGCCCTCCCAGGACACCGGTGCAACACTTGTTGGAGTTACCTCGAAGCTTGAGCAAGATGAGGCTGATAAACAGGCGGAGCAGCAGCCACCTCAACCGTCGGCCGCAATATGGGACTTCTCGGCTTTCGAGACGACATTGACTCCGTCATTTGCGCCCGTCACTCCAACTGAGCCCGCCATCCCCCCAACCACGACCTCCAAACCAGAATTCGACTTTGACTCGCCACTCCAGTCCCCTGCTTTGAGCGGGCCCTCAAGGACCGGGTCGCCAACCTCAGCCTTCCAGATGCCTACGCCGTCCACGCCGTCAGGCCAAATGCCGTCTTCAAGGACATCATCATCGGCTTCGTTTCAACTACCTGCACTGCCTACACCTCCTATTTCTGGCCAGTCAAAGCATACGCCGAAGTCTTCAACCAGCTCACAACCAGCCCTAGAGCCAGTGAGACCTATCTCACCCGCCGCATTTCAACTCTCCAAACCACCTTCTCCAAAGCACTCAACCCGACCTTCACTCAGCTTGGGCCGGCCCTCCCCGTTACAACATGTCATTACTCCCAAGGCTTCCTCGCCGAAGCCGATGAGCCCAACCATACAATCTGCTGCTATATTGCCGCCTGCGAAAAGCGTCAATTTTGCTGAGCCCGACGAGGAGAGTGCTGCTGTAGCACGCATCGTGGATGCATTACCTGACCTGTCATATATGTTTCGTTGACATTGCATGAAGTGGGCAAATCATCATCAATAATCACCAACTGGAGTTAGGCTGTGCCTTGTTGTTCGCATTGCCTGTGGCGTTTTGGGTTGGGTTTTCTTTTTGAAAACAAAAAGCGACTGAGGTCACTGAAGTTGGACAGTTAATGAATGCAATGCATCAACATGAAATACATGTGTAGTGTCACGGAATGAATAGATTAATAAGCGATTACTTTTTCGCATCGTTTCAACAACTGATACCTGAGTAGTGGCCCGGATAGCGGAAAACGTTGCTTGGGTATGACATTTAATATGGGCAAAAGGACATATTCTTCTGTTACAGCATCAAATCGCCACATCAGTAGCTCTGAAAGCAAACCCTTCCCATTCGTTCTGTCTAGTCCAGAGGATCTGCCCTCTAAGTCCCAATTCATCTCTTCTTTCTCATTAACCTTGGAAAACGTATCCCAGCCAAGGCATGAAATCTCTCAGGATCTGTTCTACGCCGCCATGACATCTGAACGAGACACACAAAAAACAATTAACCAGAAAAAGCACACTCAACGTGACTCTTCTCTCGTAGCACCGCCGTATCCCTCGACGCGGCCACCGTCATGTAGCAGAGCCCGACGCTCCTCATCTGCCATGTCTTCACCAAACCTCATACTCTTCCTGCTGCCGAACAGCCCGCTGCCGGCCTCCTGCGTCTTGATATACACAAAGCATGTCAAGGTCGCGCTTATCACGCTACCCGCCATGGCGAAGAAGAGATTGATCGGCACGGGGTTGTCGTGCAGCGGGCCGTGGGTGAGCGCGTCCAGTGCGGGCTGGATGAATTGGCCAAGTCCTGAGATGGCAGTGATGCTGCCGTAGATCCGTCCAAAGGTTGCGAAGCCGAAGACTTTGGTTGTGTAGTCCCTGTCAGAAAACAGACGGATGTCAGTTGATCATAAGCGTCTCCTTATCGATGGTGCTCAGAGTGACGGCGGTGGAACTCACGAGACTGCTGAGTAGTATAGCGGCCGGAAAATCACAAACGCAACAACGGTGGCATAACCCGCCCACAGCTCCGGGATCACATTGAGCATGCCTAGGACCAGTATAAGCACCGTCATCACGCCCTGCGTCCCCCACACGGGCACCTCATTAAGCAGGATGCCAATGAAAGGGGTGGTGATGACGCCCGCGACTGGCAGCGCGACGTCGAAGAACGAATTCACCTGGCCCGCAGGTCTCTCACCCCCGAGCATGTACCGGTACTGCGCGCGGACCGTCGCGATAAAGTAATTCATCCGCATCATCTGCAGCACCGTGAGCAGCAGGACCAGCCAGAACCACGGCGTCCGGACCTGGCGTGCGAACGGCAGGTCTCGCACCTCGGCGCCCTGCACGCCCGACACCTCCTGTCGCTCGCGTGCCGTGGCTCGATCAGCCGTCCGCTCCGCCTCGGTGCCCGCCACCGTCTCGATGGCCTCGAGCTGGGCCTCGCGCCTCGCCGCGCGGCGGTCCCGCGCCCGCAGGAGCTCCCGCGGCTGGCCTGCGTACACCTCGTCGTCGGAGTCGTGGACGTCGCGCGTCTCGTCCTGCGCGCGGTGGATGGCCACCTGGTACTCGCCGCGGGTGACGTAGCTCGTGGCCGGCATGATGGTGAACTCGCCGACCAGGATCAACAGCGGGATGGCGACGGCAAAGGCGGCGAAGAAGTAGGCCGGCTTGAGGGCGTGGTCCGTCGCCTCGTACGCGAGCCGGTAGAAGAGGTACACGGCGGCGCTGGCGTCGAAGGCGCCCGTGACAAGTGCTACGATCAGGCCCGAGTGCCGCGGGAAGGCGTGCGAGAGCTGGTACGAGCTGACGAAGAGGAACGTCCCGCCCAGCCCGAGGAGGAGGTTGCCCACGATGTAGCCGTCGAAGTGGCCCAGCCTCTCGCCTAGGTGGAAAGCAAAGGCCATGCAGCCACTGCCGAAGAAGAGGATGACTGCGGCGAGGACGTAACACATGCGCCGCCCATAGTTGTCGAGGACCCAGCCGCCTAGCATGTTGCTGATATTTAGTGTGATTGACGCGAGTATGAACATGAGGTTCAGACGCATGTCCTGCTCGGGGCAGGGTAGTTGGTCCTCATCTCCATCTGAGAGCGACCAGTCCGCTGGGCAGAGGCCTCGGTAGACCCCTTCCGCGATGAGAATCGGTTTGAGAGCCGCGAATCCGCAAACTATTCCCGATGCTAGGACGCAGCAGAGCACGGCCAAGGTCACCTGAGCTGTTCACAACTGTCAGTATACATGCTGAGTGAATCGCTCCCGAGCGGTGACCTTAACAAGTCATGACTTACCTGCTCTTTTCGCCGTGGACACCTCGTACGCCGCTTTGTTATCCGTGATCTCGGGCGGAAATGATTCATAGTGCTGGAGAGGTTTCTGCGCAAATGGGTCGTAGCTAATAGTTTGCCATATCTGGTCGTTTTTGGCCGGGTGTAGGGTGCTGTCGGAATCTCTCCTGTCATCATCGATGGTACTGTCGCCGGAGACGTATTCATTACGACTGTCCTGGACGCCGTATTCGGGTAGGCTGTCGATACCTTCCGGCGCCGTTCGACGTTGCGCCAAAGACATGGTTCACTGTGGCCAAGCCGTAACGAATAAGCTCGTGAAAATGAACCAGTTGCGATCCCCAATTGCGGTGTGCAAATAGATCATAAAGTGTTGCTTTCTGGAACACGTCAAATAGGGCGGAGCCTCGGAAATGCCCTGGGACACTGTCCAAGGCGTAGACACCACTTTTCAGTGGTCAACAAAGACTCCGTTTGCGACGAGAGGGACAAGGTCACTTTGGAAAGTACCTAGGGAAGAAACTTGAGTCGTCAACGTTATCTTTATGCAACGGGCCCATTTTTAACTTTGCTGTGATGGAGGGCGGCTTGCAGAATCGAGATGACAAGACTATGATGTGTGGAATCCCGGAACCCTGCTCCACCTGCTGCAACCGTGAGGACTGGAAATGTCTAGAACATCTTGGGGACCGACCAGCCAGCCAACCAACAGCCTCGGTGCCGACTTCCGACAGCAAGGCTTGTTGCAAGTACAGCCAGATACGTGTGCAATCCAGCTTCCAGTATCAAAATTTTCCACAGGGGGCTTTATCAAGCCCCGGTGAATTCACTTCGGCGAACATGGCAGCTGCAACCATACTGATTTAACTGGTCAGCCAATTGAAAGCCAGGGTGCTGCCCAGGTGGCCAACACTTGGGCACGTCGGGACCTGCAAGCAACATTATTTGTTGCATCGGCCTTTGCCACGAACGGGCCATTCCTGCCTTCCATAGGGGTGCCAGTCACGCCTGGCCTGTCTCGTAGGGATCACTTGCATCCAGAGTAGGTACCTTAAGTAGAAAAGCCGACACTGGAACACTAGCACCCGCCACTGGGGCTAAATGAACAAGACGGGATGGCAAAGAGCGGACGACGGCCTCGTTAAGTATGTGGAACGATAGTTGGAGACGCACAGAGGATGATCATAATGTATTTCTCATGATTCATTTCGCTTATGTGGTATTCGGATCCATCATTTTGAAATGCAACAAGCTGAGGTGTTGCATTCGAAAAGGTAAATGTGCAGGCTGTGGCAGTATACCTCGGAACCATGGAATGTCACTGCCAGTAGATCACGCGGTGTTCACTTTGAAAACACTGAAGTGTCAAATGTGATGATGGAAGACGTGACGCTTATATCCAGGTCGCACGATCAAGTCCATAAATCTAGGTCCACATCATGCCCTCTCCTTCCTCATAACCCAAATTCCCAAGGATCAATCGCCCAGAATTCGCTTCAAAAGACTACAGAAGGCTCGACCACGAAACTTAGCCCAAATATAAACACACTCCGAGGGAAAATCGATGACTTCCAAGGCCTAGCTGAAGCTTCCGAAAATGGACCAGGCCACCTCAATAATGCTGCATGAATACCTAGACAATAGCCTACTACATCTTGTGTCTATGCTGAAACGGAGAGATGAAGGAGAGGTGTATTACGAGCCAAGTCCGAATTTGGGAGTAAGGGAAAAGGATCAGATCTCATGGGCATTCATCTTCAGGAGCATGGTCAAGAACCTGTCCAAGTCGCAAAGGTTTATCACGATTCCAATTAGTACATAGGGGTCATTCACGAGTGGCACTTTCCGGGCCACGCAAGCTGTCTCGTTCTATGGTCATCAATCGTAAATTCATTGTTACCTACGTACGAAGCCATCAATTCTTGTCCGCTTCTGGAGGGAGAAAGCCCCTCGCCTTGAAAGCCCTTTCGAGAACTTCTCGAACGACCTTTTGCTTGCGTGCGTTGTACTGCATCACAGTCTCGCCAAGAAGTATGCTCTCTTCCATCGCCCGGCTCTTCGTTCGCGCATACAGATCCCTGTCGTCTTCGTTCGCAATGAGCCATTCTTTCATGATCTGATGTCTAACCAATTCCGCCGTTCCATGTGCGAACACATGCAAGTTGCAGTGGTAAGGCTTGTTGGTGTTGAAGAAACGGTGCTCATGCCATGTTGGCTCGCGCGTGAGGAATACGAAGCCAACAGACTCCAGGGCGGGAACGTAGGCGTCTTCAGCAGACGGATCTGGGAACGTTAGGTCAATGTCGATAACCGCCTTGGCGGGTAGGTTTGGCACAGCGGTCGAGCCGACGTGATTAATGCTCAAGGCAGCGGAGCCGAGGGCCTTATCGATGAGCGCTCTCAGGGTCTCGAAGTGTTGTGGCCAGGCAGGATTGGGGGCCTCAATCCTGAGAGGAAGTTTTTCGAATGGGCGTTTCCCTACGCGTTCGATTCTAGTTGGGTCGTAGTCATAGTGCTTCAGTATGTCTGGGATTGAAGGGGACATGATTACCAGTTAGAAGAATCACTGTGTAAATTAGGGTACGTTGCTTGAGGTGAGATTCAAATGAACATGATATTACTACTTAAGTAGCTTGGTTATCACATATGCTCACTTTGCAACTTCAAGTATAGTACGAGTGAAGTAATGTGCAACATCTAAGAGAGCTAATGGTGCTATTGGTCCAATTCCGGCGTGAGTCACTGGCCGACTCCTCCTGCAGCGGTACTTGGGTACCCGAAGTCTAATGCGGTGCTGATGCTTGTCCCACCAAATTTATGAAGCTATGGCGGCTGTGAAGTAACGGTAGCTAGATTCAGTATTATCAAAGTTAAGTTTGAACATATCAACAGTTCCCTTACAAAGTAGACATGAAACGTCCATCAAGCACCTGAGTGCACCAGATGATAATGAACGAGCATGAACTGGTCAGTATGAACCGCTAAGATCATCCTCAAATGATTCCTGCCTACATCAACTTCCCATAAAGTTCACCTTAGCATGTTAATGACTCTGTCAATCTCAACCTAGATAATTTCGAGTGGGTGTGCCTTGCCAATCGCCAAGAGTAGCAGAACATTGAACTGTTTCCAAGGTTGATTTGCCGCAGTTTGAAGCGTCCGTAACATTCAATGATTCTGGCAATACCAAGACAACACACGCAACCGCAGACCTCGGGACACACGTTGTGTATTCTGAAGTTATAATTATCTGTCACCCTATATCAAATGCGGAAGTACATGCTCCCTATGACTTCAAGCCGAGGGCTTGCACTGGAACATTGGGTCATGACTTTCACCACAGAGTGCCCGTGGGTAAGACCATCGTTTGTCCCATAAGTCTGGGGTGAATAAGAGTGAGCTGGGGGCAGCTATGGCTCGCGGGCCGAGAAGTGAATAAGTGCCTGAGATTGAAAAGGCGCTACACAGGTTGCATGTTGGCATATTACCTGACACGTTGAACTGGTACCAAGGCACTGCAATTTCGAAACACTCGCTGCTTATAGGTGGCGAAGGGGTTGAAGAGTAATAATAAAATGATATAAATCGCTTAACTACATGTAGTGAAATATCAAGATCACATTCATAATTGGTGATGTGAGTGGGGAACCCAAGCTGGAGCATCAGCCATTCTCTGAAGGTCTCCACGTATCTTGGTAACAACTCATCGTCATAAACGCATACTGCAAAATACTCCCCGCTATGAATGAAGATACATGGTCGTACATTGCCAGCGGAGATGTTCACTGTTTCAAGGTTACTTCCATGTTGCTCCCTGAATGTAAACATCCGCCTATATCAAAGTCCAGCAGCCTCGATGCCCGTAGTCAACGACTTGAATTGAGAGCCGGGATAGTAGAAGTGAATATTCACAGACTTGATCAAAACTTCCGAGAGCTTCATGGTTCCCTTCCCCTTGGCTGCTTCCCTCATACACTGCACAGCCTCAAGCATCGAAACGAGCTGCGTCGTCCAGATTCGAGACAAGCAAGCATCACAGTGCTGCCCAACAACTCTCAGCCAGGTGCTGCGCAAGAACAAGACCAAGAAGCCAAGTAAAATCAAGGTAAGCTGGACATGATGGATACGAGCAAGAGTAGTGTTGAGAACAAACGCCAAACTCCTCACCTCTTCAGAGACATCTGGAGAGCACAATCCTTCCTAATAGCCCCTGACCGTTCCGCGCGCCCACTCATAAGCTTCTCCACCACCACTCAGCACACAAACCTCTCAAATTCTATCTGTTATTAATTCGTTGACAAACTGAAACAGTCAAGATGTGCCTCCGATACCAACAGAAGTGGATCGGATGCGGCTGTTTCGTGGTCAAGCCCACGCGTGGTGTGTTGGTTCAGCAATTCAAGTGGGAGAAGTGCGAGCGTGGTTTCGTGCTCGATGATAATGGCCAAGGGGTTCTGACGGAGCCTTGGTGTATCTGGGATGGTCGGAACGACAAGGGAATCTGCGAGGATTGGAAGCCTGCTTCCAAGGTCGTCTATATCCTTGGACGTTGCCCCCGTCACAAACCCACTCGCCGACACAGCATCTAGGCTTTGGTATTTTGTTCTTTTCGTATGTAAGTACCCGAGTCTAGGAAGCACTCTAGAGAACTCTTGGTGGATTTACACGGCAGGAAGACCCGTACTGACATCAACTAGGATCCGGGCCTCAGGGCCAGCTACATCAACCGACGCTTCTTCCGTTACCTATCGTCGACTAGTACCGGCTGGCTACAGAATACTATTGAATGATGGGAGTTTGGGGCGTAAATATGGGCAGTAGCATAATAATTCGGATCAACAACAATGCCCGCACTGGAAACCACGCCACATGCGGTTGTGTAGCGCCAGAAGAGATAAATCACAAATCTGATCAATGTCCGTAGTCGACCGTACATATGTACTGAGTGTGTATCACCTGGGCAGCGCTGAATGCTTGCTCTCTGATTAATTCAACCGTTACTCTACCAGACTGGACAGGATGAAAGACCGTCCGCCTTTGGGATGCATAGGGATTAAGAACGAAACCACTTACCAACCTGACGTAGATAAACATATGAAACAGCTACTCTGAGAATGTAATCACATACCTGCTCAGAGGCTACCGACTCTTCAGTACCTTTGGCTTGACGAAACTCCGGGCATAACATTTAGCCTGGGTTTGAGCGAGAACAGAATTCCCGGGGCCTCAACTACTTAATCATCATCTGCATATGTCCAGTCTCTATAAATGTCGTCTACATCATTCGTGTGAGATTTACTCATCCGAAGCTTAAAGAACGCAAAGAACATGCAAGACAAGTTTCCATACTAATTTGCTAAATTCGATACCGCTTCTGAAATAAGGACGCTGTCGTCTCGAGGAACTTCGAAGGAGTCCAAAAGAGTCCAACTCGTAGTGCTCAATGGTCGCCCCACACAACTGACCATCCATGGATCCCGTATGAAAAGAGCTTAGTTCCCAACGCCAGAAAACATGATGCCTAGAACATGTACGAGGGCTGGTTCGCCTTGTAAATTTGAACAATTTGTGTGGCGTTTTGCTAGCTACTTGATCAACGAGGGAGCGGGAGGGAGCGGTGGAGCGTGGTAGAGACCTGAGATAGACAGCTCAGGTTATCCTTGGAATCTGGAGCTGCAGGGTCGGTATACCTGCTTCACCTGTGGATCTGCCTCAGGAGCTCGTCTCGCATGAACCGAAGATGAGTGTCGTTAGGTGGAAGGTGTGTTGTGCAGGTAGACTTAGCCGGCTCGTCTCTCGCAGAGGGGATCCTTCAAAACCTAGCAACAACAACAACGAGACACGAATACAACAACAATTATCAGAACGTACATTCACTACTCCTATCGAATATGAGCAAGGTTCGGCTCTCCCTTTAAACCACAGACGGCAGTAGTAGGTAGATCTAAGAAAGTTCCATATCTGTTGAAGAGTAGTTATATCTTACAGTGACCATTGATTTATTCTTTTCAATATCTAGCCCTATTTTGCAACTCCCAATGTTTAATTCGTTCAAAAAGCTCCCGCCGTCCCTTCAAACAGGTCATCTGTTATCTCGCTCAGCCAAATCGAGCCAACCATCGTGCATTCACCATGTTGAGACTTTAGCACGAGGCCGTCCTTCTGATTCTCGCCAGCGTCGCCTCGCTTGCGATGGCAGCTCCGATACCGCAATCTGTCCCCGCAAAGAGCAACAGCGGAGGGAGGGCGAGTCGTTCTTGGTGGCGCCCCTGCAGCCCCATTTAAGAGCATTTAGTTCGTGATGAAAAACCGCACAGGAAACACCACGACAATATAAGTAGCTATTTGATGCTTGAGCGCTAATGGTGTGGGTCTCCAGATTTGCCGACTACCTCTTTTCACCATGAATTTAATTCAGGGGATGTGACGCTGGAACATCCGACTTTGTGATGCCTTGGTAATCTCGAGGAGCGATCGGATTCACCAGCCTCTAAGCACAAAGGTCATCGAGAAAGCTGAATAACTATAGCTTATAAAGTACTACTTTAAGTATAAATAAGGAAGGTTTAATAATATATATAGTTATAAGTATAAGAAACATTAAAGTAAGGAGAGTAAGTAATAAAAATAGTTAAAATAAGTTTAAGTAAAGTAAAAATACTTATATATTAATTCTTATAATAATACTTTTTAACTTTATTTATATATTATAAAGCTAAGGCTATAAGCACCTATTATATTATAATAATTATTAATAATATTATATTCTTTTTAAATATTAGGTTTTAAATGCTTACTATTATATAAAGGCGCTATATATATCCTTGAATGTATATAGAATAGAAGCGAAACTATATTAATTCTTATATATTACTAGGAATGCTTTATTCTTCAAGTTAGGAAACTATTCAAGCCTTTTAGCTGTAGAGCATATGACTAGCAGTTACGCCTCCCGTTGCAAATAGCATACTTCAATTAGCTAGGGGTACTTATTACCCTATAGCTGATTTTTACCCTGAGAATAACCGATTTCTCAACATAGGAGACGATGATGAAAGAGGCTGTGATGTAACAGAATGCGATGTCAAGTGGTATTGGCATGTAGAATGTAGAATTCTATTGCTCAAAACCTTTAAAGATTGGCATTACCAGTTTTTAGCAGTCTGCAAAACAATGACACGTGTGCCTTCGGGCGTATACGGAATAGAAGCGACATCAGCCAGGTAAGGAGGTGATACTAGCTAGCTAACTTCAAATGACAGTGGTTCCGCCTATGCTCACTCCGTGCCCTCATCCTCATCCTCGTCCTCGCTGTCGCCAAACTGCTCATCCATCACATCGTCATCTTCGCCTTCATCTTCGCTGTCTTGCTGTGCATATGCCTTTGTCCAACGCATCATCGTCCAGATGCGGTCGGCAAGCTCATCAGTGCTAGTATCATCGATCTTAATGCTGGTGGAAAAGGAAAACTCCTTTTGGTTGTGCTTGTCAAGGAAGATGATGGGGATAAGGTTGCCTGGTGGACCCTCCGTGACGCGATCCAGTTCCAGTTTCTTCAGCTTGGGACCGGTAACATTAAGACTGCGAATCAATCTCGACCACTCACAGCTCGTCCTGTCCTCGTCCTCGTCCTGATCAGGCGTGCTTGCAGTAAAATACAGTCGCACGTCCCTCATCACAATGTGCTCGAGATCCGCAAACTTCATGAGCAGCCCACGAATGATGACCAAGCTTATCGTGACATTCCCCAGGTCCAGCCTCCGCAAGGGCAGTGCAACAGGAACTGGATTGCCTTGGCCCCACGGCGCGTCCGGTGGAGCATTGAAATCAGACCTCAACGATAGCCATGCCATCAACTTTGAGCCAGGGGAAGAGACTAACTCATCGTGAAGAGGGAAGTTCAGCCTGAGCCACGACACATTTGGTGTCAGCGCAAGGAAACGACGAAGGTACTCCGTGGAAGGGTCGAGCCATGCATGGTTGGACATGTTGAGAAAATTGGCTGGGAACCCAGACCCAGTTAAGCCCCGTGCATCCAGGTCAAGGTGTAGCTTGGTGAGAGCAGGAAGGCCGTTGGTGAGTAGGGTCCCCGGGATCCAAAAAGTGCTGAAAGCGTCGTCCTGGAGACAGATTTTCCGATTGCGAAGGATAACCTCCAGATTCCTCACGGCACTTGAGGATCGGGCAACCGCAGCAAGCACTACAGTGAACACTGTGTCCACGAAATTTGTCCTCGGACCGCTCAAGCCGACCAACCATGGGGTCTCACGAGGCCACTGCTGGTACCGGGATGAGCCGTAGCTCCGCCAGCGTGGTACTTCTCGGCCTGCAACTACATCTCGGTAGCGTGTGCTGGACTCAAAATCGCGGATGTCGATGGTGTGGAGCCTGGGAAGATTGGAGAGGGCCGTTGACAAAATATCAGCTGCGCCACCCCCATAAAGAAGGGCCTTCTGGGCGCAGTATGCATCCCGCCATCGACTGAATTCGGCGAAGGAACCCACAGACGGCCGGCGGTGGCAGGCTTGCAGCTCATCCAGACCGATGACGAGGTGGGTCATAACCTGGGACAGGGCAGCGTGTTGTGAGATGTCGACCAGAGTCTGGAGGGAGAACTGATCGATCACTGTGAATGTCAGGTCAGTGGGTGGATTCTGGCAGTCTGAATCATGGTGAAGCAGGATGCCTCCCTGTGAGACTGTCTTGTAAGAGGACATCCCACAATTGGCATTCCAATAGGAGGTTGTCCCAAAGGAGGCCGTCCCAGAGGGGTTTGTCCCATCGGATGGACACCGCGGGGGAGTTCTTGGATATGGGAAGGGGATTACTTACTGAACTGCCTCTTCTTGAAGAAACACTCGGACCAGTACTTGAAGGATTTGGCCTCGAGATCCTTGCAGGTCAGTCGTAAGGCGTTGAAATCCTGCGTGGGCAGCCATGCCGCAATGTTGTCCACAAGCTCTCTTGGAAGCAGCATGAGGCGGGAGTGCTGAGGTGTGTCGTGGACGAGGGTCGTCATCTTGACCGAGGGCAGTAGTGTCTGCAGCTTCGAGTATGGTGTTTGTTGTTTGTGGAGAGGAGAGATCAAATGTGGGGAGTAAAAGGGGGTAAAGTTGTGGTTTCTCGCTTCACCCAGCCTCGGGGCAGGACTGGCCAGGCTGCAGCATCAAAATGGCAGGCAAGAGGCAGGAGATGTTGGATGAAGCACGTGAGAACGTGACGCGATGCGGCACAGCACTGGCTTGTTGCCCAGGCAGGGGGTGGAGGTTTACTGGGGCAAGGGAGCTGTTGCCTGCTGCAGCCTGAGGTTAACGCCCAAAACGGAAAGGGTCGGGGACAAAGCCTCCCTCACTTATTAGTTGCAGGCAGGAACACGCTCATTGAGCATGCACGTCAACATCCCGTGTCGGTAATTTCTCTGTCTCTTCCACCATCTCATTTGAAGTGGTCATCCCCTTCTGCATCTCGACCTCGACCTCGGCAGCCTTGACCTCGACCTCCTTCGCCAATCCCTTCGACTCTGTCTTGCATCGGGGACCCCAGGGCCCTCCGTTTGCCAAGCTTCACCAACACTACTCCGTACTTTTGTTTTGGGACGGGACCACTGCAGCTGCCCCAGCAACAACCGTCCTCCCTCTCCCATTGTCAATCGGATCAATCAACCCGCCCTGTCCAGTCATCACTCCACCATTCATCTACCCATTGGACATTTACATTTCCTCAAAGTCTGTACCCAGAATCCTGCCCCATTTTCCCATGGCTCTTTTTGGTCGGGCGGACGTTGCATGATTGGCCTTGCTGACTCATCTCACAGCTGCAGTGACCGACCAACATGCCCCCAAAGGCCAAGAAGGCTGCGGCCTCCGCGCCGCCAGCGGGTGGAGCACCACTTGATGGCTGTGTGATCGCTTTTAGTGGAAGGTTCACCGGCTACAAGCAAAGTGGATTGGAGTCCAAATGTACCATTTTGGGAGGACAACCTGCAAAGTCGGTTGTTGAAGGCACCACTCATGTTGTCACTACCCAGGCCGACTACGACAAATTGTGCACCAAGGTCTTCCAGGCCAAGGACCGTGGAGGCATCTTCATCGTCAGCCTTGACTGGCTCCTTGACTCTGAGGACTCGAACACGAGGCAACCAGAGGCCCAGTACCTCTTCGATGCCCAACAGAGTGGCAACACCAATGGCAGCACGAACGGCAACAATAACACCGTGCCTACATCGAAGCATCCCACACCCACAAACCCTCAGCCCGTTCCTGTTCCTGCCCAGAACAATCCTTCCATCAAGAGGCAGGCGTCTGCGTCCCCCGAACCCAAGCCCAATGCCAAGAAGACAAAGCTCGACCAAGTTGCGAAAAATGGCAAGGCTGCTGCCATAGGCAAGGAGCAGATTGCCAAGTCGTGGGATGTTCAGGTGCCTGTTGACGAGGGCTGCTCTCTCATTGGATACGGAGTACACATCGACGATGATAGTGTCATCTGGGATGCCTCTCTCAACCAGACCAATGCAGGGGCAAACAACAACAAATTCTACCGAATTCAGGTACGCACTCAAGAAGTATCATTCGCTCTTAGCGGCCATCAACTAACTTTGTGTAGGTCCTAGTCTCCGCTGGAGATGCCAAGACCTGGACTAGATGGGGGCGCGTTGGTGAGCGTGGCGCGAACAAGGTTCTTGGAGGCGGCTCCCTACAGGATGCCAAGAAGCAATTCGAAAAGAAATTCAGGGACAAGACCGGCCTCCTGTGGGCAAATCGAATGGACGACCCATTGCCTGGGAAATATGTCTTCCTCGAGAAGAGCTACCAACCGGATTCTGACTCGGAGGAAGATGGCACCGAGCCGTCTGATGGCACGAAACTGCCACAAGCAGGACCACCGCCTTGCACCCTGGAGCCTGCAGTGCAAGACCTCATGAAACTCATTTTTAATGAGAGGTACTTTGCTGCCGCAATGACTGATATGAACTACGATCTTGACAAACTTCCGCTGGGAAAGCTCAGCAAGGCCACGATCATGCGTGGCTTCCAGACCCTGAAAGACTTGTCGGCTCTCCTCGATGGCTCTGCCGCACCTGCAGCTGCTGGAATCCCTCTATCTGTTGAAGACCTCTCAAACAGGTTTTATTCACTGATACCGCACAACTTCGGTCGCAACCGCCCGCCGATCATCAACAATCAAGCCACGGTCAAGCGGGAGATAGAGCTTCTCGAGACATTGGCAGACATGAAAGATGCCAGCAATATCCTCAAGGCGGAAATTGATGAGCGCAACAGTCTGCATCCCCTGGACAGACAGTATCGAGGCCTCGGAATGGAGGAGATTTCGGAGCTTGAGCGTAGCTCGGCCGAGTTCACCCTCCTCAAGGACTACCTCATAAACACCCGAGGTCAGACCCATGGGGTTACCTACAAACAAGTCGAGAGCATCTTTCGCATAGAGCGCAAGGGCGAGAAGGATCGCTTCATTTCTGACAAGATTTCCGACCGTCGTCTGCTATGGCACGGCTCCCGTGCCACCAATTTCGGCGGAATCCTCAGCCAGGGCCTCCGAATCGCACCTCCCGAGGCGCCAGTATCCGGATACATGTTCGACAAGGGAATTTATCTTGCAGACATGAGCAGCAAGAGCATCAATTATTGCTGTCCCTACATTTCTGACAATACCGCGCTTCTCCTGCTTTGCGAGGCCGAGCTTGGAAAGCCCATGCAAGAGCTGACTAACTTTCAGTATGACGCAGCGGCCCTCGCCAAGGAGAAGGGGTTGTTGTCGACCTTTGGCAAGGGAGCAACGGGACCGAAAGTGTGGAAAGATGCGGAGTGTGTCCATCCATCCCTCAAGGGCATCACGATGCCCGACACGACCAGAAAACCCCCCGGTCCGACAGGGGTCAATGGTGGTTTGCTATACAACGAGTATATCGCGTACGATGTCTCGCAGGTACGCCTTCGCTACCTGTTCCGAGTCAAGGTTTGAGAGGAGGTCTTTTATACCAGTCGGGACATCATTTCACGCCTGCAATGCAGGGTCTGCAGTACAGGGCATCTTGCCCACTGCTATTTCACAATTGGCGGGGGAAGATAGGGGCTCTGGGTTTCGGAGGCAAGACAAAAATCTCACATGGTGTCAGCACCAGGAACGCGATGGCAGAAAGTGCCTTTGCTGCTTCTTACATGGCCTCTTTTTTTTGGAACTCGCATATGGCAGCACGTATTTCTCCCTTTCCTTAGCTGAACAGGGCATAGTGGAGCTAATTTTGAGTCTATTATCATACTTTATGCTGTTGACGGAGTGAAGTTCCCAGTCTCCATGACTGTTGACCAGCGACAGTTCCCCTACTCCGTTCGGTTCCCCGTGCCGAGTGTCTTGGTGCAATGTGACCATGCACGTACGAGCAATGCCAACCTCGCCGACGCAGCCCTCATCAAGCCTCAGGCACCTGCAAGAAGCCGTCAAAGTAAGTGTCCAGCCACCGCGCCGCCTCGCGGCCCGTCTCGATGGCGTCCTCGGACCCGCCGCCGGGGCTCAGGTCCCATCGCCGCACGGCGCCGACGTAGCCGTCCGGGCGGACGTTGACGATGGCGACCTCGCCGTCCTGCAGAGGGGCGCCCAGGTACTTCTCGGTGCAGGTCAGGCCGCGCGTGTCGAGGTCCGGCCTGTCGTCCAGGTAGATTGTCCAGGGGGAGCGGGCCAGGATCGCGGGGAGGTCTGAGATTTCGAAGAGGTGCTTTGATGTTGATGCTAGACAGGGAGGGGTAGAACAGGTTAGCAGGGGTGTCGGGCTTGAGACATCCCGACTACCATGGTGGTGGCGATGTTCGGGGTGGGGGGGGGGGGGGGCAGGATCGGATGGGATGAAGCAAGCACATATGCGTGGGATGGGAAGAAGGAACTTACTGATCAGCGCAAAGGCGAACAACTGGCTCACGGCGATATACCTCTCGGGCCGCTTGAAGATGTCCTCGTGGCTGGGGACCCGCGGCCGCTCGAGGTAGCTCTTGCCGGCGGCCGCGGACAGGCGGCTCATGAGGCTCTCGGGCTCGGCGATGGCGCCGCACAGCGAGACCAGGAAGGCGGCGGCCGAGGCCGACAGGATGTCCGGGATGAAGAAGTACAGCCTGAACTGGCCCAGGACGGGTATGTCGAGCTGGACGTCGACGGGGTTGGCGTCGATGTACCGCGACACCTTGCCGGGGGTCAGCGTGCACCCGGGCCTGGCGCCGAGCTGCGGCAGGCCCGGAACGCCGGCGCCGGCGGCCGCGTCGTCCACGGCGCCGCCGCCCTTGGCGCCGTCCTGGCCGTCGGCCCTGAAGCCCTGCGGCACGAGGTTGAGCGGGTTGGGGGCGTACTCGCAGCCGACGCCCGAGATGAAGCGCACGTTCTTGCGGAAGTTGTCGAAGAGGGCGGCCGGGTTGCCGCGCGACATCTCCTGGGCGTGCTTGAAGTCGAAGGCGACCAGGTCGCGGGCGATCTTCTGGCGCTCCCACGAGTACGACTCGAGCAGGACCGAGGGCTTCGCCAGGCCCCGGATGGCCAGGTTCAGCTTCCACGCCAGGTTCCAGCTGTCGTGCAGCGCCGTGTTCATGCCCTGCGCCGCCTTGGGCGAGTGCGTGTGCGCCGCGTCGCCGGCGATGAAGATCCTGTGCTCGTCCTCTCCTTCCTCCTGGGCGGCGGCGGCGGCGGTGTTTGCTGCTGCTGCTGCTGCTGCTTGGTTGACGGTGGCCGGGGTCGGGGTCTGCTGTCTGGCCGTGGCCTCTGGCGCGGTGGGCACGGGGCAGGAGAACCTGGGGGCCACGCGCTGCGAGACGCGGTACTGGCCGAACCACTCGACGCGCTTCCAGCGGATGCGGTACTGGCCCTTGCCGTCGGACCCGATGATCTGGGCGGCGCGGCGCATGATGGCGGCCTGGACGCGGGCCGGGTTGGAGTCGGCGGCGGCCATGTCGGTGTCGGGCCTCATCTCGATGTACAGGCGGGTCATGTCCCTCTCGCGCGGGATGATGAGGACGCTGCCGTACTGCTCGGAGAAGACGACGCACTTGGTCCATATGTCGGGGAAGTTGGTGTCGACCTCGCCGTCCAGGACGCCCCAGACGGACATCTCGTCCGGGTCGTCCCTGGCGGAGGGGTCGGAGGGCCCGACGATCATCCTGCGCACGCGCGAGTGGGCGCCGTCGCAGCCGACGAGGTAGGTGGTGTCGAAGGCGCGCAGGTCGCGGGTGACGTTGAAGGCGGACCTGACCTCCATGGTGCCGTCGTCCTTGACGCTGACCGAGTCGAGGCGGTGGCAGCGGCGCACCGAGATGCCGCGCCTGGCGAGGTCGTCGACAAAGACCTTCTCGACCATGCCCTGGTGGCCGATGAGCAGGAAGGGGTCGACGAGGTCGACGATGAAGGCCGGGTAGTGCACCTCCCTGGCGAGGCGGCGCAGCTCGTGGTCGCCGGACGACGACAGCGACTGCCACATGGTGATGTCGTAGATCTTGACGGCCTGCTGGAGCAGCGTGTCGGCCAGGCCCAGCATGCGCAGGGTCTCGATGGTCTTGGGCTGCAGCCCGTCGGCGCGGCCGACGGGGGTCTGGTCGGAGCGCTCGTCGAGGATGAGCGGTCTGATGCCGAGGCGGGCGAGGACCAGGCTTTGTTTGTGTGCATGTCAGCATGTGTGAGCAGCGAGTGAGCAGCTGGGTGAGATGGATGAGAGTGATGAGAGTGATGAGTGTCCGTACCCGAGCATGAGGCCGGCGGGCCCGGCGCCGATGATGCACACGTCGTGGTGCTCCGACTTGGGCTGGTGCCTCGTGAGCAGCGGCATGATGTTGACGGGGGCATTCTCGTTGATGGGCTCGGGCCGCGGGGTGGTGGTGGTGGTGTCGTCGTCGCGGTCGTTGTCGTTGTCGTTGCCGTTGACGAGGGTGTCGGTGTCCATGTCCACGTCGCCGTCGCTGCTCCCGCCCAGGGGGCTCGGGGCACCGTTAGGCATGTTGACTTCTCACGAGGCCCCTCATAGGGCAGCTGCTTATGCTCGTGCTCGTGCTCGTGCTTCTGCTCCAGCTCCAGCTTCTGCTCCTGCTCCAGCTCCTGCTCCTGCTCTCTTCTTCTTCTTCTTCTTCTTTTTCTGTCTTGTGCGGGACAGGGCACTGAGACGATGACGACGACGATGATGCAGATGCAGATGTGGATGGACGATGGGCAAATGCAGGTCTATCCGAGAAGCTTCGACCAGCAAGCAGGTCAGATTTTCGCGTGCATGCTCTCTGCAGCCAGTTGACCGTGTCACAGTGGAGACCTGTAGCATGTGCGCAGCGCGCAGTGCGGAGACCCTGTCCCTGTGCCGTTCTCTCAACTGAGTGCACATGTGCTGTGCGTGTGCTTGATGCTGCCCCGTCGCTGCCCCGTCGCTGCCCGTCAGCCTTCGTGGAGGGGCAGGTAGTAGGCAGGATCCGCCGCCTTGCCCCTTGTCGGAAGCTACCGATGACTGCGGGACGGGCCTACGGTGGCAGCTAGTGTGGGCACCTCTCCAGCCGCCCTGCCGCCTCCCTCCTTCCCCCCCTCCCCCAAAACCCCCCACGAAAAGCATTGCTGATCGCTCGTGGCGTGCATGGCTTCTATGGTAGGATCGTCCACCGAAATCATGCAACTGCCATGTCAGCTGGTACAAGTATTTTGGCAGTCATCACTTGAGAATATGGCCACCAAACATATGTACAGTATATTAACCTCTCAAGGTATATATATACTGACATCCTTCATCTATCATTACCTACGGCAACTCCGAGGGAGTAAAACCATCAGGAAAGGAAAAGGGAAGGAAAAAAAGTAAACAACAGCCAGAGTGACATGCGAGGACCATTACTCGGGGTGCCACCACCACCAAGTGATTCCATGACAAGTCTCACAGGGCAGAGCTGCTACAACAACGGCAGCGATGTCTGATGTCCCAGCCAGTCATACGATCATGACTCACCTGACGCCTCCCTTCTACCGGCGCATTATCGCTCTGGCACTACTATTTCATCATCCTGCCTCGCTAGCACATTCCCCGGGTAGCACCCTCTGCAGTGCCCATGTGCTGCCCGACCTGCTGCCCTGCCGCTTCCGCTCCACGGCCGCCAATCGGCACCTCTCCGAGCCCGTTGCCCTGAACCCGAGCCCGTTCTAGACCACCGGTGCTGAAAGTCTGCGGTATTGTGTCACGTTTGAAGGGTCGACATGAACCACTTGCGGCAACGGAAATCAGGATTCTGTCAAGACAACGCCAGATGGATTCCTCTACTCAAGAGTCAAGTGCTTCTGGGAGACTGGGCTATTCAGTCCCAGGTCCATTCAAGCCCATCCTTCAAGCTCACCAGGGCCCCGGTCTCTATCCGTACGGCTCTCAACAATCACGGCACTTTCCGTCCCCACCAAGTAAGCCCCCGGTGCAGTCCGGGCAGGGTCCCACGATGGGCCGCGCTCGTACGTTCCAAGAGTGCGAGTTGTTGGGACCACCACCCAGGTCAAAGGCGAGGTCCAGCGCCCCGCCGTACTCGCAGTACTCGGTCAGGCTTATCGCCGCCAGGCAGCACCGGTAGTCGTAGGTGTCGCGCATGTCGAACATGTCCCTGGGGCCGAGGTACGTCATCTGCGCCATGACTGCGTACGTGCCGTTGCTGTAGTCATCGGGCTGGCAGTGAGTGTACTGTAATGATGGTTACACTTAGTAAAGAGGATGCAGATCAGATGGAAGGCGTAGTAGGTTGCCGGTCATATGAGCACATCACTGGCACTTACAGGTATGCCACGGGTCAAGATCGTAGCACTGTTTCTCCGGCACAGGGCTGAAATAGTGTCAGATAGCGCCTTCTGTGCAGTCGGCTCGTCCGGCGACGCAAGCGCGATCCATGGGATCCAGGCGGACGTGTCGTTGTCGGGGATGGAAGTGTGGTTCGAACTGTGGAAGCAGCCACCGGTGTCCTTGGTCCGGCGATGCATCACCGGGCTGGATTCGACTGCAACGCGGCCGGCCGAGTCGGGGGCGGACATCACGGAGTGCTGGAAGCCAGAGGGTGTGGCCACGCCCACGAGGGCTGTGGCCAGGATGATGGCTGTGGCTTGGATCAGAGGCGTGGTATTCGCCATGTTGACCATCACGGCCATGAGGATGGTGACAACAGCCATGAAGCAGCGCATCGTGTATTTCTGTGCAGTTTGGGGTCGAAGGAGGATTTCTTCCTTTGGAAGATCAGTGGATTCCTCTTTGTCTCAAGTGTATGTGGATGGAAGTGGCCGTGATGAAAACGCAAGATGGCGTTAGCAGCGAAAAGGATGGTCTTGTCTGCGTGCCCAGTCTTGAGGTTATGGTCTCAGGTAGAAGGTTCCGAGTGTGACTGGACGGGATTCATAGCTTCCCCATGGTTTCTGGTGCACTTACCTCCGGAGGATGATTGTGAACCTACAGGAAGGGATTCAAAGGCGCGGTGTATGGAGGTGAGAAGGTTACGGGCTCCAGGGGCAACTTTATCCAGGCGTTTGGGCAGGCCCCTGCAATATTCTGTGCCTTCCAAAACAGCCGCTACGGGGCGGAGAAAGATTCCTTGCCACAATTCGAGCTGAAGTGCGTAGAGAAGGCTCACTTCAAATGCTGGCCATTGAGTCCAAGGACTTTTATGACCTGATGTCGCCAATTGCACTTGTGAAAATGGGCCGACCTCGGGAGTCACTCATGTTCATCCCTCGAACAGTCATACTGTCAATGAAGAAGGAGTCGTGCCCCTTTCCCGCTTTCCTTCACCCAAGTTGTGATTCAAACCCTTACAGTCTTTAGTCAGGGCTGCATGTGGGAGGTATGCATACCGAAGTTCGAGTAGAACTCTCTCTTTCTAATAGCCTTTCAGGGGCAATCTCACATCTTAAAAAACTTTTTATTATAACTGGCGATAACCTGTGGTCAAAACAACGATTAATATACATCCCTCAGGCAAAAGAATCCACGTTCGTAGTTCCGAATACTACCTACCTTAGAGAGACTAGACATTTGTATAACAAGCAGGACAAGACAACGACACTATATTCAAATGGCTGATCAGACTTTTTCACTGGAGTTTCTCGGACGTAAAATCTATTCACAGAGATGACTTCTGTCAGACAAGGAGAAATAAGTGATGCTCCAGGGTTCAATCTCCTAGGTCTTAACAGCCATGCAGTATCACCACAACATCACTAGACCTCTACTAAGTTACCTAGGTATGTTATGTCATACTAGTAAAGCCTTCATTCCTTGTCTATCTCTCTAGTTCGTTGGAAGTCATCAAAAATACCCTCTTAATGGAGTGGGCGCTAACAGGTTATCCTCTATAAGGTTGCAAGGCCATCATCCTACATGTCATTTGGATGTAATTACGACATCTTGGGGTTGATTGAGATAGATGCCGTTGTTGCTTGAGGGACATCGTAACGGTTTCCTCGTTCACAATGACGAACCACTCGCTGTTTCAATTTTTGTTTCTGCTTGTCTCCCATCACTCGATGCTTCGGCTATCCCGAGGTCGCCATTACACTGTCAGCGACAGTATGAACTTGGCTTCTGAGCGCTTATCACTGTATGAAGGTGCCAAAAACGATTTGTATGTATGGCGATTAGAAACGAAACCACGGGGGTTAGAAACGAAACCACCTGAGCAGTTAGCCTACTGGACTGTACGCGTGTATGGCACCTGCATTTGCTATCTTTATCACAGTCATGGTGGGGACCACTTTTTTCCTGTAACGATGGTACCACTCACATGTTTTGGATTGTTTTGCACCGGCTGCATTGCAAATCGTACTAGCAGAGAAGACACAACCACCCCACAGGAAAAAAGGTGGCTGCCAAGGAGGGCTCGGTCCCATCTAGCGACTCGGGGGAGTTCGCCGAGCGGGACCACGTGGTAACATCGTGCCGAATTTCAACCGCAGTTTTGGACTTCACAGCCATTATTACTGCGTCATAGAGTCATCTCGTTCGTGTCTGATGGGCACTCATGATCTAATTCATGTTGAAAGAGGGCAACAGGTCATCGCCGGCTACTACCTAGGTGCCTTTGGTAATGCTGATAAATAAACCACGTTGGGCACATCATGTGCTAGCTGTCTGTTGACAGTTTTTGCGATGTTCTTTTGTCAATCCCAGACGACCTATTCGATACAAATGCCTAGACAGTTGATATTATGAAATCACTCAGCAACTGGCAGCCGGAATACAGTGGCCCCCGCGCCAGAAGCGGCCACATCAGCCCCCTCTCCGCTCATCTGACAGCGGCATCAGGGGAGTTCGTCGGAACTTTTTTGTTTCTATGGATCGGCTACTCCGGTCAGACCGTTGTTTTCAGCCGGGCCTCAGCTCAGGCGATGGAGGGCGGCCTTGGCAGCGAGACTGTCGTCTTCACAGCGCTGGTCTATGGCCTTTCGCTGCTAGTCAACGCATGGGCGTTTTACCGGATATCGGGCGGGCTGTTCAACCCAGCCGTAAGTGGAAGAACAAAAGAAAAAGTCTACATCTCGATCTAGCGCGCACCCCACTATTGCTAACCCAGCATAGGTGTCGCTGGGCCTGACCTTATCTGGCCAAGTGCCCTGGTTGCGCACAGTCTTCTTGGTTCCTGCGCAGATCCTCGCATCGGTGTGCGCGGGAGGGCTCGTCGGCGCGATGTTCGGGGCTGATCTATCGAAAGTAAACACTATACTCGCTCCTGGCATATCGGCCGCGCAGGGGCTTTTCATCGAGATGTTCATGACCGCGCAGCTGGTCTTTGTCATCCTCATGCTAGCCGCCGAAAAGTCGAGGGACACCTTTATTGCACCTCTTGGGATTGGCCTGGCTCTTTTCATGGCAGAATTGACTGGTAGGTGAAAGCTCTGCAACTGAGTGTAATGCTTGACGCTTACCTTCATTCCAGGTGTTTACTATACCGGAGGGTCCCTCAACCCGGCGCGCAGCTTCGGGTGTGCTGTCGCAGGTAGAAGCTTCCCCAGCTATCATTGGATATACTGGATTGGGCCAGCGCTAGGAGCGGTGCTGGCTGCTCTCTACTATCGTTTCGTTAAGTGGGCACATTATGAGGAGGCAAATCCAGGGCAGGATAGTGACGGGACCCATGAGCAGGAGGTAGCGTAGGATGCTGTGCAACCACATGTATATATGTTTGTCTATCCCTGCCCAAATTATCAGACCTTATCCTCCAATAACATTTGAACAGCTAGGTAAGCTGAGCACGCAGTGGGGTGATCTTCATTCCCAGCCTCTGATCGGCATGGGTGTAATCGAGAGCTTGCGCAACATCACGAGCGGTGGAAATTCTGTGCAACAGTCTGTATTTTTCATCTTTTGCCACTGGAAAGCCCATGATATTTAATTCTTCTTATTTGGTTTTGCGTGTGCGGAAAGCTTGAGAGCGAATACGAGTCTGCCTTTCCAAGCGTGTTTCCCAAGATAATCAACCTCATGTCGGATGTCCGATGAACTCCATGCCAAACGCATTGTAGTTCTTCCAGATCGCCCAATCGTCCATGATTATTGGCGTTCATCCTACCTCCCGGTAGTGAACAAAGCTCCTAGCCGTTGTGAAGTCTAATCTGACCTCATAACTTGAAGACCCCACCTTAAGGTTCAAATGTTATTTTATTGAGCCCATGCTTCCCGAGGTCATCATCAGCTGCTATGATGTTCACAATCCAAGCTCCAGGGCTGCCGAACCTGTGTTAATGCGTACTTTACCCAGCTCGACTAGGTATAGTTCAGATTTGATAATCAGGCGACTCGTCAGGACATTGAAATCAGCGGGGAACAGTACTGAGCACACAGTGAAGCAAGATGTTCTAGTGGCCTTCTGAATGAGTACCCTTTTGGGAGATAGGGGCGAATGGTGGGGATAGCTTCGCGTTGACCGTGAAACTGCGTAATTCGATCTGGAAACATGCCGAGGTGCAGTTCAGGCCGGGCTGCCTCGTCATGGGATCGTTCATCCGTTGGGCATAGCTTCCGCTTCAGTCGGACGTGGCCTCGACAAACCATCCCTTCTGAGGTTGGTCAAAGCCCTGTGCAACTGGGGTTCGACTCAGGTCAAAGGGGAAGTGGGAAGTCGACGAATTAGATTTTCGGACGGCCCGGTGAAATATCTATCCTCAGTATATGAATCCGCGCGCCCGCCAGATCGGATGATTAAATTTTGGCGGCGGCGGCCTGTCTTTGCTTCTTCCGGATGGCTGAATCTCCAGCAACCATATGGGAACGGAATAGTATGAAAAGCGAGCAGCCACGCATGAGTCCAATCAAAATTAGCTCAGCGCCGCCTTTGTCTGCCATACCTAGGTAGCACAAAGAACCCGGGGCGTCGGACAGGTCGCACTGCACTTCTTGGCCGGGTGACAGATGGCAATATTAATAACCATTCATACCTAGGCAGTTGCGGGCCGCCCATTGGGTTGTTTGGGAAGGGGTCGGAGAGAGATGATCCTGCGGGTCCTTTTCTTGTTGCAGACCGGCTGCAAATGCAACCACCAAATCACGCTCGTTTCAGTGTCCTACTCGTCAGAACCGACATAAGCGAGAGGGGTCTCCCAAGGAGCTCATGGTCTCAACTCGCACAATCAATTGCGGGGGATTGTTTTCGAACCAGTCATCTCAGGCTCTGACGGCCCCAGGCGGCCAATGCCATGATATGAGCAAGACAAGCCACACGCCGAGCACGTCCACGCAAGGTCGACGGAAAGTGGGAGCTTGTCGAGCCGGTCGATCACACCTCGCCTCTTCAGCCTTTCTATTCGGCACCTGGCCGTCTGCCAGCGTCAACTAGCTACCCTAGGGTACCTAGGTAGTGTGGTGCCAGCCCTAGCGGCTGGGCCGTCTCGACCTTGGTCTGTTTTCAGCCTCAAAGGCACAAGTTTTGTGGCTCGGGTCTGGACCATCTTGGTGAGCGGTTCCCAAGGTTGGGCCCGGCTCTCTGAAATGGCGCTTGTTGGGTAGAGATCTAGATAGATCCAGACCGGTGCCACTTTCAGATGAAATGACTCTGCTCAAACTCCTCAGCTTGGCACCCTCAGGGCCTCGTCTCGAGCAACACTGCAGGTCAGGTTCTAAAGTTGAGAAAATGACAACCCCGCAGAGGATTCTGTTGTGCTCGTGGGGGTAGCACTGCTTCGAGCTTGCTGACAATTCCCCTTACTTGGCACCAGTTAACCTGTAAGCCGCAGGGGGCGCAACGCGTCGTGGATAATGACGCTGCACGCCTATCACCGCCGGTCTGGGGTAATTGTACACGGTATCGAGATGCGCGGCAGACGCGCAACACAGCGCTACGCCAGTCAGAAGCGGCATCGGGAGAGCGACAGAAACCCGTGCGAGGCGCGGGGGACATGTCCCACCCCATCTGTGCATTTTACTCGCTCGCAAGCACTATTGGGACTAGCAGGATGGGACCAGGGCCACGCCAGTCCAGCTCTGCTGTGAGCCATTCAACCTGGGGCACACCCGCCCTCCGCCCCTCGATCCAGGGGCGAGATGCACACTCGGTGTCAGCCACGGCCGGCTGACCTGGCCAGGACCATCCTCAGAACAGCCGAATGTCCCGCATTGCAACCATCCGGATCCTGACTGGCGGCACAGGCCACTGGTTTAAGGCTGATTAGCACAAATTATGCGTGGCCCCTATCCCATTGGTCTGGCCCCACACCTGTCTCTCGGTCACGACCGCACGTTGAAGGAGTGATGTGACTTGATGGCAACATCCTTGTCAGAGCCCCCTGTCATCCTTTGGGTTACATTCCATGTGCCATATAGATCCTCCTTCATCCTGCCACTGCGGTGTTTTTATAACCTGGGCCCCATCATCTCTATCTTCTTCTAATTTGAGTCGAAGATATACCCAGTGAATATCCTTTCACACCACTCCTTGTCCTAGTATCTTGGTTGAAGTATCAATATGGCACAATCAACATCCTCAACCGGCCTGGTGCTCATCACCGGCGCCACTGGCCATGTGGGCTTCAGAACACTTGTTCATGCCCTCAGGACCGGTCTCGCTGTTCGCGTTGCAGTGAGATCAGAAACCAAGGCAACACAGCTGATGAAGCGGTTGTCTCTGAAAACAACCAGCAAGCAACGCCAAAGGGTCACCCTCGCCATCGTCCCTGATATCACAGCAGAGGGAGCCTACGATGAAGCAATGCACGACGTGACCCAAGTCATCCACGTTGCCTCTCCCCTGGTCACTGGCTCCCAGAAGCCACCCATTGAGAGCGAACAAGCCGAGGACTTCTTCATTGGACCAGCAGTCCGCGGCACACGGAGCCTCCTCGAGGCAGCAGATGCATGTGGCACCGTCAGGAGGGTCGTCATCACCTCTTCCATCGTGGCCCTCATCCCGGTGTTGCAGATGGAGGGCACCGAGCCCAGGCCCAAGGGCGTCCCCGTCAGGCCGACAGACCGTGTCCCTTTCACGCCGGGCCCATATCACTCCGAGTTCGCCGCCTACGCCAACTCAAAAATAGCTGCCCTCGCCGCCGCCGAAACATGGTGCGAGGAGGTGCGGCCCGCCTTCGACGTCGTCCACCTGCACCCGTCTTTTGTGCTGGGGAGGAACGACATGGCCGCCACCACGGCAGAGTGCATGAAGGGCACCAATGCAATGGTGCTTGCCATGCTCCTGGGCAAGCGGTTTGGCCCCTTCGCAGGCGCGACCGTGCACGTCGACGATGTGGCAAGGTGCCATGTCACCGCTGCCGTCGACACGGTCAATGTCCCTGGCAACGAGAGCTACATACTCAGTCAGGGTTCGAGGTGGAACGACGCGAAGGATATGGCGGCTAAGTTGTTCCCTGTTGCCGAGAAGACCAGGCTCCTGGTAAAGAGCGGGAATGTCGGCACCACCAAGATTGACATCGATGCGAGCTTGGCTGAGGACACCTTTGGGTTGCGGTTCAAGGGCTTCAGCGACCAAGTAGAGAGCCTCGTCGGTCAATTCCTGGAGTTGAAGACCAACACTAAGCAAAGCGAACTAAAAAAGCTTACGGGAAAGGGGGGGATGAAGAAGACAGACGTGGAAGTCAAGGTATATCCTGTTGACATGCCGAGCCTGTGTCATACAGCTATCGTGTGTTGATCCAACCACGCAGCTGAAGCAAATGGATCCATCATTCATGGATTGGTTTAATAGCGAGCATTATATAGCATTGCATGGGGCCGAATAGCCCCAAAGGAGCCCTCTTTTACGGAATACCATTCGCTTCCGAGAATCATTTGAACGATACCACACTATAGCGCTTGCTGTGAAATGTCTCATCAGTTGATCAACAAAAAATTCTCTGCATTTGAAATGTAAGGTATGACACATGCGAGCCAATCTTGCGCAATTTGACCATCACTCTTTTGTAATAAGTGGTATCTGTCCATGATAAATACCTAGGGTATATAGGTAGAGATTTAGAATGGAGCAATCGGCCTATCCCGGCAAACAGTAAATGAGAAACCCAGACTGCTTAAAACTGATTGCTCATATGCGCTGTACACTAGACCTACCGTGCACACTCAAAATTTTCGCTCGGCAAAGCGGGATCATATCTTCTTTGGGGTCTTGCACAAATGCCTGTTGGTTCAATGTTGTGCATTGAGCCCCCGGTCTGCTGTAGCGAGCCTCTGTCGGGCCAATGTGCTCAGCAAATTCTTATGGGTCCTGTACCTTGCCGTCCACGGGTCCCATCGCCGGCGCCCAGAGTGGACCCGCGCATACCCAGTCGCCATGGAGAAGAGATAAAACGGACGCGCAGCCCCTTGATTCAATGACTAGTGTCCTCGGGTTCCATCTTTTCGCTTGTATTCGCTCAACTCGTTGCTTTGGATCACTTGCTCTTCACACTCCGGCCTCAGGTAGGACCGGGCTTCTTCGAGAATGTCCGTCTCGCCTTTCGTGCTCCGTTCGGGTTACGTCGAATTGGCGAAGATCGTCCATTCGACGTGTGGGTCCCTTACCACGTGCTTTCTATTCACGAGACTATGGGCAAGGGCTCAGTACTATCATGGACTCTGGCGAGATGACTATATTCGTGAGTATCACCACCTTTCTCTAGCAACCCCCACCCCCCCAACCCCCAAAAAACAAGAGCGAAAAAGAGATAAAACTCGTAATTGCATTCCACTGATCATGATGTCTCAGTAATTGCGGCTTGGGTATGCCTCTTGTTGTCAAACGGATTCGGCGCAGCCGGGCCTGCTTATGGCTTCAACGTTCTTGATGGTAGCCCCCGCGGCCAAGCAATCCACTTCACCGCCGTCAGCTTCATGTATGGCTCGATCGCCTTGGGCAAGACAGCCTTCGCCATCACTCTGCTTCGATTGACCTCAGGATGGAAAAGCAAGGGGCTCCTGTGGGTGGTCATGGTGCTGACCAATACTTTCAATCTCGCCATGTTCATCTTGACCTGGCTAGATATATGCGACACCCGTTTCGACCTCGCGCATCTGCCTGGTCGGTGCATCCCAATGTCGGTTGCTACTTGGCTCCATATGGGAGGCACCCTCAACTCCTTGGTCTGCGATATCATCCTCACTTGTTACCCGTGGTGGATCATCAGCCAGGTTGCATACATCCCTGCGCGTGAGAAGTGGGCGGTCGCCGGGTCCATGGGTCTCGTGGGCGTCGCCATACTGGTAGAAATCGCAAAAATCGTCATATTCACCATGATCCCGTCCCACAAACACGGAGAGGTGGACTACACCTGTAAGCCCCCCAGTCCATGACAACGATCCTCCCTCGAGCTCTGGCCGACACCCGCTGACCTTTCACAGATGGTGTCGTGGCGGTGTGCTGCTTGCACCAGGCCGAAGCTGCCGTCTTCATCATAGCCCAGACGATCCCCGTCATCCGTGTCATGTTCCAATCCGAGAATGCCTCGTATAGGCCCGGCAGCCCGAGCAGGGCGGCGTCGACCAAGTCAAAGACGGCCGGGCCGAATGAAGAAGCCACCGGGCCGGTCGAGCTCGTTCAGCTCCCCAGCGGTCGGATCGTCGCTGCCGACTCCGAAGAAGCCATCAGAGCCTCGCACACCCAGGAGGTCCCCAAGGACGCAGGTGCGCAGGCGGCGCAGCCGCTGCCGGGTGTCACGGTGACCTCTCCGCCCCAGCAGAGAGCAAGCCAGGGGACTCGCAGAGCCGACGATGAGGTTCATAGAATCTGGCAAGAAATGGGTCTTTCGATGAGGGCCTGGTCGAAGTCGCCGTCGCCCCCTCCGGAGGGGGCGCGCCTCTAGGATCAGCCTGTTTGTGCCCTTGGGTGAAGGACGTCGCGGGAACGTTTGTGTTCTTCAACTTTTGCGGATAAAATCACGTATATACCAAAGAACCTCATAGTAATATTTGATAGGAGGGCATGTTTCTATATCTGACATCCTCGACTTAACTGGCCTCTTGAGCTTAATTGAAGGTCTTGAGTTTCCAATCTAGACTACAATTCGAGCATGTTTGCGATGCACAGCAAAGTTGTTTGGTCCGTCTTCCATCCCAGACACCGAATCCGAACCCACAACACGCAGTTCGACAAGCTAGCTCCATGTGCTGCCCCTTGAGCTGACCTCGCACTATCGATCGCGCCATGAATACACCCGAATCCATGCCGCATTTCATGTGTAGCATTCTACAGTCCTTATTGGGTCCCGACCGTAGCTTGTGGAGGTGGTCTCATTGTACATCCAGGCCCCCTCCCCCGGGCAGTGCTCATCGAACTTGGGGTTGAGATCGAAGAACCTCACTGCAGCACACGATGCCACCGACCCGTACGTGCATGCGTAGATCATGGTATTCCCCTCGGTACCTACCGTAGGGTTGTGGTAATCTGTGTATAGTCCGAGGTCGGAAAGACATATCTCGTCCATCTCTGCCATCAAGTGAGCATGTTTTCCCCACTTATTCCAAGTTCGAATGCATACACCAAGTGTGCATGCATGGGAGGTTGGGGTATTTTGGACAACGACCTGCCCAGGCTATACAGATTTCCATCTCGTGCCCCCCCCCCCCCACAGACCGTCAATTGGACTGGTGGGGCTCATGCTCGGATAAATAGAACGGTGTAGAATCTTGGGCTGGGAAATGCTTGACCTACTTGCTGCAGCGGGGGCTAAATTGACCTCAAAGCTCTCTTCCAAAAGGTGGCCAGTGCACACTATGTCCCCATTAACAAACTCCGATTCATCCAGGTGAAGGCTGGGTCTGGAAGTCGTGGCATCCTTGACAGGTGTAGCATGCGAGCGTAAAGAGATCAGGGTGCCAAGTAGTAGCTGAATATAAAAAGCATTCATGTTTGCGAAGCAACAGATGAACATGGCCCAGATGAGCACAACTAGGGAGACCCAAGTGGAATGATTGCAGTCGTTGCTGTTTTCTCTTGTATTGGCCTTTGAGATGCAGTGAGGAGCAAGATCTCATGGGCCATTGTGCCGAGGTCTTGAATATTTGTATGGCACAACATGCATATGAGCAGGCGTGCTGTTCTCTTACGTACTTAAGCATGTTGTTCTACAGTAATGCAGCCACTACATTCTTCTCACCAAGGCGCCTTTCCTCCACCACAGGTAGGACCAACCGCGAACAAGTCTGCTCCAGTTTCTTCAAGACTTAGGTATGCGCAGTGTGGTGAACACAATTTGAGCAACATAGCATGTTGAAGGGTCTTCCTGTCGTGTAACTCTATCTCTGTCAAACGGAGAATGTCTCAGACACCATGTCGTGCATTGAAGACATGGGGTCTCGCTTGAGGCCGAATAGTGTTTCACAAAGGAGATGTGGATGATGACACCGCAAGTCACGAGATTGGTGGTTCTAAAGTTGCCCACCAGGTGAAGCTTGCCCGGTTACGCCCCGGGCCACTCTTTAACACTGTCATTCAAGTGAAAAAGACCTTTCTTGAGGAGTCAACCACTTAAAACAAAACCCTTCGGAGGCGAGTGTTCACTATAAATATAGCAAACTATCAGAGCCTCATATCAGAAGCCACGGAACTGGTAAGAAACAACGATTATAACGAGAAAGGTATTTTCAGTGCACTAGTTTTCCAATCACTTCCAGTCCCAAATATCAGAGACACACACGTATCTATATATCTAATAGTACTCAATAAAGGCACCGAAATGTTGACCCGTTCAATAGGGCATGCGTAGATGTCACCATTATGTGGGTCAGTCTCGCCATACACACGCGAAACCCCTTACCCGCAACGACCGCAGCCATCTGTCTCTAATCCGCAGCGCACACTATTGCTAACAGTAGTCCTCGCTTGGAGACAATATCATCACAGAGGCCTTCCTCGATTGTGGGCTCTCGCGGGGCTGCACTTGTGATTGACACCCGCGTTGCCCAGACAATCAGGCAGGGCAAAGGGGCATGTATGGATAACTAGGGACGGTCAATGTAGGGGTTGCAGTGCTAATTCACGTCTCCTGCAGGAACTAGTAAAGGTGTCTGTGGAGCCGCCATTTGCGTGATTTCCTCGATCGGGTATCGGTGTCGAATTGGATGCGGTAGGCTTATATACGCGACGCCACCCACCACCCAGAATTACAACATACTACTATATACATGCCCGAGCTTCTGCAACTCTAACCTGTTCTCATATTTTTTGCGGAACCTTTTCAAGACATCTGGCAATCAATTGATGCCACCTGTACGACCCAATTCCCTTTGGCAGCTGAAATTACATCCCATTACTACATCAGCCCGCCGTTCGACCAGTCTCCGGTGTACCAGCTCGACGAATCCATCGCAAAGGGCTCCAGGCCGCCCATTCCGAAATTCGACCCGTCCAAGGCTCCCTCGAACGCGTTGCTGAGATTGGGCGTTACACCGGTCATCATGTTCGCTTGGGCGACGGGCATTGACTCGTCCTCGCGGAGCACTGCCGGCGTTGGTGGTTGCATCGGTGCTTGTGGTTGCGATACATCGGTTGCCATTGTTTGGCCGGGTGATTCGACCTGAGTCGGCAGATTCTGTGGTATTGATGGGTTGCAGAGCTGGTGGGCGACGTCGGCTTCCTGGAGGGCGTCTCGTTGGAGCATCGGGTCGACCGCCAACGGGTCATGATTGGTGGGTGTCATGGACACAGGCGAGGTGACGTTGCTCGGAAGCGTCGGTCTCACCCATCCGCTCTCGATGAGTTTCTCGAGAGCTTCGGCCTGTGTGCCGATCCTTCGGTCAGTCGTCTGGGAAAAGTTTGAACCACATGGGCTCCCATTTGAGGATGGGGTTGGACTCACAATGGCAACAGCAGCGGGGCCTGGGGCGGATTGCTTGACAACCTTCAGGCAAGTCGCTGCCATCTCTGTTACACTTGCGTGTGAAAGGCCGTACTCGTCCCCACAGGACGCCAGCGTGTAGTACAGCGTGTTGGCACATTGGTAACCCAGCACGGGCAGGTCAAGGTCCGACACAGGGACACCCTTCTGTAATACCATGTCGAGCATTTCGGCCATGGCCTTGGCGTGCTCAAAACACTGCCGTTGGCAATACTTGACAAAAGCGGGATCTAATCTGGAGATGGATTCCTTGGACAGGCTGTCCCTCCTCCCTACCAGCGCAATCCGGTACAGGTCACAATGGCATTGCTCCCACCACAGATGCGTCATCAGGTAAACACAAAGCCGCGGGTGGTATGCCCGCAGTCGAAGGTTGGCCTCGTTCCATTTAAACTGTGGGGGCAAGCGACCCTCAAATGCATTGAGATCGTCCTGAAGCTCCTCACACTTGCGAGGCAGCGCTTTCAAGTCCAGACTGCCAGCCCTTGGAAGGACAAGTGTTTTTGTGAAGGCCAGTATCTTGCTGCGTATCCACTGGATGCGGATGTGGAGGGCCAGAAACCCAACCTTGTCAGTCAGTGGAGGCAAACTGCCATCCGGCTGGCGCGGTGGCGGGATTAGCGATTCTGTGTCTTCTGGGAGATCGTATTCGAAGTTCCGCTCATTACACGGCAACTTGATGTCTAGACACTGCGGCCGGTGCGCCCACAGGGTGTAGTCGGGGTGGCCAGCTGCCATCCCAATATCGATCATAAAGAGGGACCACATCAGACGTCGCCGGGACTCTTGGGCCAAGAAGCAGAGCCTGGGGTTCTCGTGGTTGAGCTGCAAGGCAGCGGCGAATCGAGATGCCAGACCCGTGAGCATGAAAGCGTCTGAGAAACGACGACAAAAGATCCGATGCTTGATGATGAGGACCAAGGCCTGGATCTTGAGCACTGTGGGTCTCCCGAGGTCACGCTGGATGAGGCCCTCGGCGGCAGCAATACACCTGTTGCCGTACTCACGGGCGCCGGGGCCAAGGTCGGTGAGGATGGAGGTGATTCCAATCAAGGATAATAAAAGCGGCCGGTCCATGGAACCCGAGTGGTAGCGCTGCATGAGTGATGCCTGGTGCAGAAAGGAAAACAAGGCGATATGGTGGACGTGGCGGAAGAACTTTTCGAAGGTGCGGATGATGAGAGACTCCTCGGGGGGCGGGAGATGGCGGAGATCGGCGAGGCCATTGGTTTCAAGATGGTCGGAGGCGCTGCGGCTCTGGTCTGAGAGGTAGTCGTCCCTCGCCGAGCCGGCGGAGGCGAGCATACCGGAGGCGGCGTCCCCAATGAGAGAGTCGCGGCCATGCTGAGAGGAGGAGGCGCCGGGGGTTGTGCTGAGGCGCGAGCGCTTGGAGGGACGGTAGACACACTCGAGGCTGTGAGCGCGACACCTGTCGCACTTGGGCATGGTGCCGCTGCATTTTGCCTTTCTGGAGTGGCAGCTCTGGCAGGCCTGGCGGACGCGGCGGCGAGGGGGGTGAGAGGCGACGGCGTGGATGGTGAGGGCGTCGCTCGCCGAGGTGCCGTCGCTATTCATGCCTGGGGCGCTGAGGGCTGTGGTGGGGTGAGTAGGGATGGAGTCGTCATAGGAGCAGGTGAAGCCGAGGCGCATGCAGTTGTTGCAGACGTCGCGTTGCCCATCGCAGCGGACCTTGCGGGCGCGACAGGTCACGCACGTGTTAGAGGGCTTTTTTGACGGATTGGAAGTGATCATGGATCATGAGTGTTGGGGCGGATGTCGGCAGTGATCTTCGGGTCGGGGCTGGAGGTGAGATTTCAGCGTGCGGTCGAGGCTGGTTGGTGGCTGATGCTGGCTGATGGGGAGCCCTTCATGGAGTGACGTCTCTCGAGGGGCCGCCGCTCAACGGAGGCGGGCTGGGCTGGGCGGGCCTACACTAGGCTCGCGGGGCAGTGGGAACCGAACCGGCGAGTCAACGGCAGGGCGGGTGAACCTGTGGATGGTGGGGCAACCTTAGTAATAGCAGGCGTCGCGTAATTTTTGCAAAGCAAGACAGCCAGACAGTCGACGGCCTCGGCCTGTTTGAGGCAACACTGCATGCAATGCAGTAGTCAGATCAGGTCAAGTGATCTGGCCCTGGGCTCTGCTTCTCAAGCAGGAGTTGTGTCCCGTCCCGTCGTCTCTTCCTGCAGCGACCTTGTGCACCTCATGAGGGAAGATGATGGACTCGGGCGGGTGCGGACAAGGCTCGGGCTCAGGCTGGAGCTGTGGTGACGGCGGGGATGGCGAGGGGCGTTTGGCTTTGACTACTTTGGTGGGTGGGGCAGCAACGCGATCCTTGATCCATGGAACTGTCGTCGAACAGCACTTGAATTCTGTGATGAACACGTTCTCTGTATAGACTACGCAGTAATGCGACGTCGTTCCGAGTCCGAGTCTGGTGCTGATGGGCTGGATGGTTGAGAGAGACGTGACGTGACTCGGGCGCGATGCGCAAGGTCACTACTCACTCGCAGCTTCGACGACGGCTGTCAATGGCAATGGCAATGGATCGTGCTGTGAGTATAGTGAGTGCTGTGGACGGAATGGCATTGATGGTGACGAGGGATGGATTGACTCCTTCTGTCTGTAGCGATGCGGCTGCCGTTCAGGGTTCCCCATCTTTTGCTTCGATGGGGCTCTTTCCTCCTGGCGCCCGTCTCGAGGCCAGCAAGCAAAATGTACTGTACACATACAGCTGTCTGTACAGAGCACACCACCTACCGAGTAGCGTGCCGTAGCCTACCTAAACGAGGCATGTGGGGTAACGTTAAGTAAGACCTTCTTCCCCTCCCCTCTGCCCCTTCCCCTGCTGTCAATGCCAAGACTAGCAGCTGGCTGGCTGGCTGGCTGGCATGCAGCCATGCGACTCCCAACCTTGGCACTCTCTCTGGGTGCGTTGGCAGCCGGTCACCTCACTTGCACCACAGCTTGCATCATCTTGTTAATTACTGACCAGTCGTGCACTAACTACCTAGGACTAGGTATGCTGATATCACCCCCTACTCTCTAGCCACAGCCAACAGGTTGTCCAGCATCTCCTCCAGATATCCCGCCATGATGGAGATGTGTCCCTCGCCCTCGACAAGACGCGCCTTCACCTTGTCCTTTGGGAGGTGGTCGGCCTGCCACTGGCCGTGCGCCAGAGGCACCATCTTGTCCTCGCTGCCCTGGTAGAGGAACACGGGCACCTTGATCTCGTCAAGTTCGAATCCCCACGGCTGTATGAAGGCGAGGTCATCGTCCACCCACCCATCACACGAAACCCGCAAGGCCTCGCGCATCGTCCTGACAATGTCGCTGCCCGTGTTCTCGTCCTCCAGCATCGCCTTCTTGTCCACTTCGGGCAGCAACGTCGACAGCAGCGCCTTCGTCAGCCCCTCCGCGTCCGCCGCCAGCAACCCGGGCCTCTCAGCCTGGCAGAACTTTTGGATTTCTTCCTCCCCCTTGAGTGCGGCCGCCCACTCGTCAACATCTGGAAGCGAGTTCTGTCAGAATATCCAAACACGTATACTGTATGTCTGGGACTCAATCCCTTTTTTTTTTTTTTTTTTTTTTTGTGACTTACTGCCCTGTCCCTGACCAGCGAGGAAGTCGAGGCCGTCTGCGTTGTATGGTCCTACGCCAGCCACAACTAAAGATGCCACGCACCCTGGGAGCCGGGCCGCGCAGGCCAGAGAGTGCGGTCCTGGTTTGGGGAAAATATCAGCACCAATTGGTCTTGGTTCTGCCGTACGCAGGATACTCACCACCACCGCTTTTCCCACCGACAATGCACTTCTTCACGCCAAGGTGTTCAAGCAGTTCGTGGATGTCCGCCACAGCGTCCACGACCTGCCGGCCTAGCTTCCGTGACGAGCCGCCATAACCCGCCCTCGAGAGTGTGATAAGCTTGATGCCCTTCCTCTCGCATGTGCTGCTTAACTTGGACCCGACCGTGTACGACCCAGGCGTGCCGTGGATGAACACGAGCGGGAAGCCGTCCTGTGCCCCAGAGACGAGGTAGTCGGTTTTGCGCCCATCGGCATGGGTAAGGACTTGTGCTGTCATCTTGTGTGCAGTCAGGTGTGTGTTTTTGGGCGGGATCATTACCTCTGATATTCAAGCTCGAGCAATCTTACGAATGACGTGAGTAGTTGGAATCACAATAGATGCCCCGCGATTCTGACTCACTCATGAGACTAGGCATGGGTGTTATTGATGTGGGTAACCGTCAGCATGCATTAACACGGCGCACGCGGCATATGCTCGGCAAAATGTTAACAAGACTCACTTCTTGACACGCCTGATGCAATTGCAGTTCCAATTCATTCCGGACAACACTTCGTATCTGTCTGTCCGTGTAATACAATTCGAGAACCAGCTTCATCAATAGACTTTCAGGGTAACTGTTTGTCCAAACCACGGCGCGCGGTGCAAACACTGAGATGTTCCCGCCCGAGAAGATTGGCACCCTAACCGGTGCTCCGGCGTACCCGAAATTGAGTGCTTCGCTATCACAGCTCGAAGAGAGCATCTCAACCCGACCAGTCCTTCATGATATAGATTTACTAAGTAGGTATTCTATCATCCACAACACAGAATCCAGCATCGAATAGCCTACCACTGACCCTCTGGCTGGTTCCAAGAACATGGTTTGACAGATAAAATCAATGTCTCGTCTGTTGCCGATTTCCAGTAAAGGGCGGCCAACATCAAGTAGCGATTATGCAAGCTACTTAAAATTACCAGCCCTGATTGCAACGCACTTATCGAAAATGCTTGCTTTTGCTGCTTGCCTATGCCAAGCACGGGCCAGCCAGCTGCCGACGAACCCGGTTTATTGGCAACAGGTTCGCTGCTGCAGCTATCCCTAGGTCTCAAACATCCTCTCTCCCCCTCCTGCCTGACCAGGTGCTCATCTACAGCGTCCATCCTGCTCAAGCACGTAGCCCCATCCACTCAACACGAGGAAATCGACATCTTGGCGGACTCTCTCGGGCTGTTCAATCACGAATACTTCCTCAATTGGGATGAGCTGCCGGATGAGGCCGAGTACATGGGCCAGGCGATGGAATACTGTTTCCTGGCAGAGATCAAACAGTCCGATGGCTTCGGGCGGTATCGGTGCATCGTGGAGGACCGCGAGGGCAGCGAGTGCGTCGTGGCGTTCTACCCGGACAGCTACGAGGGCGGGGGCTTTGACTTCAAGAAGCTGAAGAGGGGCCATACACTGGCGATACACGGTGCTCGGCAGCACGAATTTCTCGATCAGACCATGGGCGTCAGGGTCGAGAAAATGGAGTTTGTCACCGTGAGTACAGTCGACCAAGGGATCCGGGGACTACGGGAAGCGACAGACGCACGCGCGGAGAGGCTGACCCCGGACAACAAAGGTCGTCCCTGCCAGCCTGCAGGCACTGGAAGAAGTTGGCCCTGAGGAGGAGGAATACTCGGTGGCCGGGGTCGAGAAACAGTGGAAGTGCCACGGCTGTGATGCCAGCAAGCCAGTGGCTCAGATGAGTCGCTGTGGACGGTGCTTGACTTATGCGTACTGCAGCAAGGTAAGTATGCGTGGCCCCAACGTGGCTCCATGGAGCCCGGGCAATATACATGCATGCCTCGATGCATGATGTTAACAAGGGAATAGGAATGCCAGGCGAAAGGTTGGACTGAGAGGAAGCACAAGACCTCATGCAAGGTGCTACGTGCGCGGCACGATCTTATGTATTTTACGTCATATACAAGGGAGTGATCGCCTGCCCGATCCCACACCGTCCTCTGTTCTCCCGACGTCAAATGGCTGTTCGTTTCGGCCCTTGGCCGTTTCGGTCGTGCGTACTGAACCAGTTGACGTGTGAGCACGTGGTGTATCAATAGGCTTGCCTGTCTCGTCTGTGGTATCAATTCACTTGCAGGCAATAAGCTAGAGGCCAGGTAAAAATCAGCGCGCAGAGAAGTCGCCAGACGATAGGTGAAGGAAGAAGCAGAAGTTAGCTTTGCTTTCATTGATCGCATTTTATGCTCAGACGCCTGGATTCAACTACTCCGTCTCGGTGCAGGCTCGCCCCATACATATGTAACAATCCGTTGGCTGGAACATAGACCAATTGGACTACCACCACCCGGGGCCCGCGCAGCTGAGCGATTTATTCCAGAGTGCCCGGGAGACTCACCGCTCCTCGTTTCCAGTAGTGTATTCCAGGAGATTAGCGACGCCCGGGCGGATAATTGAATGCGGCGGTGCTGCACCAACAAGTCCGTAATTACCACAACTCTCTGTAAAGTTAGTCAGGCAAAAGCGCCGCGGTCACGCTACTCAGCTAGCGATATGAAACAAATAACAAGTCACTAAACAGGAGGCTAACGTAATCTGCGGCATGGGTAGAAGCGGCCAGAATGTGTTGGTCGAGTCAACGTGAAATGGATACCGGCCGAGTGCCTGTGTTGAGCCACTCGGAGGATTTCCCTGCGGAGCACCACATATCATTTTAAAATGAGCCTAACATCCCACAGTGGTCTACCTTCCCCCTGATCCTCCGCCCACAGCGCGAGATGCGTGAAAGATGCGTTCCCGCTATTCCATACCAAGCTTTCCGCTCCGGTGAAGTGATTTGCAAATTTACCTTCCATGATCAGGGGTGGGAGTGGATTCTCTCCAGGCCCACTCCCACTCAGCCTTGCCAATTGTGTGCTCCACCCCATGGCACCGGGTATCTTGCCGAACAGACTTCACTCACCTGAGCTGTGCGCCATCGGGAATGGCGGATGAGGGCATCCCCGGCCGTAGAGCAGCCTGGCATTTATCTAAATATAAAGATAGTAAGTGCTTCCCCCCTTGGGTGGGATTCCCTTCCTTCCAGGCCAGCCAGCAACCCTCATTCTTACACTCTTTCGCTTAAAATACAACGAGCATTGATTGCTTATTTGACACTCTTTTCAACCAGTTTGAAGACTTTCCGAAGCTTCCGAAACCCTTTTGTTGTACTTCTTGAAGAAGCCCTGCCTGCCCAGCCACAATGTCTGCTCTCAACGCCACCTACCCAATCACAAACACCACGGTCCCCGTCTCCACGGGTAACGGAGGCGTTGCCGCCCTCTATGAACGGTGCGGCGGCGGCAGTGACTGGACTGGTCCAACCGAGTGTGCGCCTGGCTCCTACTGCAAGGTGCAGAACCCCTACTACAACCAGTGTGTTTCTGTCGAGGACGGCGAGTACCCCGGCGCGTCTGCCACAGGCTCGAATGGTAAGTTCAAACGAGAATAATAGATGGACTCCCGTCCTCAACCTCGGACACCTCGCATTTGTTTCATGTACTAATTCGTGCAACCGAAAAAATAGTCGACTACATAAACACCCTCATCGCCTCAGGCGTCGCTTCCGCCCGGCCTACCACGCTGGTGACGATCACCGCTACCTCGGCAGCGGCCCCCACCCCTACGGCGGGAGACGACGGCGATGACTACTGCGAGGACGAGACGTCGACCTCCTCCGCTGCCGCCGCCGCAGCTACCCCTACCGTGGCGGCGGGCGACGACGGTGATGACTACTGCGAGGACGAGACGCCGACCTCCTCCGCCGCTGCCGCAGCTACTACTCCTACCGAGGCGGCGGGAGACGACAGCGATGACTACTGCGAGGACGAGACACCGAGCTCCGTCACCGCCAACGTCGCCGCAGCCGCGCCCACCAGCGCGGCCCAGGACGATGCTGATGACTACTGCGACGAGGAGCCAACAGCCGCTTCTGCCGCCGCCGCCGCCACGCCCACGGCGGCGGCTGCTGATGACGACTACTGCGAGGACGAGGCTGTGACTCCCACCGCCGCTGCTGCCACGCCCACCAGTGCGGCGCAGGAGGACGGTGATGACTACTGCGATGGCGAGGAGACGGTCACCGTCACCGTCGCGCCCCAGCCCACTGCTTCTGCTGCGGCCGTAGCTTCCGGGGAGGACGACTACTGCGAGGAGTAAATTCGCTCGCGCTGTCCGGACTGACACCCGTGGTGGTCTCGTACCTAGGTAAATAGTAGCACGGGCAAAGGCTTCCGACGAAGCCCTGGCCAGGGGTGGGTGATTGGAAGCGGAGGCGTACTTCTTGCACATAAAATTCTCTTCTCTTCTTGTATATAAACTTGAGTGTGTAAACTGTGGGTCTTGGTCACAAGGTCCGGCGCGTGCTCGTTTCACCTGAGCAGCCGGCCTTTCCTTCTCGCAACATTGAATCTACGCGGATTGGGACTCCGGCACCTGGGATCCGTAAAGTGCCGATGGCTTGCAGTGGAGACTAGCAGCCCTGGATCACAAATGCATTGACATCCGCGAGTACACTGAGCCGTTTTTTGTGATTAGGACAGGTGGCTGTTGTGCAAGAAAAGCTGTGTCTGCTTGTCCTGACACTATGTGGTCTCAGCCTGCGTGTCTTTGTGATGAAAAGGCCGATATCCTACGACATCCCGGGGTAGGGGTTATTACTCACGAAGCCTATCGAATTTTCATCAATGCGTGGTCATCTGGAGGTAGAAAGCCTGCGGAGTGATTTATTGCGAGCAACGCACGTTGTTCATGACTTCTAAGTAACGGTCAACACGGGTGAAGTCTTTAAACCACAATTGTACGGTATGTGCACGTTTTGAATCCTGTAAGCGGAAAAGTATTACCGCTCCTCCAGTTCACACGGTAGATATTGCTCTCCTTTCACCCAGCGGTACTTCAACCGCCCGGACAAATAAACCGCGATAAGAATAAACCGTTCATCAATTTTGAACCGTAGATAAGCCGTTTAGAAGAGAAGGAACGGTTGTCAACTGACGTAAACAGTTGGTGAACATGGGTTACGGCTTACTCCTTCCAAACGGAAGTTATACCGCTCCCGAAACCACGTTACGACGGTGTTTAGAACGTCATAAACATTCACATGCTTCGCAAGAAGGTCAAACAAACGCTACCCATGACCGTTGGTCTCCGACTAGAACAAGTCTTCGAGATTGTCCGAGCTTTACAAGGCTTACTAGCGGTCAGGCGCATGACTGTGCTGTAAGATGGCTGGATTTGGCTGGTATGCGAAAATGGAGCCAGATAATGTCCTTGCGCGTGGGAATTCCCAGACCGGACTTGCGAATATCACTGGTTGCTGTGGGATAATACGAGAAGTCTGCAAATTTACCAACGGCTCTCAAGCGCCAGCTGGCCTGTGAGACCCCCAACCTAGCATGCTATCTGCCGCCTCAGCGCATTGCTTCTTTGCTGGATTTGGCAATTAACCATAAGATAGAGTTGAAAGGACAGTTCGGAAGAGAGAACCCCAGCAGGACGGCCCTTTGGCAGGCACAGGCTCAGCATGAACGGAACAATGGTGACTCGGGCCCGCTGAAATTACCATTGAAAGAACTTTTGTCCTGGAGAAGCCAGGGACTGAATCAAATGACTGCCCCGGAGCAGTAAATCGTGGTTCTTAAAATTTCTAAAGTGCATTTTCATGAATGGTCTCGCACAGTGGCTCCAAATTCATCATCGTAATTTGTGTCCATGCTAAAGTGTTTTATGTCTCAACAAAACGCTGTCCTCTTGACTGGGCTTGAACGATGTTGCTTCCCACAAGCAGAATACCCCGTCCGGATATCTGCCCGAAAAGTCCATCCACATTCGGCGGTACCGACCGAGTACGTGGACATGACCAGCCGTATTAACTGAGGAGGGATTCTATACCGACTGCCAGGACAGAGTGTGATGATCCGGCTTGCTTGTTGTGTAATACAAGCTGGAGCCCTCAACCCAGTGCTCCTCAATGTTTGTGTGAGAGGTTTGCGAAACAACTTCAAATATCCTCTAAACGACATCCGGCAACCTCACCGCGATGTCACCAGATTGTGTGATGTATCTGACCCATGGCAAGGACGGGTATTGAAGCTATTAGCCTGGTTAGCTGGGTCCTGAGACCAGACGGCTTACTGGGGGTCCTGACCTTTGGTTCCGTGATCTTCAGATAGCGCACTTGGATTCCACTCGTCGTGAAGTAGGGTATCTCAAACTTGACCTGGATCGGCCTCTTCGCACCCTTGCCTGGTCCCCCCACACCACCCATACTTCCTCCGAAGCCACCTGTCATTCCACCACCGTGCTCGTCATCACCACGCACGCTTGGGAGGCCTAGCTCCGCCCGCATGAGGAATTCCTTAGCGCCTCCGAACTGCTTGATCTTCCAGACGATGGCGGCCTGTTCTGGCGCGTAGTGTACACTGCCGATATTTGTTCGGAACCGCGGCGAGTCGGCATCTTCTGGCACAGGCACAATGATCTCGACGTTGTTTGCTGTGCTGCGTCGCTTGAACTGTGCTCGTGTCTTGACCATGTATTCTACACGGCTTCCCGAGTGACTTTCGACCACACACTCGACCCAGATCAGAGGCTTGACCTGGGTGTTGAGGCGGTAGGACATGAGCTCGAATTCGCCGTCCGGTGGTATAAAGGAGATGGTGCGGTCGTTCTCAAATCGTGATAGCCGGACGCACTGGTGGAATTTGACGTCCTCCATCTCGATTGCCTTGCCTCGCGTGGTCCGACCTGTTGTCTCGAACATGACCTTGTCGTTGAGCCCCAATCGCAGTTCAGGCATGCCGGACAGGTAACACTTCATCTTGATGGCGCCAAGAATCTCGGAGCGCAGCACGTTGCCGTTAGCGGAGACGAGGAGGTTGAGGCTCTCGACGACGTCGAGGAACACCTCGTTCTTGCGGTACCGGATTCCTTCGGATCTCCATGACACGGCGTTCGTAACGGCAATGGGCGGTCGTGCTTGTATCTCCAGCTTGTGGGATTCTTGGGTGATGTATTCTTGGAGAATCTTGGACTCAGTCGTCTGAGGATAGCCGAAGTCCATCATCTCGTCGAGGAGCTCGTATATGATGACGAAGTTGTCGCGGATCGACTCCTCCTCCAGGGCCTTGAAGTACTCCGTGAAGACATCGACGAGCTTGTGAAGGAATAGGAGTATCTCGGCGGCGTTCGTGTTTCGTTTTGTCAGTGCGAGGAGGTAGAGGTTGTTGTGGCGGATGTAGAGGTACTACGAAGCATGGATAGCGGTCAGTCGCATGTTGGGGGACAGCTAGCAGATGACAAGTGGCGGCAGCATACGTTGATTCCCTCATGCGAGAAGCAGGGCGGTACTGCTGATGACTCCTCTTCGGCTTCGCTGAGCAGGACAGGGAACTTCTCCACGGCGGACATGGGGATATCTCCTCTGTAGTTGCGGGCGAGGAGGGTCTGCGAGGCATGGCTATCAGCTCCAAGACATTGACTCAGGACAAGTACCGAGGCTCTTCTGAACGGACCTTGCCCTTCAAGTCGAGGAAGAAAATGGCAGAAGCCATGATGGAAGCTGGCGTTGGTGTTGTCGAGGGTGTTGGGGCGTTTGTCGTCGAGACGGACGTCGGACAAGGCAGGGAGAGGGAGGGGCACGAGATGCAGCAATGGAAACGGCGCGCTGGCCAGGAAGAGCAGGCTGCTACCGAGGCCTATTTCATGCGGTGCATAGGAGATCTGAACAGGTGGTCGCAGGTCTGAAACTGAAAGCAGCAAGCTCGGGACCTGTCGTCAATGGCGATGGACACTGGTGCCAATGTTGATTGCGAGTGGATTTCAAGATCGATATCGCGAAAGCTAGCTTGCTTGGTACGGACCTCTAGGCAAGGCCAGCCAAGCCTTCTCTCAGGGGACGGGACGACTTGCAGCCAGGCACGGTCCAAGGAGGTCCAGTCCAGACAACTGTCCACGTCTAGCCTCACCTCGATGGTGCACGGGCCAAGGAAGCTGGCGGGTCGGAGGAAGGAGCGACCGTTCCGTGACGCACGTGCCACATTTCTCCCAGCAGTGGGGAGTGGGAGACATCAAAAAGAAATTTTGGCTGCCCGTTTCCTTGGACTTGCTTCCTCTTCCTTTCTCAACGCCCCCTCTTGACAGTGCAGCCCATCACATTGCGACACGCCAGATTCGGGCGTCTTGTTCGATATCAACTGTGCCGACGTTGGTGAATTCTGCGATTATGGGGGCGGAGAAGGATGGATTTCCTGCGGTGCCATTAAGAACTGCCCAAACATAAATTACTACCGTGGTTTGGGCGGTGTCAGAGGCACCGAACATTTTCACCTCACGTCTCCAACACGCTGGGACTGAGTAGCTGCGGCCTGAGGCATAAGACTGGCAGCAGCAGCAGAGCAGCAGCAGCGTTGCAGCACTCCGGCTCAACGAACAAGCGAGCGGCCCGAGAGAATAGGGTGGGCTAGGCTGGGCTGGGCTGGGGCTGGGCTTGGGTGACAGTGCAGTTCGCGTGGTTGGTGCCAGGCAGGCGGTGAAGTGCTGCACAGGCTGTTGGCTGATGACGATGTTCTCTCGCCGTTGCGTCGCACAGCATCTTCTCCTGTGGTCACGGGTCACCCGTCACACGCAAGTAGATCTATTTCCCAGACTGGGCCGACCCGAGTGCCAAAGAGGGAAGATGATGATGGGACGGGCAAGAGTTGACCAGTGCTGCCAGTCTGCCAGTCTGTCGTCAGCCCGTCAAGCTTCTCCTGCCTCTTGCTTGAGCGCCACCGAACCCGAACCTGGGCCCAAGTGCAGCGAGATTGACGTGCAAAGGGTCGCCTTTTGCATTTAGCCTGCTGGGTGGCCCGCCTAGCTGGGACAATGGGCATCTAGCACATCACATGAACCATGTTTCAGGCGTCATCGTGGGGTTCCCAATCCCCGGCTACCAGCCCGTCTGCCAGCAGTCCGAACCCAGCGCCCGATGCAGTAGTACTTTGCGGAGTGCAGTAGGCCGAATATGAGCGCACTGTTAGCTCCGCAGTCTGTTCGCAGCAACGGCGTGCCCAACCATCACAAGCTGCCCACTGCCCTAGGGGCGGAGGCCATTGGACAAGCTCTGGCAGCTGGCAGGTCGCGACACGAGCATGGGCGCGGGTGCGTGCGTGAGCAACGGGCACGCAATCTCGACAGATGCTGTGTTCAAAGCTCCAGATCTTGGTGACCCAGGCTCTGGTTCAGACCCCGGAGCCGAAGTTCAGCCCGAGTGGTCCCAAGCCCCAACCGTCCCAGCAGGTGGAGTTGGAGGGGGGTCGAGAAGGACACCAGAGAAGAATTGCTTGTGACACGCCTGCAAAATCATATGCAAGTCGGCAAGGGGCCCTCCGATTCGGTTCAGGAGCCAACAGGGCGCACCCAATAAGCTCTGCAGCCGGTGAGACAGGGTCGTCCTTGACGGGCGGCTCCCGATGAGCATGTGATGACAGAGGGGCGGGCCACTTTTGGCTCTGGAAGGATTCACTTTTGCTGCCACCGCAGGCCAGGGTGCCGGTCTTTTGTTTCGGAGGATGGAGAGAGGGGGGTCTGCATGTACCAGGTCAGCCACCACAGCCTGGGGAAAGCCCCCTCTTCCCACCCCCGGCGGGACATGTGCTGACATGTGCGTGGCTGCCAGTCCATTCCACCTCGCCCCCCAAACCCTCCCTCAGCCCTCATCCAGCCCTCCCGTCGCAACAATCACGTCCAATCCATCGTCCCTTTCTCCCCCCCCCCCCTGCGGTAAGGCAAGGGCTCCGACTTTGTCGCCACGCAGGGACAACGTAGCAGCCGTCGGGATTTTCTGGTGTATCTATTGCTTTTTGCCAGGCTCTAGGCTCTGGATTTGCACCGTCAATGCGAACACAGAGTTGGAGATATCCGTTCCGTTCCGTGCACAATCCTTGTGCGACGTGTAATAATAAACTCCAGCAGCAAGCATGTGATTGCGCTTGTGTAGTACCATGTGCTTGCGGGCACAGGACAAGTCACGGGCTCGTGGAATTGGGACAGATGCTGGTCATTCACCGTGGGGCTATGTCGGCAAAGCCTCGGTCCTAAGAGGGAAAGGAAAAAAATTCTGGAAATCGTCATGCGCTTGCTGGTGCTGTTTGCCTGCAGCGTCTTGTCAGGGCAGGAGGAGGAGAAAAGCAGGTGCCAAAGCTGGGCCCTCCATGAGTGCCATGGCAGCCATGCCAACGGTGAGTCGCTGAGAAGAAAACGAAACCCCACCCAGTACCCAGTCGGAAATTGGAAATGACGGTGCTGGCTGGCTGGCTGGCGGGCTGGGAGGAGGAACTATTGCATCCCGTCTCTTTTTTCTGTCGTCCATCTGTAGTCTAGTGTGGGGAACCAGGGAAGAGTCGACTGAAGTGTTTTGTCTTCAGCCCACTCTGCAGGGGCGTGTCGCATCAATTGGCCTTGGAAGGGCCTGGGCAGGGAGAGAGGGCGATCAGAAAAGCAGCAGAGGCAGACTGCCGCGGCCGCTCACATGATGGCAGGATGGATGGACCTACTCCATACTGATCGACTGATCAACTAGTCTCCTTGATGTCAAACTGCGACGCCGACGAGGAACAGACATAGGTTGCTGACTGCTGCTCAAACATTATAATAAGCCTTGACATATATTTCCTGATCAACCCGCGACCTGGGAAATACGTCGAGCCATTGCCACGGAAATAAACTCTGCCTTCTCCCTCCTTCCCCTTGCAAGTCCTGTGGTAATCCTATAGTACGTAATAAGCGTCGAGCGTCGAGCGTCGAACTAACTCCAGCACATGGTTGGGTTCCTCGGCTCCGTACAGACCCCCCCTGCCCAGCATAACCTTGCTCGCCTTGCTCGGCATCGGCTCCTCGTGGGAGGAAGGAAGGCAGGGCACCACCAGTCTGCCAGTCTTCCCAGTCTTCCCAGTCCCAGGCCTCTCCTGACAAACCCCTCTGGACCTTTTTTGGGCCCGGCTATCTCCAGAAATCCTTCCCTTGCCTCCTGGGCCCTGTCTGGTGCGTGTCTTGCCTGACCTTTACTTTTTAGGCCGACTGCTGTGCGTGTGTGTGCGTGCGGTGTGCCCTGCATCTGCTGCATCTGCTGCCTCTGCTGCAAGCCATCTCCCCCCTCGGTCAGTTTGTTCTCGCCGTCTCCCCACTGTCACACTACGTGCACGCACTATATCCTCCTCACCACGCTGGTCTGACCTGGTCTGACCCCGTCAGGTCTTTGCTCTGCTCCTACACAGTACATTGTTCGTCGACCTAGGCAATCCTCGAGTCAGTGCATTGCGCTGCCTCGGTCCCGTCCATCCTGACCGAGCGCGCCTGTCATCTTGAAATGACGACTTAGTCGTGACCAGAAAACCCCCTCTTGGCGGACTGTTCCTGGCCTAACCTGAATCAACGGGCCCGACCTCGCATTTCGCTGGGCTCGGCTGCTTCGTTGCAACTGCCCGCACCAGCTGAAGCACGGGCGATCCAAGAGGCGGCCAAAATGGAAATGCAAATGGAAATGCAAATGGAGCAGCAGCAGCAGCAGCAACACCAACAACCCTCTCTTCACCACCAGCCTCAAGGTCAGGCTCAAGCCCACACTCAGCAGGGCCAGACCACCCAGGCGCGGAGTCAAGATCACATGCGGCTCCCACCGCCGGTTGATTTTGACTTTAACGGAATCGGCAACGGCAACCCATCGCATGGCGCCACAGACCCAATATTCCACAAGTCGCTTCAGCAATTGCAGCCGACCCCCGATAAAGCGCATTCCTCCTCCTTGACGCTCTCTCCGCCCTACACGAACCCCAGCGCAAGCCCATTCTACCCCCCAGGCGCCACCGACAGCAGTAATCACCATCCTACCCGCCATTCCAAGTCTTCCTCCTTGTCTCCCCGACCTCCAAGCCAACTACCGGCCTACTCGCCGCCATCGTACGCTTTCGCACAGCAGAATCACGACCCGGCGACCTTGGACTTCCCCCAGGCGCCTTCCAACGAGCTCGCACCCCTTCAGTTAAATCCTACCAGCGACCACGGCGTGAACTCTCTGCCCTCGCTGGCCTACCTGACCGGCCCGCCCACGTCTGCTTCCCTCAGATTCTCATCATCGACAGGGGGGAGCGACACGTCATTCTCGCCTCCCGCGCGATCTCGGCCGTGGCCCTCGGGGAACCCATATTCGGTGTACTACACAGGGAATAATGCGCAGTCGGGTGGCTCGCCCGCCAAGATGGATCTCGATAGCTTGAGCAGTGGCACGAGGGGGCCCTTGAGCCCGGAGCCCGTAGGAGGCCGAGCAAGCAGTGTCAGTCTGGACGATCCGGACGTGCGAATGGCAGCGGAAGCCCTTGGGGATCTGAAGGCTGGTGAGTGCATCAACATTCGTCCCATCTTCCCCAACCTCTCGGTAGGAATCCTATCTCTAACAAGCCGTGCCTCAAGATTTCGTCTCTTCTCCCCAGAACAAGAATACACCCATGCCCAACTCGCCCTCGAATATGTTTGGCACTCCTGGCCCTCCCGAGCCGCTCTTATCGCTTGTCATGACGTCGGGCTCCGTGCTCGCGAAACCAATCGAGGGCACCGTTTCTGCCTACAACACGACCAAGAACTTCTCTCCTGGGTTCATAAAAACACCTGTTGATTATATCGAGGGCGTCGTCGGGTCGGGTCTTCACCTCACGGGTATCGAAGGTGGCGTGAGGTGGTTCTTCCGCGGAAAGGGGCGCCACCAGTCGTCGTCTGACCTTGAGAGCGGCGAGAAAAGCCACAAGCGGCGGAAGGTGGGCAGCAGGGGCAACTCAACCTCTGCCCCGCGGCGTGACTCCGCGAACGGTGCAGATGCGCAAGGGCAAATGGATCCTTACGGCTTCACCACCAAGGACCGAAGGCTCTCCATGAGCACCGTCGACACACTGCCAGCATACGACGACGCCCGGAGCCCGGCATATACGGAAGATGCAGGCACAGTGCAAAATGACAAGTCAGAACGGACAGGTTCAAGACCGTCGTCTACGACCCCAACGGCGTGGCAATCTCGGCTCATCATGTCGACGTCTGGCCTCAGCATTGCGATGAGCGAGGAAAGCCTGCGCAGCCTCAAGTACTGTCTGGGTTGGTTGCGATGGGCCAACGACCACATCGGCAGGGTGATCAGCGCTCTGAAAGACGCATTAGACAGGTATGAAAGCCATCCTCAACTCGAGGACCACGCAATGACCGACGCGGCCGGCACGTCGGTGGTACGGGACGACGAGCAGGCTCGGCGCGAAATCGGGGCACGGATCGATGCCCTGCGGTCAGAAGTTCTCAAGACCCTGCAAGGTGTTATTGAGACTGTGTCCAAGTACGCAGGCGGCGCTCTCCCGGACAACGCACGAGCGCTAGTTCGGAGACACCTCACCTCGCTGCCACAGCGGTTTCGCATTGCAACACAAGAGTCGGGCAGCAATGCCAACAGTAACCAGGCCTCATCTTCCGAGGAGGGTAAGGAGCAGGAGGTCCGAGATGGGGCCCAGCGGGTGCTAGTCCTGGCCAAGGAGGGGCTGGACATGATGGCACAGGTGAGCGGCGTGCTCGATGGCACAATTGTCAGCGCCGAGGAGTGGTGTGACCGACTCGGCAAGAAGAGGAGGGGAGAGCAACAGCCAGAGAAGCGTCCTGGGGATGAGCACAATCAACCCCAGCAGCAACAGCAGCCACAGACTGTTCCATTTGCTGGAGTTGACGTCAAGATGGGCTAGGTGCTGCCTCAACAGACCCCCTGCTATAAGAATTACGAACGTTATACCGCGATGATTTCAAAGCGACCTGGCTGCATATATGACGACTGAAGTCTTTTCACTTACGGACATACCCTTAATTTGGTCTTTTCATCTTTACGAGATATCACCTATCGAGCGAAGAAAAGGGGAAGAGGGGAGTGAGGCAAAGACAAAACACATCGCAAACCAAAAAGACGAAAAAGAAGTCTTCTGCCTTTGGTTTAGGGATCAGGGACGCTGTTGTTCCCAGGAATGAAGCGGAAATATATGGGGTGCATGCATGGAAGGGATTGGCGGTTGTGGATACAATATGCGAGACCGTTCAAGTGGCAAACCGGGAGCATGAGATACAGCGCGCCCTGGAGATACCAGTACCGCAAGGCGTGTGTCTTTATGCGTGTCACTGTTGTTTATATCGACCGAACCAAGACGCCATGCACTAGCTTTTTCTCCTCTTTTTTGTCAATCACACGTGTGGTACTAGCCCTCTTGGCTAGAACAAGCTTCCTGCCCACCCGGTTATCAACTACATCGACCTTGGGACGTGTGAACCATCCAACCATCGTAGGGCTGTGGAACGCTAGGGACTGGTGGTCCGACGTCCATGCTATCTTGTGCGACAAAGACGTCAGTGGCCAACTCAAGGGACCGTTGCGTATGGCCGGTGCCGGTGCCGCCGAGGAAGCGGTGCATATTCTTCGGATCCGGATGCAACAGCCAACCCCGTCCTACCTCTGGCGCACTGCAGTCACTATTCGTCCGCCGCACGCCTTCCTCCCGAGAGTCGGACGCGTCTGCATCCCATGATTAAGAAGAGGGAATACCCACACCCGCTGCTAGGTTGATCTTGACACGAGCTTACAATCGGGGAAAATCTGGCTTGCCCAGATCTTAGTCCCCGAATGCTCCGGCAAGGCAGTCGGGACAGTACCCCCCAGTCGGGGCCTATTCCGAAGCGTCTCCCGCCCAGTACACGACACAGGCGGCGGAGCAGAGCGTGGCGATCTCAATGAGCCAGTGACCTCCTGTCGGCCCTTCCAGCCTCGGAAGGAGGCCGACTCGCCGAACAAATGGCTTGCCCCTGACCCTGACCCGAGCAAATGTGCCAAGCTTTGTGTGCCGCTTGTGGAGCTCCTAGTTTCTATAAGATACACAATGTTTCGCATGTTTCGCCGCGCGCACGACTCAGAGGAGCATGCAAACTTAGTAGGGTCTCTCCTGGCTGCTCCCAATATAGGGCCGTTGTCCCTGCATTGCCCAGCACCCCAAACAAACCTGCAAATATAGACATCTAGTCAGTTGATCTAAATGACTTGGCCGTCGTGGATATAGAGAGCGTCAGCGCCTGTGGGGACCGGATATCCTGCCAGTGGAGAGTCCACGGTGTATGTCATTCAATATAAAAGCGAGGGCAGTGATGCGCACGATGTCTTCATCATGGCCTGCTCCTCACCCCGTTCCCACCCGGCCTCGCCTTCGTTTCTCTAGCAGCCCAGTCAAGCACGGCCCAGTCCCTCGTTTTGCAGACAGACTCTTTTGAGATGCACTTCACCATGAAGACCTTTGGCGCGGCCCTGGCCCTGGCTGGTGCCTCACAGGCCGGGCCTGTTCTCGTTAAGAGACAGGATGTGGGCTTCGGCCGTTTCAACGCTTCGATCGAGGACTTTGGCGAGCACGCACACAGCGTTGCTCTGTCTCGGTTGGCTGCCAACTCCACGTGCACGGCTGATAAGATCTCAGTTCGGAAGTCATGGTAAGTTTCTCAACCTCGGTTTCCAGCCTCGGCAGGGAACAGGGGCAAAGGAGTGTTTGGTACCAGACATCTGGATCGACCCCGTCGATCCTGGAATAAGAAAAATTTAGAGTTAACGAGACACATGCAGGCACAATCTGAACCCTGAAGAGCGCGTGGCATACACGGATGCTGTTCTGTGCCTGCAGAGCAAGGAAGCCAAGACGCCATCCAACCTTGCCGAAGGTGCCAAGACACGTTTCGACGACTGGATTGTGACGGTATGCATGAATAGCCTTCCCTGACAGCATGGTCTCACATATAACCGGGACAATGTGCCTCCAATAGAGAAGCGCGCGCTCTTGCTGACCTTCTTCGTACGCACTAGCACATCAATCAGACATTCACCATCCACCAGACCGCCAACTTCCTTGGCTGGCACCGCTGGTTCATCTGGGAGCATGAGCAGGCCCTGCGCAACGAGTGCGGGTACGAGGGCACCCTCCCTTACTGGGACTGGGCGCGCACCGCCGAGGAAGGGCTCGCCAACAGCCCTCTCTTCGACGGCAGCGCAACCTCGCTGAGCGGCGACGGCGCCCCGCTGAACTACACGGCGGATGACAAGGTCGTCATCAACGCCCAGTTCGGCGCCGCCATAGTAAACCTGCCCCCCGGTACCGGCGGCGGGTGTGTCACCTCGGGCCCCTTTGTCAACTACACCGTCAACCTGGGCCCCAGCGGCCTGGCGACCCTCAACGGCGCCACCGACAACTCAAGCTTCCCCTACAAGCACAACCCCCGCTGCCTCAAGCGCAGCCTGACGGACTACGCCAACCAGCGCTTCGCCAACTCCTCCAGCGTCCTCTCCCTGCTGCGCGAGCCCCAGGACATCTACTCCTTCGAGCTGATGATGCAGGGCGACCCGCGGTACCCGGAGCTCGGCGTCCACGGCGGCGGCCACTTCTCCATCGGCGGCGACCCCGGCCGCGACGTGTTCGTGAGCCCCGGCGACCCGGCCTTCTACCTGCACCACGCCGAGATCGACCGCGTCTGGTGGCTGTGGCAGATGCAGGACCCGGAGACCCGCATCGCCGACTGGACGAGTGCTGTCAACGGCCCCTTGACGATGGCGAACATGACAGCGCCGTTCGGGAACGGCACCGCTCAGGATGTCCAGGAGCTGGGCTTCATCGCTGAGGGCAGGACCCACCTGCTCGGCGAGCTGCTCGACGCCTCTGCTAACGACTTCTGCTACGTCTACGTGTAGACGGCGCATGACTTTTACCTTCGTGTTGATATTACTGTAGTATTACTTTTGTTACGATCCGCTGGTTTGAGATGCTGTACATATATTGATTAATGATTTTACGTGGACTTGAGGCATGCACATAGCTGAAGCTAAGATGAGCGCAATAGAGTCTAGACACATGTATACTAGTATGATGAATCATAGTTCCGTCCATTTCCTCATCATCTCCAAGACCTCCCCTCCCCTCTTGTTTTGTTCTCCTTCTGAAAAGAAGTAGGGGGAAAGGACAGGGGAGAATGCCCTGCATGTCAGTCCATCTGATATACAGTTTGTGAATCATTCAATATTCATGAACATCCAGAAATTCCATATCGCTCTGCAAACCGCACATCCGATATGAAGTGAAAGCCGACACTGCTGGTAAATCCACCTGAGCCCCAGAACCGGCTGCCTCTAGGTTTGCGTCCGTTTATCTTCTGGCTTCACCTTAAGCTTCGAATTGCACATTTTTTGACAGTCCTTCTTGCGGCGATTTTGTATCAATATCCTTTTCGGATCAGCTACGTTGGGGTCTGTGCTCGGCCCTGAGTTCAACGGGCGCACCACGTTCCACCGGACCCATGATAATACTCCCAACAAGTGAGATCTTGTCTTCCGTGCCTAGTCAAAGGGCGAATACCACCTTGGATCGAGAAGCAAGGGCTACAAGTATGATTCGATAACTTTAAACCATGCCAATTGCTGCGCAGAGTGTAGTATTGCCTCGCGGGATCCGTCCATTGGGAATTGGAAGCGTCAGTAGAACGGTTAGCGGATGCACATGTTTATGTTGGAGTCCCCAATTGAGGGACTCTATTTCGTTCAGGTCTGGCTGCGAAAACAGGATCAAACTTCTCGCATAAACTCATTTGAGTGGAAATAGAATCCATCTTTGTCTTCGGAGACTTACCAGCAGTATCTCAGAGTAAACTTAATGCATATGTCGGGATCGGGACAATGCCGGAAACTTTCGCTGGACTAGCACCCGAACACGAACCTCTGCCCCACATCTACAGTCAAGCCGTGGTGTTGACTGAGTTCATAATCCCCTTTCCCGCCCCATCTAGGTCTACTTCTGGCCCACTGCACCGTTGTGGTTTGGATTTTGCAGGCACACAGACACGCAAAATAAAAAAAAGATAATCGCAACAATGGCGAAAGTTATGAGAACCTGGCAATACTCTGCCATCCAAGGCAACCTAGAAGACTGCTTGACCCTCAAAGACGACGCCCCCGTTCCGGACGTTGCTTCCTTGGCCAAGGACGAGCTCCTCGTCGAAGTCATCAGCGCCTCGCTTAATCCAGTCGACTACAAGATCCCAGAGGCGCCACTCTTCGGCCGCCTCCTGATAGCGCGCCCCGCGACTCCTGGAATGGACCTCTGCGGCCGCGTTGTCGGCAAACATCCATCAAACACCTCCTTCGCAGAGGGTCAGCTCATTTTCGGCGGCTATGCTATGAGCAATCAGAGGGGTACCCTCAGCCAATATTGCATCATCTCCTCGGCGAACGTCATACCATTGCCAGAGGGGATCAGCCCGGACGACGCGGCGGCGGTAGGCACAGCTGCCACCACGGGTTACCAGTCAATTATGCCTAGCACCCTCCAACCAGGCGCGAAGGTCTTCATCAACGGCGGAAGTGGTGGGACGGGGACCTGGGCCATACAGTTTGCCAAGGCCTTGGGTGCCGAGGTCGTCACGACGTGCTCGACTGCAAACGTCGAGCTTTGTCGGGGGCTTGGTGCCGACGAGGTGATCGACTATAGGAAAACAGACGTGGTGGCGGGCCTCAAGGCCCGAGGGAAAATCTTCGATCTGGTGGTCGATAACGTCGGCAACACCACAGAGCTGTATGACAACAGTCAACAGTATCTGAAACCCGGGGGCACATTCGTTTCGGTTGGTGTCGGTCCGGGTATGTCGGTCACAGGCACCTTCTCCACCCTGTTCAAGCAGATGCGCTCGGGATTCTACTTTGTGCAGCAGAAGAACGACCCGAAGTTCTTCGAGCAAATTGCACAGTGGATGGTGGAGGGGAAGGCGCGAGCAGTCATTGACTCTACATTTCCGTTTGATCAAGTGAAAGAAGCTTACAGAAAGCTGAGGGAAGGAAGAACCAAGGGAAAGATTGTTGTTCATGTAAAAGGCTAGCCACTTTTTTGTAATTGGTTAAGTGTCCTTTGGAGTCCTTTCCCGACGCCCAAGTATTAGTTACGATGTTGCGAATTTTGTCTCAGTGGGCTCATTCAGTTGAGCATACGTGGGTGTTGTTATAGTTGTAAACAGATATTATTATTAGACCCAATAGGAAAGATGGGGTATGAGCTTGAAGTATTGTTGTTTCTAATGCAAAATACCGGATTTTGGTCTATCTCACGATGCAAAAAGAACCAAAGGCACACATGGTCCATACTACTAGTATATCCATACTACTAGTATAACCATGAGTCCTCTGAGATCCTCGGCTTGTGCTAAAAGCTCAGAGGCGATATCTGAACCCAGGCGTCTGCCAGTCTGTGACATCTTCGTAGTCTTCACTCCTCAGCTCAACCTCATTCACAGCATTTGCATCACCAGCGATGTCCACAACCTTACCACCACCCACTGCTCCAGCGGAACCAGCACTCCCCTCGAAACCCTCTCGCCTTGTTCTCCTCGCATTCTCCCAAGACAGATAAGTCCGCAGGCCAAGTGCTAGCGCGACGACCAGGGCGTAGCAGATCATGATAGTCTTGAAGGCGGTGTTATAAGTTGGCGCCTCAGAAGACTTGAAGAAGTGTGGGCCCGCGATGTTACCAGCACAGTAGCCGAGGAAGAGAAGCGACGTCATGGTCATCTTCTTAGTCACACCGCGATAGTTTGCCTGTACGAGCGACAGCGCGAGGGGCATGGCCGACGGGCCTGTCGAGAGCAAGAAGTAGCCGAATAACTGGACACCGCTCGAGACGCGCTCGCGCGAGTAGATGAGGGCGGAGCCAGTGATGCACGGGAGCACGACACAGGCGACGAGCAGGCAGTTGGCCTGCCGGAAGCGCCCCGCCAACCAGCCGGTGAACATGATGACACCGCCTGAGATGAGCGAGTATGGGATGTTGATCAGTGTACTTTGAAGACTCGTGAAGCCGAAAGATTTGATAACCAGGTTGGCGAAGTTCTGGGTCCCGCCGTTGGGGATCTGCGTCGTCAGCTCGAGGGCCAGGATGAACCACGTCTTGGGGTCAATCAAGCACTCCTGCACCTGGGACCAGTTCCAGGCTGTCTTCTCCGTGCGGCCTGTCCCAGCGACGATGATCCTGTCCGTCGCGAACTGCTTCTCCTCCTCGGACAGGAACTTGGCGGTGGAGATGCTGTCAGGAAGGGCGAGCCACAGGATGAAGCCCCAGAGGAAAGTGGCCACTCCTAGGATGATGAACATCCACCGCCATGGGCCGACAGAGTCGTCGATATGTCCTACGCCGAAGGCGAAGATAGACGCTATCATGCCGCCGATGGAATTACCTGAGAACCAGATGCCAGTCCGGAACGGGATTTCGTCACGGGTGTACCATGAAGTAGTGATGAACATGAATGCCGGCGTGATGGTTGCTTCCGCGACACCGAGCAGGAAACGGACGGCCAGCAATCCGCCGTAATTGGAGCAAGCTGCAGTTATGCCGACGACGACGCCCCAGAATAGCGTGTTGGCTGTCATGTACCGCGCAACGGGGAGACGGGCTATGAGCAGTGTGGTGGGATATGTCCAGGCGAAGTAGCCGAAATAGAAGACTGAGGACACCCAGCTGTAGTCTTCTCCCTCGAGATTCTGTAGGCCGATGTCAGTTGAGTGCCGACAACGCAGCCAGGCGCAATTACTGGTATGAAGAGCCAGTGGACGCACCGTGTCTTTTTTTAACCCGAACACTGAGGCACTCGACAAGATCGTCTTGTCCATGAAGTTGAGCCCATAAGTCACGAATAGCAGCGGGATCAACCTCATGTCGATTTTGCGGAGAACCTGCTTGGCCAGGGGATTGGCATCCTCACCGTTGTGGCTGCGGCCCGGCTGGCTGACCATCATGTCTGGGGGCTGCGACGGCTCGTCGTCGTCTTCACTCGCCAGTGGCTCGTACGTGGGTTCAGGTTCCCGGCGTTTATTTAGCCAAAGCACGGGGGAATACACGAGAGAAAACCTTTCAGGAGCCGCCATGATCCAAGGATAAGCCCTTTGCCGGCCCGGGCTGCTGTTATCTTTTTTGGATCGGTCGCGGCTCCGTGATATCGGAGGTCTTATCACTTGGGGCACCCACAGTTTGGATTTGGCCAGGTATTTCGCTTGCAACAGGCGTCGGTGCCTGGGGTCCGGAAGTCGGTCTTGCCTCTGCCGCCCAGGCTCCAAGTCTGGCTGTGGCGGCCGCTAATCAGCGCCGTATTGGTGGGACTGATGAATCCGGGGAGCCTGTAGCGTACCCGACCTGCAGTCCCCACCTTCGTTTGCTTATTATGAGAACGATATCTGTGGTACCGAATCACCCAGAGCTTATCTTGAACTGCCGTTACCCAATTGTTGGTTACCAAGCTATTATGTGACATGCTTTGGCCCCAGGCATATCAGGCCAGTACCTACCTAGGTACTCAAGATCTAGCCATGAAGAAGACGATGTAATGACTGTGTAATGGATCAGCCGCAGTTATCCTTGACTAGCTGTGCAGTCATAGTAAATTTCAACGGGGAAGGAAGAAGGAGCAGGGGGAAAATGGCCTGGGGGAGATTTCGATGGTGAAAAACTGGTGAAATGAGTAGCAATTCATGAGCTCCCGTTTTGCTTGGGTCGGCTTTAGGTATTTCAAACGCTGGGTCTTGAGCGTTTACCACTGTATGAAGGCGCCACATACATTTTACATGTATGGGGATTAAAAACGAAACCACTCAAATGTTTGAGGGCATAACAATCAACCAGCCTTGCGGAAGAGGATTGAAGGATTATTGCAGTCTGCGTCCGGTGACACAACAGCTATGTACATGAGACAGCCTCGGTAGTAAACACTTCGAAAATGGCAACACAAATGCATGCTGACAACGTTCATTCCGACTTGTGGAGATCTTTCCTCATAACGCCCTTCAGACTCTCCTCCGAGATAGTAATATACTTGTCCGGCGACACGCTGTCCTCGAAAGGCACCCTCAACCACTCGTCAGCCTGCACGATCTTGCCTTCCCTCAACTTCAAGTCGATGACGCCTGAGTACTGGAATGGCAATCCGGTAGCCTTGCGCCGTCCCAGGTCGTTGACAAACACGCCCTTGTTGACCGTCCTGAAGCTGCAGTACCCATTCCCTTGGTCATCGAGCTCGGCCCAGTAGACGGGATACTGCTTGTCCAGCCAGACCTCAAAGTTGTCGTGGGCCCCATTCCAGTGCTTGTGGTGGCGTTCAAGGTATGGAAAGGGAACGTGGATCTGCGCGCCGTGGTCTGTCATGAAAGAGTCCTTGGAGAAGAGTGCAAGGAGCTCTGTCGGGTCCCTTGAAGCCCAGGCTTTGCAGTAGACTTCTGGGAGGTCTTTGAGATCTGTTTTTCCACTCATGATGTTGGTGCGTAAAGTCTGTCCTTGGAATCGTTTGGTGACAATAATTCTCTTTGGATCAAGTAGAAAGCGTGTGTGCTAACAATTGGAAATGTTTGGTATGCGGTATCCGGCAGTATTTATAAATGACGATGGAGAGGTCGGATGCGAGCTTGGGGGAGCTCCGTTGTCAACCATCAGGTGAAACCGGACTCGACTGAGTTTACCTACTAGGTAGACGGTTCGCAGCCAAAGCGATGACCATGAGTTCATTTTCCCCCCTCCGCCTGCCTAAAGTGATTACCCCAAATTCAGAATGTAAATGACATATGCATTTCTCGTCAGGCTGGCATTTAGTTAAGCATTTTCTTGCTCGGGAAGTCGAGCCACACATGTAGGCAGCTAGCGCAACCATCTCTAACCACCGAGATGCTGGCAAAAAGCCTTTTGACGCCATCACTATGCTACTTGCGCAGCGCAATTCTGACTGGAAATCCATCAGCTGGATGAGCTCCTCCGCCTCCAAGCTCGGCCTGGTAAACGCGTTCCCCATTTGCCGTCTTCATGCCTGTCCGAGGATGCATCCGGTCCCACTCGTCGTATGCAGGAGTGATATCAAACATTCTTGCCGTCATGACAAGCACAACCCGGAGTTCCAACTGCGCAAGCGTCTGGCCAATGCATGCGCGGGCGCCCCATTCAAAGGCCCTCCAGGAGCCCTTCTTCGGGTAAAGCGGATCCCCGGGACTGGCGAGCCAGCGTTCGGGTATGAATTCCTCAGGTCTTATGAAGACATCAGGGCGGTGGTGCATCACGAGACTGAGCGTCCATATATGACAGCCTTCAGTCGGGTACTGTCGCCCCTGCTCATCTGTGAGGATAAGATCCGGACGGCCCTCGCGCAGGCTTGCTGCAGGGGGGAATATGCGAAGGACCTCTTTGGTGACAGCCAATGTGTAAGGTATCTCGTTGAGGAGCGTCGGATCGCTAGCGATCATACTGGAGCAATGTTCAGTTGAGAAATCTGGGCCAAACACTTTGTCATGCTCAGCGCGGACCATGGCGAGGACCTCGGGGTGGCGGGAGAGCAACAGGTAACAGTACAGCAGCGTGCTACTCGTTGTGTCGTGACCGGCAAAGAGGAACATGCGGAGCTGTGGCTTCACAACTTCTTTGAAGGTTTTCTCTGACATCTGTCCCGCACCCAATTCTTTTTCCATCGCCAGAGAAATGACTGACTTGGACGGCGACGACATCGACCCCGCCAGAGCACGCTCTTTAAAGCGCTTCTCAATTTCCACATCAAGATACCGGTTCATCCGATAGCTATTGTATTTCTGGATGAATGGACGTATGGTCAACCAGCGGCGGAATGGGTTGTAAGTCGTGGCGAAAGGTGTCCACAAAACCTGTCTCCGAAGGCATTCGGCGAGCGCACTACCTTGCGTCTGGTAACGGAGTCGTGCATCTCTAACACAGTCAAAGTTAGCCGACGACTTCCAGTGAGACGAGAGCAGCATAAGAGCAGCTCAACTTACAGCGTCGCCCGACCGATGATGTCGAATGTCAGCCGCAATGTATATTCTTCCAATGGAAATACCTGATCCTGGCCCGCAAGCTTTCGAAGCAAGTCACAGAAGACAGCGACCTCCTCAGCCATGGCGGGAGCAAGTCCCGTAATATAACCGGGGGCAAATCCCTGATTGAAGAGACCGCGCCACTTCTTCCATGTTGCCCCGTGCATTGTCATCAGCGATGGACCACCGTTAATGACTTCCAGGGTGCTACACATGGCCTCGGGCTTATCGAGAAAAGCATTCTCAACCTGTGACGCCACGAAGGGATCGGTAACTACCATGAGAGTTGAGTTGAAAGGCCACAAGTTGAGGTAGAAGATCCCTTCAGGGAACTGTCTAGCCATTAACTGGACGACAAGGTGTATCGTCGAGTTTCGCGGGAGGGCTTGGATGCACTCTTTCAGCGCGATGAAGTGGCCGAAGACAGGGTGATACGTTGGCATTGGCTTCAAATTCAAGATTAGCAAGGTTCAGCCTCAGGTCGAAGCTCTCGGCGAAGGCTCGGTGTGGACCCACGGCGTTGGCTGCTTGCAGCTTTCGAACATGTTGGCGATTGGCGTTGAGTCTCGCGAGGAAAATGAACAGCGCAGCAATTGCTGCAGCCAAAAAGGCAGACGGGCTTATATTGGCCATGATATCTCCTCCACTTGGCTTAAGTCTCTACTGTGCAGGCACAGGACAGTACGTGGTTGGATGGCTCTTCCTCGAATATAACGAGGAAACAGATGAGCGTGAAGGGGAATGGAATGGTGGAAGGATTGATCCATGGTCAGCACTTGCAAATGGCGTTGGTTAGTTGCCTCTTATCCCAACGCCAACAACGTGATTGGTTGCAACTATAGCGCACCGAAAGTGGGGACGCTTTCAAGGCTCTCATCTCTAGCTAAAGTACCTAGGTAAGTAACCAAATGAGACCGCACAACTTTCAAGAGGTACTGTACAAGCAGACCAACATGTCCACTATGACATGCAACAGTAGGCAGTTATTCACACTGTAGAACCCTTTCCTTTACATTACTGGTGTCTCATCACCTACACATCGTTAGGGCTGTATCTGTGCTGCCGGGTACTTCGAAGCAGGCTGTAAGGGTTTCGACAGAAAACCGGCGATATGCGTGTGTCGAAAGTTCCGCTTCAAACTTGCATCCTCCGCGACTGACACAACCCCGCCAGCCAAGGATTTACTTTGTAGCAGAAGAAGTTGTGTAACCACACATGTTCAATGTCACGCTCGGGGTGTGTTGGTTCCTTGCCATCAAACCCAGCCATGGCAGCCGGCACCCGAGATGAAATGAATGGCCTGCAGGGGGCCGAGCCCATGGTCTTCATGAGCGGCGCCATCAAGGCGACAGAGGCCTCACCGAGGTAGACCCATGCGCGAACACCATGAACTCTTGCCCCATATCTGGACCCCAATGTGACTCTTGGGGATATTTCCGCTCCACTTCTAACTACCTACCTAGGCAGGTAGTAAGTACCTTTGAGATAAGGCTCTAGGTATAACAGAATTGAAACTCCGCACGCGGGCCAATATAAATCGCTTCGATATACCTCATACCTACCTCTAGGTACTTAACAATTATCTGTTAGCCAAGCCTTACCTCCTTGTCTTTCTATGTCGTATACATATGCACCTACTAGTAGGTATGTAGTATTATTAGCAGCAAAACTTTCAGCCGAAAAACACACGCCGCTGCCTTGCACATTACAAATTGGTCGAAGTGAACCTATGGTGACACCGAGAATTGTTACTACCCATGCGCTGAGCGGCCGTATCATCGCTTTGCCCGTACCGTTATATCAGTCTGACAGTACATCCCATCTATCACACACATTTGCATGCTGAAGAAGTATCATTATAGTTTGGTTTTTTCTGGACTTGGTTGAATACAGAGCTTCCACTCAGAGTGCATTAGACACATCCATCCCTCATCATGGACCCCTCACAGGTCCCGAGTGCTCAGCACATCCCTGGGCGTCAAGAAGTAATTGATCATGCAGCCACCATCGATAAGAAAAGTTTCACTGTATGAACTCCCTGATCGTGGTTCGTTTTAGATTTTGCTGACGTCAGTACTAGATATCAATTAGTGTTCTCTTTGGCATCGCTATTTTCGGATCTCTCGTACGTCTGGTGATTCGTGTCTTCGGTCGCAAACATATCCGATGGGATGACGGCCTGGTGGCGGTTGCTACCGCCACGCTGATCGCAACTTTCTGTGTGTGTATTCGGCTCAAAGATAGCCTATATATTATCGCGGCCATAAACAAAGGGCTAGCGATCCCACTTCGAGAGGAGATTTATATGCTCCAGGGTTCCGGCAAGTGGTCTGCAGTTTTTGGCGCCATGAACCATACTACCATCTATATGGTAAAGCTGTCCTTCTTGAACTTCTTCCACACCTTGATTCGGGCACAGTCACGACACATCTGGAGGTACTACTGGCTCTTGGTTGGCTCTGTCATCCTATGTTGGCTATTCTCAGCTTTGTGTCCAATTATTGTCTGCCCGCATCTTGGTACAGATCCAGGTAAACCTCAAGTGCTTTTTTGTTCACCGCCTGTCACTGAAGAGCTGACTTTTAAACAGCCAAATGCCTCGAGAATCCCAATCAACATGCTAAAAGCCTAACGATCGCCATTCTGAATGCTTGCGTCGATATTGTCACCGACGCCTTCAGTATGTGTTTGCGAAAAGAATCAGGGACTAAATCTGTGAACTGACTTTGCTCTCCAGTTGTTTCAATTCCGATTCTCATTCTGAGACGAACAATGTTGCCAATAGTTCGCAAAATCACACTTGCAAGCTTCTGTTGTCTCTCTGTCGCAATGATCATCTGCGCCTTCATTCGGCTTGGTGGCGTCGTAGCCGGTACTAAGCCCGGCAACCACGGTGCTGCGCCGGTGTGGGATACGTATTGGTGTATTGCCGAAGCTTGTATTGCGGTGGCGATGACTTCAGTCACTGTCATCCGCAGTGCCTTCATCACTCAACATGTCCGAGAAGACAGAGGTCACCAGGCCAGCATTCTACTCAACTTCGGCCGCCGTCTGCTTTCAACACTGCGTCTCCGGGGCTCCTCAGAAAGTAGCAGACGCAGCCCGCCAAGAGCCTCGGATGACCACGATGCTGGTCCAAATACTCTAAATCTGCCCAGAATTGGCACCCAGCATTTGACAAGAGTCACATTCAATGATGTCTGGTCATCCATTGGAGCTGGGAAGAGACAGAGCGGCGATCAATCCGACATACTAAAGTCTGTAGACACGCCATTCATTCTTCACGATCTGGACTATCATCGAATTAGGAAAGCTGAGATGTCCAGGCCATCAACCGTCACGGACTCGAAGACCTGAGGGCCTTGTAAGGTAACATTCACCGAAATTGAGCCCTGTGCCGATGACGCTTTACGTGGAAACGGGGGCTATCGGGTCAGTGCTCCGGCCATGTTCTGGGCCCTTGAAAGCAGTAGATCGTGCGAATGGGGCTAGAAGAGCGCGCCGTTCCTTGTTGATTTCATTTGAAGCACCGACAAATGTAAAGAGATTTGTAGGGTAGGGCTGGTGGAGTTAAGAGTGCAAACCTACTTGAACCCCTCTGGTCGTGTAGAAAGATCTGATGGCAACTATAATAAAGCTGCTATTATTGATTTAAATAGCTTTAGTTATATTATATTTTTTATTTAACTATTTATCTATTTATTATCTTCTTAACTTTTAAATTAATTATTAGTTTATACTTTAAGTATAAAGTTAATAATTACTTAATATATACTCTTAAACTTATTTATATATAGTAGAGTTATTAGCTTTTTTTCTAAAGCTTTTTTTTTATTATATTTCTTATATATTATATAAAAGTAAATAAATCTTTAATAATAAAGTAATATACTTAAAGAAGAAAAATTTAATTTTAAAATATTTAAATTTTTACTTTCTTTATATAATATTTATTTAATATATAATAAATAAACTTTACTTAACTTTTAAAAGGTTTTAATCTTTTATAAAAGTTATATAAAAACTTTTCTTAAATAAATTTATTATTATAATATTATTATTTTATAAATTATATATTTAAAATAAAAATTATAATATATTTAATTTATTTAATAAAAAATAGATTTAAATAATTATATAATAAGTATATTAATAAAAAAAACTAACTTATTAAGTTTTATATTATAAAATTCTTTTTTTTATAAAAGTTATTTTAAAACTATTTTAATTTTATTATATAATTACTTTATTAACTTTTTAATATAATATTATTAAAAATAATATTAAGTTAATAAGGGCCTTTACACCCATAAATACCCTATATAAAAAAATATTTACCTACCCCTTTTTTAGGTAGTTAGAAGAATTCAATCCTTTTTCATTTCTCTTTTAAACACGTCTAAATTAAAAGATTTTTACTATTTCCCTTTATTCCATATAGGCGCTTCCTTAGGCCTATAATTAGGCGCTTAACTAGCCCACTTATACTCTAATTTATTAGTAAACAATTATAAAAAAACCTTTTATATAAAAAGAAAATCTAGTTTATATATATATTTATATTTAATAGCTATATTTACCAAACATTCCAACTATTAAAAATGGGTTTCTAATTATAGGTCTTTTAATAGCTATTAATAAAAAGCCTACTTTTATAACCTAATTATATATATAGCTTTATTTATATATGCCAAGAAAATTAAAATAAGTTTTTTAAAAACTTAAAAATAATTGCCAACTAAAAATAGTAATTACTATTTTAATATAAAAAAAAATAATTTATTAATATAAAAAGATATTTAAAATACTAAAAAACTTTAAGGTGTTTTTAAATAGAAATTTAATAAACCTTAAAAAAAAGGTAAAGTAATTTTTTACCCATTTTAGTATAAGATAATTAAGGGGTAAAACTTTTATTAAAAGATTTAAAAATAATAATATTTAAGTAATAAAAGCTTATAATATATTTTATAAGTATAAAATATTAAAATTATAAACTTAATTAAAATGCTAACTTTATTTTATTTATATAAAATTATTAAGTAAATTAACTAATATAAAATTTATTTTAAATAAATTTATTTGCTTTTATTTTATTAATAAATAAGCTATTATATAAATATTTATATATATATATATAATTTAATATTTAAAAGGTTAAAATTAATATAGGTAATTTAATTTCTTTTTTTAAAACACTATTAGTAATTTTTTATTTATAATAATAATAGATTTAGGCTAAAGCTTATTAAGGCTATTTAAATAATTAATACCTTTAATTTTAATACCTTTAATATTATTAATATTAGAAAATAGCCGTTAATAAAATAACTTTAATAATAGCAATTTATTATAGCCTATATTGCAACTATTTAAGTAAGTGCCTATTATAAGGGCGTAATAATCTTTATTTATTTAAGTAAATTTTTATAGTTTTAAACTTAAATCCTTTATAGGCAAAAATATTATAAACTACTTAAAATGTTTTAATAATACTTGCCTTTTTTTAAATATATTATTTAAACTAGCTTTAAATATATTAAAAAATTTAGTAGTCTTTTTAAAAATAGCTGCTAAAATTAATCTTTATATAACTAATATAAACGGCTAGGTAAATTAAAAAATTTAACTAAAAAATATATTTTAAAATAAAAATATTAGCTAATAATATACTTTTAATTAATAACTTAAATAATTTATATTAAATTACTTTA